GCTTTAACACGTCCTCCTCCTCGTATCTGTATTTCAGCGAGATCCTAACCGTGGAGCTACTTCGTGCCCAGGCGTGTCCGTTCTAAGTATGGAGACGAGTCGGTTTTCGAGTTGGCGGATTTGTCCAATATTTCATCGGACTAAAGCGTGTAACGGAGAGGAAGAGGACGCGGCACGGACGTATGCAAGATTATCACGCGCACTACGAAGTGGCTAAACTTGGGCCAGATTGAAGATAGTCGACGCGAATGGCTGTCACGAATGTTGTGTGACCCGTGGTACAAACTGGAGACGTGTAATTCTGATTTCCATACTTGATGTTCGAGTGTTTTTAACAACGGAACGAGGGAAGATAGAACGACGAGGCAACTGTCATGAAAATATGAACAGCCTCTGACGGTAGGCTAGGAGGATCGACATTCTTTTCAACGGAAACAAACAGTCAACACGAAGCGCATGAAAAATTATGTGATTTTACTATGATCATTTCACAATATCATCCTGAAAAGCACTGTAAAGAATAAAATCACAATAGACACTTTTCATTTTTTTTTAAAACAAATGAAAAGATCTCATTGTTGAGGCTTTTGGGTGTAAGCCGTGTCCTTGTGGAATTGTTTTCCCAACGTTTCGCAAGCATTGCAGCTAGCTTCATCAGGGGGTCGAAGACACACTGATACTGGTGCGTGTCTTGTGGTACTCCTCTAATATAATTGAGGTTGGTCATGTTCCGGTTCATTGCTTACCAATCAAAAGAGAAATTTAATTGGTCAGCTGAACAATTAATGAAATGAAAAGATTAGCGAAGATTCTTAGGTACTACAATAAGAAACTACAACAATGATCTTATAGTTCATTAATCATGTGGAAAATGATTTTTGAATTAAAAATACAATACAGACAATTTTCACGCATGTCTGGGCAACGTTAACTCGCGAAACAAGCCTGCCGGGTGATACAGCGCCGTTTTAAAGGGCATCAGTATGCAGAAGGTCATCGCGGCAAGAATTTTGGGTTCGTCCCGGCGGCGTGGACTGGGCAACTGTTAGCCTCCTCCGCAGCATGCTCGTGTCCCGTCCTGAGCTCGGACAATAATTCTGCCGACCGGTCAAGCGTAACCTGTCCATTGTTAGCCGCATATATTTACTTTGGTTACGACCACGGCCATAAGCGAAGTACTGTTATCCGCCGTGGTGTGCGTATGACGTATCGCCTCGACGATCTCGATACCTTCCTTCGCGCCTCCTCGAAACGGCCATCTCGCCCCTCTCTTTTCGACAACGCGACATCGTTAAATTATAACCTCCGGAAGTTAACCCGACGCCCCACGTACACGGAGGTGGCTGGAGTGCGGTTATTGCTTCGGCTAACGCCTGGATATCGTTCTCGAAGCAGATAACTTTGAAGTATTAAAGTGTGAAGTGTAAATATTCAATAGTAACTAAATTTTTCCAAGTCTTCTGAAACGTTTCTCTCGTCTTGGTATCGAAGTAACGTATATTGCCAGGTGATCTTGAATAACGAGAATATATCTTCTGGACGGTGGAATAGGTACCATTATATCTAATGAAACTTCGTCGGTAGGGTTTTCTGGTACATCAGGAATTCCAAATTCGAGTTGATTTCTCTTTTTTAAGTAACTGCTCTGCGCACATATAGCAACACAGAATGACACTCGACTAACGTAACTAACAAGAAACAACTCCACGTTCTCAACAGAACAGCACCCTTTACAGAAAAGTTATTGGAACCTTCGTCCCAACGTACTCATCTAGCCCCACGTAGGTCCTCCACTCATCGAAACAAAATCCAGAGCGCTAACCAGCGTCACGGGCACAAAATTGAGACGTGTACCTATATACCAGGCAGGATTCGTCGGAGGTCGCGTGCATCAGAATGCCAACCTTATAATCGACAGCGAAAACACGTAACTACGCGTATCTCTCTCGAGGCTCGCGAGGAACGTGTTCACCGTGGCGGACCGGTACCGTAAGAGATCGTTTCACCGGATCAAAATTTCAGGGGCCCCGAGAGAGCCCTCCTCTGGACCATCCCCCCAACTCGGGTACAGGCCCAGGAAATTATTTCTCGAAGGCCACTTACCGAGGCGCTCACGAAGAAGTAATCGGACAGAAAATACGGAGCCGCGGACCGATAATGGCTGGTCAGGCACACCGTGGCCCGCGGGCCCTTCTCTCTCTCGCCCCCCCCCCCCCACCCCACCCCCCCCCCATGTGTATATGTATATACGCAGCTCTCGGCCCTGTATGTCGGATCGTCCTTCGTTCGGATCCGGACGCACGGCTGCGCATCATTCTGATCACTTTCTCACAGTGCAAAGGGGGAACGAATCGGACCGGGAAGCCGTCGATTACAGGAATTAAAAAGGGGGAAGGGGAGAGAGAATCAAGTTCGGGGGCCGTGGGTAACACGGAAATCGTAACTAAACGGACTCTCTGCCCGAGCTTCAGCATTTATCCCCTCTCCCTCCTTCAGGTTACAGGATTTAGAGTAATCAGGGAAGCGTTCGAACCGTTGCGCAATGGATCGTTAACAGAGAATCTCGATGAAGCGATGGTTTCGAGGCTTTTGGACAGGAAAAGAAGAGGTGCTCCGAAAACAATCCCATTTCAGGTGGGAAATTGGGTTCTGTCGAGGTCGCTGCGCGGTTTCCGTTCTACGATCAATGTTCAGATGGAAGGGCATTATAGTCACCGACAATGGTTCAAATCCCCGATGATGTCGGATCGAATCGAACCAAGGACGCACGCACGCGTTTCGCGAGAAAACGATCGTTTAAGCCTGTAGAAGAAACTGATTCGCCTGTGGAGGGCCGCGAGGAAAGATTGTAAAAGGTCAAATTCCTTTCGATTCCGTGGCTCTCCTCGTCAAATTACGAGCCACGGGACGAAGAACCGTGCGACCGAGGAGCAAAGAAAGGTTGGATTGCGTATGCATTCGTTATTTGCGGTTATACCGGGGGGGGGGCAGCGGAGAAAGACAGAGAAGGAGAGAGGAAAAGAGGGTAGAGACCAACACAGGGAGAGGTAGCGAGAGAGAGAGAGAAACGGTGAATAAACCGATACAGAGAGATACCGCATCCAGGCGAAAGCCGACAAGCTAACAACTCTCGAAAGGGCCCTGTTGTAGGGGTGCTGGGAGAGAGAAGACGGCTGGAATGCACCGGGAACAGGTCGCAAGGCTGCCGACATTCCGAAATTTGCAACGGAGAGCGAACCAACCAACGTTGGGGGGCGGAGGAGGGGGCGGAGGAACGTGTCCCATTGTGCGCTCACGAAATCGCCCCGTGGCGCGGCGGCGCTCCGGATGAAAAAAATCCCGACGAAGTATAAAGTCTCGCCCAGGGGACCGTTCCGTAACCTTCTCGATAAAACGTGATTCATGAGATCGTGAGCCGTGCGCGGCGACAGAGGATCGCAAACCGGAGGGCGCCCAAACAGTTTTGGAAAGACCTCTGAGTTACGATACCTCACGGGAGTCGACTATGCTTTGAATGTTTAAGAATTTATCGGTGTGTGAGCCATAATCGTAGGATAAGTGATTTTCAAGAAAGCTGCCAGAAGTAAAGAGACGATGTTGTGAATACAAAGAAAAAATCCCAACTTCTGAACAGTAAAATGTACTGCATTCTAAATAGCAGCGTTAAGAATCTGCCCAAACGGTGAACCTTGGTTATAGGAATAAAAAGACAAAGGGACTCGAGAGGGGGACAATCGTGAAAGATCGAGGAAACGCGAGAAGATCGAGCCAGTCGAAACAAAGGGGACAATATCGTCTTATCGGATGGACTTTAAACGGAGAACCGTTCCGTGATATTAACATATGTATATACCATTTCGGAGTTGCTGCCATTCGGCAGTACCGTACGATACGCACAGCGTGAATTGATTTTTAACGCTTTTATTTTACACCCCTCCCTCTGCCACCCGGCCTTTTACGAGGCAATTTTGTTCATCGACCAGGCTCGCCGGGACCCGTTGTAAATAAAAACCACGAGGGAAGAAAGAAAACCGTGCGATAAACATTCCTCTCTTCTTTTTCTTTCTTTTTTCAGAGAATAAAAACAAAAAAGGAACGTTCTCCGGCGCTTATACGCCTCGTATTTATATCCCCGAACGTAAAGACGGTATTTTTACGCGTGTTTATTTATAAACCGCTAATCGTTACGACTGTTTTTTTTTATCGGATAATCGCGATTAACTTTACGATGCGAACCTACTCGATATTTGCATTGGAAAACACCAAGGACACTTCAAGGTCATGTTCGTGCTCTTGAAATGAACTGTATATTCCTCGAAGCGAGTTCAACGACCCGGCAAACTATAACTTAACGGAACGATTGTTTGAAATGCACGTTATGATCCTTTTACTCGTTTTCCACGAGATATATCGTTCATAAAAAAAAAAGGAATAAACCTTTTGGACCTAAACCACTGCACATTACCATAAATTCATACGATCATCTATTCATTCAGCTCAACTCGACTCTATGATACAATATTTTACTGTTACGTGAATTTCGTGTAATACAAAAACACAACCTTTATAAGTCACACACAGATAACAGATTTCAGACAGATATGAAAAGCAATGATTCCGCGGTCGTGCGTCGTGTGCACTAATCGCGTTCACCGGTTACGGGGCTTTCCGCCTTACATAACATCCCGAGGTTCCCCTCCCGACAGAACCTTCGTCCTTCCCGGAGCCCGGGGTCCCGCGATCACGGACGCGCGGCCAAGGAATTCGAGGGCGAGCAAGAAAGAGAAAATAATGCCCGGTCGCGATGGACCGGGTATACGCAGCAGTCCTGCGAGCTGGACAAGGACGGCGCACAGGTACGATCGGCCTGTGTAACGGATAGAGAGGGGACGAGCCGCGGTGCCACGGAGCGAGGGAGACGGAAACAGAGACGCACGCACGCACGCACACCGCGGACGCGAACAGAGAGAGACAACTAGAGTCCATCAAGCAAAACTCACCCTGTTGCATTCCAGAGCCTCCGCGCTGTGCTCCTCCTTCTGCTTGAAGCAGCTGCTGCACTTGCTCTTGTTGAATATGTTCGGCGCGAACTTCCTGCACTCGGCGCCGGTGCCACGGACGCCCGCCGTGCCGCCAGACATCGCGACACGTGCGAATTAACCGCGACGACCGGACAACATCGTTCACCTCTCTCTCACTCACCCGCCCACTTCCCACCCGCCTGGTTGCGTCGCGGCGGAACCGATGAATCGATTCCCCGCGAAACGTCGTTCGATTTATTTATTCCGTTTCCCACTGTCCCCCCTCTGCGTCCACGAACACCGTGGGTATATTATCACACCTTTCGCCGCGGCGAACACCGAACTAACCCGTTTTTATTTAACCACACGCGTGATATTCCGTACCTCCGTTCTTACGGCTGGTATACGCGCAGCGAGGACGACGCGCCACCGAGCAGTCCCCGGCCACTATTCCTTCTGTGCCCGTTACGTTAACGGATCGGGTTAACAGGATTTCGTATTCTCGTTCCGTGCGAGGATCACACTTCTCAAACTGTCGTGTCGCGTTTCTTGTTCACCCGTGACTCGCGATCGATTCTATTCGATTTATCGAACCCTCCGATCACACTCTCAATCCTATCAAGTGTTATTGTACGTGCGCGCCGATAATACGCGAGCAGAGATACGCGTCGAACGACACAACTTCGATTTCTGTTTACATACACAAGCTTCAAGGAAGGTTGAATGCGCGACGACGGATATATACAGTCGGGATTTTGTAATAAATACGAGTGCGTCGACCGTGTTTACAATGCGTTCACATACACCCACACACACACATCACGCGGCGGACCGGAAACATGCGTCGTGTGTACCCACTGACGACATCGGATTCGGTCAGTTCCGAATACGACAAGCAGGTGACTGTTCTCTTCTGTCCTCGTTTCCCCGTTCCTTTTCGACCCTGTTTCGTCTTTCACGCTGACAATCTTTTACCCCGGTGACCCGGTCTTGAGCAACACGTGGATGAAACCCCCGACAGACACCCCCGAATCCCACAGTTCTATTAACAGAGAGACACTCGCGTGCACCGTACGCGGTTAACGTGTGTCACCAGCAGCACTGTTCAACCGATCCGATCCGATTGTTTGACGAATCCAGACGGCGGTGGAACGCACACGTGCGTCCGATTGGTCGATCGATGGAGGACCACTGCTCACACCGCTTGAGAACCCGTCTCGGGAACCAGGGGGACGTGGCTACGATGTAATTATTCGGCTAGCACCGTTCACGATGTACCCTGATAGTAGCACCACGAGCACCACGATCCGCCTGTCTCTCTGTCGACTGTCACTGCGATAATCCAACGATGCGACCCGAAACGATGCACACACGACGACTACGGCAACGACCACGACCACGACGACGACACTCGGGCACACTTACAACACGTCGCGTCGCGCTCTCCATGACAGAACGCTCCCGCGGACGTCCATCTGCGATCTGGCCCGTTTAACTCGGCCTCTATGCCGTCCGCAGCGCTCACTCTCGCTCGATCGACCGCAGCACGCACACCCAGAACCCTGGACTACGCCGCCGCGCAACTAGTCCCTTCCTCCGCCTACGAAATACAGCGCCGCGCGCGCGCCGCCCGGCGTAAGGATTTCAACATGCGATTAAGCGTTTCTCTTTTCTTACCCATTTCCCGCGTTATTTCGTTGTGCTGCACGAACTAGCGCGGTTTTTTTTTTAATTCAAACGAATACGAAACAGGAATTCAAAGCGTATGGATACCTTCCCCCTAAACTGTTCAACAAGGAACTAAATATGAAATTCTCATGGATTGCTGCTTTGTAAAATCTCCTTTAACTGCACACGTGTGTATTTACGGAATATTTAGGCTTGAATACATTATTAGGAATGTATTTGAAAGATGAAACGCAGCTACTCGAAAAAATTGAAATTACTATAGGGAAGTCTGTTAGTAAATGAAAATACAAAGTTTTGTACTGTAACGCGCCAAGCTTTTTCTGGCGACATCTTTGATGATTCTTCTACAACCACTTCGTATAATTTATTGGAAATGCGGACACGTCAATACAATAGAATCCTTTTCAATTGTTAACACACACATATCACATTGCAAAATTGTTTAGTTTATGTGGAACTTAGTTTACAGAGATGCATAAGTAAGTGTTGGTAATTGGTAAATGATAGTTTGTTATTTAAATAACAAACGCACGATGTTTGAATATTTAAATACGATTCGAGTGTTTCGTTATACCAATTAATGCAATGTACATTAAAATTACAATGGTGCATACACTCTTGACAAAATTACTTTCAAATGAAAGCCTTTTTCTATAACCAAAAGTTTACTAGAAGATAGAAAAAAACATTGTTTAACGTCAGCCTATCCGGAAATGTATAAAGGATGTAAAGATAATAAATCTGTGAAGTTTAGTATCGTATCTTCAGAGTGAAACACTTACACAATCTACCGGTTTTAGGCACAAATTTTGAGGAAAGACAATGAAAGTGTTTCTTATTTTTGCAAAAGTAAACGTTCGAACAAACATGGAATATAAAAGACAACTCGAGTCAAATGAACGCTTGAATGAATCAGCTGATTTTTGCATCCGGTTCAATGTTCGAGATTTCTCTTCCGGTTCATCCAGACCGACGTTCCAGTGTTTGGAAGACTGTAAAGATGGTAGATGAAGCTGGTGACAGGTTCGTAGGCGAAAATTATTTTCGGCTTTCTATCCAAGATCTAATGCCTCTAACTAGCTTCACCATTCGCGACGCAATTTCGTAATAATGATACAATATTTACTCTGAAATAAAATTAATCTCGTACTCACCCTTTATACTTCAAAAGATTAATCTTCTGCAATCTTTGCTACTTACATGTACACGAATATTTTACTAACCAGCAAATTGTCATCTCGAGATGAGATTGGAAGCAGTTTCATATCGATAACGATACGAAGTTTCTATGTTTCGTTTACTATTTTCTTGTACTTTTGGGAGCTTCTGTCAATTTCGCTATGAATATTCGATCATTGAAGTACGTATTTATTGTCCATCGAATTTCACCGCAATTTAATAAATTGCTACTTGAGTGTTGAAACGGCAAGGATAATATTGTTTTCTCTCTTACGAACTTACGTGTATTCAAACAAATGTGACGCTGATTAGTTTCAATCAACATCTTACATAACGCACAAAAGAATTAATTTGTAGTAAAAATTATAGAGATTAATTCAAATTAATATAAAGATATATGTGAATATCTTGCAAACAAAGTATTAATAAGCATAATACAAATGTATAGGTGCGATTGGAATAGAATTATTATTACGTTTATAGGATCATCAATGAATGAATAATATTTATACATAACAACAACTATGAGTCATGTACAGAAAAATGTCTCAATTAAAGTACAAATTTTTTACAGGGATGATCTCTCTAATGTTGTCATCATCAAGGAGGTTTATGATAATGAAAATGCACTTGAAACATTTGAGTATGAGTTAGAGAGAGCACTGGAATCAGAATGCAGTTTAATTGTTATAGAACCATCTAAACTAGGTGATGAAACCTCCAGATGGATAGCAGTTGGAAACTGCCTTCACAAGACTGCAGCATTGTCAGGCCTTGCAGCTATAACCGCAGGTTTGTAAACATAAAAGCAGCTATAAAAGCAGGTTTATTATTTATATATAACATATTATGACATACTTTACAGGTTTGATATGGGTTGACCGACCCTATATTTGTGGTCCACTAGGTTTCATATCTGTAATATCCTGGGGACTTTATACTGTTTCATGGCAGTTTGATCCCTGTTGCCAATATCAAGTCGAAACTGACACAAGTAAGCTACCACACGTAGAATTGTTAGCCGTTTTAGGCCCTTCATCCCCCACTTTCCTTGTAAGGAAAGATGATACACGAAGAAGAATTCTTCATACAACCATTACATTGGTAGCACTCAGCATCAGTGCCTGGAGAGTGTATCAGGCATTTAAATGAAATGATTCATATTTGGAATGCAAGAAACTATGTTGTAAAAAGCAGTAAGGTAGGCCATACGATGTATTGTAGATGATCGTAATAAGGCCTAGGATAGAACTCTGTGAATTACAAAAAGAAATACAGATACGTTTTTGCATATATTAATGGAGATTGTTGAGCCACATGAAGGATCTGTTTTCATTCAGTGTTTATATTTCTTTTATGTTTTTGACACTACCTCACAGGTGAATGCTGATTTTACACTAGAAGGGGGAATGCATAACAAGATGTACAAAAGAGGAGCCTGTTCTATGAATATTTTCGTCGTAATATGTGATGTTTCTTAAAAATCCATATTGTTACTCTATGATCTCCATCTTGTTGATTCTATTGTCACAGTTAATTTTAATGCAAAGAAAGACACGAGCATATTCACACGATCACTTAAGTGAAACTACTGGTATAAGTGTTCTTAGAAATATACAAAATTGCAACCACACCTGGAAAGTTGGATTTAGAACTATATATTTTTAGAATGTAAATAAAGTAGATAGAAAACATTGCATATGATTTACTACAAAGAATGTTGTCTAGATTTTCTCACCTGAAGGTGTAAGCCCATGTTCAAAAAATAATATTCTTGTGAAACATTTTTCGGAATGCATTATTTTTAATCATATTTTTTTGGCAAACATGATAATTGGTATAATCCACAAACCTTTTATCAGTTATATAAGATTCGCATTACGCAATATACAAACACATGAAACATAAAAAAAAGTACATATAAAATAATTCAATATGAGAAAACCTTCTGGAATAACTTACAGTTCATTAATACACGAATAAATTCTTGTATCTATTTGTACATACTTATATGAGAGACTTAACTGATGATTAAGAATAGATAATGCATTTGAAATCTTTTCAATAAACTGTGAAAACTAAGCAACATCTTTTTCAATTACTGTATAGCTGTATAACAGCCATAGCACAAAGGTTGCCACTTACATCACAAGTAAAATAAAATCTCCTACTTTGAGGATGCTAAGTACTGTATACAAATTTTTAAGACATACAAAAATATAAAAATTTATGTATGAAATTGTGCTTTGTAACGTTTACTTACTTATTGCTGCTGTTAAAACATAATGATCAGAAAAAGGAAGGAGATAAAGTCAGAACACAAAATACTTCAAGTAAAATTTAAGAAATTTTCTGTTTTTGTGTATTGTTGTTTCCAAATGAATTCGGAATTAAATCTATCTATATTATGATTACATGTTATTTATCGTTTTTTTTATGCTACAAACACATACTTCATTATAGTCACATGCACAAGTATGTGTTTGCATTATATTCACTTTTAATTAGAGTAACGTCAATTAATTTTTAAAATAGAAGTACGAAAAATTATATGAAAATTCGAGACATTACTGATAAATAAAATACACACAAAGATGTATTAATTAATCCTGCCATGACAACAGAGTTCATACCAATCACTATACATTACATATGTGACACTCTAAATGTCTCAATTACTAGCCAAATATTTCTCATGACATAACAGTGATTATGTAGGTGTAACAAACGAGAGGATATATATTAAAACATCAATAACAACTAAAGTCATACTTTTAATGAACTGTGTGTGTCAGTAGGTTCATTGTTATGTGTCATTTATGACTTGAAAGAATTGCAGTGTTTAGCATTTTCAAGCATTTATTTTGTATTTACCCAGAATTTATGTTTAATACCTCTTTCCTCTTGGAATTTTATCACATCAAACAAAATTTTCGTACTTAACATAAACTTTCGAGTAATAGATGACACGTATATTATATTCGAAACTGCTTCAATTCCATTAAAACGTTCGTAGTATTAAAATGTATATAATGTAAACATAATCCACCATGGAGTGGCATAACAATAAAATATAGTTTGGATATAATTTTGTTTATTTCATTTGATAAAGTTGTTTTTCATTTTAAAAATCATATAAAATCGTATGAAATTCCTATATCTATCAGTGACAGGATGAGTAACATAATTTATTGTAATATATGTTTTCTTCTATGTACAAAGTCTACAATATTATACAGAGAAATAACTCGAAAATGAGAATATAGAATTTTGTACAAATAATATAAAAGTAAAAGTGCATTATGATGTGATAAAATCATTATGCTTCTTTCTCGGACTTTTTCGCCCGCTTATGCATAATCCAAAAATAAAGCGTAGGACATAAAGTTCGTAAATATATTGCAAGTTTTGGAGTAAGTGTAGCTATTACCACGTCCTTCTCATCTTTTAATATTGCTTCTAGAATGCGATGTGCAACATACTCTGGAGAGTATCCTTCTTGTGTCGTTTTATCCATTACTGCAACATAATGTGATATAAATAATTATGTTTGATTTGGGATACATTATCTACATTACTCACCTCCATAAATCTGGCCAGTTCCTGTTAATGCATTCAGAGATAGAGCAGTTTGTACATAACCAGGGCTGATGACAGTAACTTTTATATTCTGATCAGCCAATTCTGCTCTACAACTATCACACCATGCTTGCAATGCATGTTTAGAGGCAGCATATGCAGATCTAAGACAATAATGTTTCAATTATTAGAAGATACTTTGATATAAAAATCTAATTATGAACATAAATGTAAAACATGTCTACCTATTTGGAATAGAAATCTTCCCTTGTACACTACTTATACATACTATATGACCGTACTGTTGTTGTATCATAAATGGAAGTACAGCTGTAAAAATCATCATTTTGTCAGAAAAGATTTCTCATTTTTCACCAAATTTTTTATGAGTATTTACCTTTAGCCAATGCAATCTGAGCAAAATAATTTGTAAGCATTACTTTTATATCTACATCTACATTAGTAGTAACAACTTCTCCTCTATAAGAAATGCCAGCATTGTTAATCAGAATATCCAATTATGTCTAAAATATGTATTGTAAATATTGAATCGGTGTTATTTCATTATTGTAACATAATGTTTTAGTGGTAAATCCAACCATACATGATGAGTATCTATCAAAGAACTTTTCACTCTTTCTAATTCTTCCTTTCTTCTTGAAACTAAAATAACTTTGCAACCACAATCATAAAAAGCATGAGCTAATGTTTCTCCTAATCCTGAACTGGCACCTGTTATCATTACAACCTAGAGTTCAAAATACAATTAAAATTAAGACATGACAGTGCTGATTTTTTATGCAACATTTACCTTCCCACGAAGCGTAGCCTTTCTCCGTTTTTGTTGCATAAGATCATAAAAATGGTATATCATCCAGGGAATTGTTATAGGAAACCCAAGTAATTTAAACAACCACCATATAATTTGCCAACCTTTCAACGGTTGTTGCTTCATGTTTATAAACACTTTTATTTTACTATAAATATACAACAATTGTTATTTTTCAATTATCATTGATATAAACATTTAAAATACTGCAAAAATATCTTCACTCGATGGTCAAGCTTTTGCAGACATTGTAACCTATGAAGTTTAACCTATAGACCGCTTCGAGATGACGACATGAGAATGGGTTGCGTAATTATCGATTCACGTTCTCTACCTTACTTACTAAGAAGCAAGTAAACACGAATGTTAACATGATAAACTTAGGATTTTATCAAGGTATTTTAATATTTTCTCTTTAATTGGAAATTTAGATAATGATACATAAGAAAGATACATATATATATAAGATTTTAAAATATGACTTCAAGATGTTATCGACCTGATCTGTTTACCCATGGCATTTACAATCTAACAATAAGATTTAATAAATATATAAACTTCTTAGTATCTTCAACTCTCAATTTTACTATCTTCTATAGTTTCATATATCAGTATTGTCATGTTTCAATTTATACCAGATTAATGTAGAAAATAAACAATCCCTAACTAGTAATTACAGATGATGATTACAATTGTCACAAGTGCAAGTATCCAGTAACAAACAAATGAGTCTTTAACATAAATTTACTCGAAACCAAAACCCTACACCAGAAAACGTTATTGTACATTTTTTAATTTATTATTCCATGTAGAATAATCTTAGTCTCGGATCAAAAGTAGCGCAAAAAGTGTCGCGGAAATTGAAAAAGTGGCGGAAACATGGATCCGAGAAATGCTTGTATATTTGTATTTTTGTTAGCAGACGGCGCCACGTTCAGTCGTGTTTCGTGATTGGTCGGTAGTAAGCGCGCCCCTGTCAGCTGTGCGCCACAGAGTCGGCCGTCGTCCGTTGTAGACGCGGATCGTGCAAATGGCGTCACTGCCAGTATGAGCGAGCGTATGCTGTGTAATAACGCGTACGGGCCTCGTCCGGGCGCGGCGCCGCGCGGCCCAGCCTGACGGCGAGCGTGAGTGCGACGATATTAGTCAAGATCGAGGAAAATAAGAATCCAAGAGGATCGTTAAAATCGTTGTCGAAGTTGCAACGGTGTGTACGTATCGACAACGAGTGGTGACACGCAGTGAGAAAGAGAGGTGAGTGCCAGATAGACAAAAGCTCGAGAAGGAGAATTGTGACCCTAGCGAGAAGTGCCGTGTTACGCATACGTGAACGTAATCCGCGGAATGAAACTGTCCATCAGGCGCATCTTTCGAAAGTTTTCTCGATCGTCCAGATATTTTTTCGTCGAACGAACACAAGAAATCCTTTTATTCAACGAATCAATCGCTCCGTTTTGCGCGGTGAGATTTCTTGAGGTTTCCATGCAGAACAGAGAACATTGCGATAGAATCACTGTTGCAGCAAGATAGAAGCAGTGGGGCCGATTTCTAAGTAGCTCCTGAAGCGAGACAGGTAAATAATAAAGAAAAGAGAAAGGCGAAACGTACGCGTAGTAATTACGGGTAGCTACTTGATTCCGTTTAGACCGTACTCCATCGTGACAGGTGCCATGCGTGTATCATTGCCAAATGCATCGTGACGCTTTAAACCTCTCTGTCGTTCCGCGCATATTTTTACGGAACCAACTATTGAAAACGTTGTTCGTCTCTCAGTGTAGTTGTATGTCTGGTATACCATCTTCCGTTTAGTCGTTTCACCATACGTGTCATGATCAGAAACAAGATTTTATTTATCGTTATCGGTAACTAGAGGTGTCCTTATCACATTCTATGGAAACTTTTCTAATTTTATTATTCTGTCAGGTTGTTTAAATACGTCGGATGGTATCGCATAATTGGGACGGCCATGTTTCTACCCAGCTAAAAAACACGTTTCTCGCGGACACGCGCACGTGTGGGCGAAGCAGAATGTTTTTGTTTGCGCCGCGCCGAGTTCCTAAATACGACCGACGGTTGCATAAGAGATCGAGGTGTGTCCATCTGAAAGGGTTCCTGGCGTCTTGTAAAAAAAAAAGAGTCTAAGCTCGTCGCTATTCTCACCAGTCGAAGATCGAGACAGATTAGGAGAGGTTGAAGAAATAAATACTTTTCGTTTGTACTGGGGTTATAAGTGTTTCATGAAAAAGCAAACAACGTTACGAGGGAAATATGATTACGTTAGCGCTACTGATAGAGTACGCGCGCGGTATTTCACGATTACGTCACAACGCGACACGTTATCTATTTAGTCGTACGATCGCGAACTTTTCTGCTCCTCTGATTTATCGATAGTGCCGAAATGTATCGATGGAGTCTTGTACTCGCGACACGTGTTTCCGCTGGCAGAAAATTTAAACGTTTCTTTATAAATGTAAGAATTTTTTTAAAACCACGAGGAAAGGAAAAAACCTTCGTGCACGAATGGATAAGGCGGTTAACCTCGCCGATACGATGTGACTCCCGGGTGAAAGGGCATTACACTTTTGAGATAACAATGTCATGAAATATTAAAAGCACTTATTGAATGGAGTTGTTGCGGAGGAAATTCGCCTCGATAAAAATACGCGTGTATCGCCAACAAAAAAAAAACAAACATTATACACTCGTGAAATTGAATTGGAACCAGTAGTCGGTATTCAAAGTTTTTTTTTATATACGGGCTGATTCATACAATTCGATGATCTCGAGATATTTTACTGACTTATTCCTCGTAAGAAACAAATATTCTCTTATAACTTACAATCTACGATCAAGACATTGTGTTGAACGATTATACTTCATAAAGATTGGTGAATTTGAAATTCTGCCAAGTTATAGCTCACCGATAGATATTGTTAATAAATTCAAACGGATTCTGAGAGAAATATCGACTGCTATTACCGGTTGGTCGATAACTACGTGGAAATCTCGTATCCCCGAAACCGGTTGTAATGGATTAACTCGTAATTTACGATACCGAGCACCCGATGCCCATTCGAGTCGACTTCGGTTTCCGTTACACACTTTCGTAATATGCATCTCGGTGAAGGTTTACAACACACGCTCTTGTTAGAAGCTTGTAACATGTGCCGCATATTAAAACCGTCGAACACGGTTCGTATTCTCCGTTCAAGCCTTTCGAAGGTCCATGAGCACGGGTTCGATTCCTACGAATACCAATAATTTCGCAAAATAGCCGCGATCGATGAGAAATGTGTTACGCGGTCTAATATACCCGGAAAGTTTCATTTCCTCGTAATCTAGTCGAATAAGTCATCCGATCTTATCTACGACCATCCTATTGTGTACATACTGTCTAATGATTTAAGAATACATTCGGAAAGCGTGTTTCTAACGTTGTAAATTAATTAACAAAAAACAAAAATTATATTTAGTTACTAGTTGGTTTCTCATCGCAATTATTCTAAAAGAGAAATCCGAAAAAGGTGTACGTGACCATTCTATAAATAGATAGCGGCAGATTTGGAAGTTAACGCGTAGTACATTATACAATTTTTCCGCAGTTTCGCCACGGAACGCGTGTCGAGGACATGTGTCTTTTCTACATTGTCACCGGGCACCGGATTAATTAATTCTGTCATTGGAATTCAGGCTTAAGAGCTTTCTAATATTCATCGGGGCTCAGTTCCCGAAGACCTACGGCGCGTGGGATTTGAAAAATTCATAGACCAACGATATCGGAACAGGGCACGGACGATAAATATTCAAGCTTATATGCACCATTATCATCTCTTTCCGCTGGAACCGCGGCACACGTTTCCCTCGAAGTCGATCGGAGAATTGCGCATCGTGGTTTAATTTTAGGCGACTGCTGCATGTACCGCGATGTCACTGACCATTTTCTGGCGTGCGTTCGCTCGCTTACTCGTGTCCGCGACTGCACATTTTCATGGAAACCGGCCCTGCGCGGGGCGTAGCGGCGATTTTAACGATCCTCGGCCGGGTCGTTCAACCGGCCGCGCGAAGCTTGTTTACATGTTATATTTGAATTCGTGAAACGGGTAAGGTTCTTCGCCGGAAGTTACCATTTATCAGCTTCGCGATTTTGTATTTACGAGACGAGACAGATTTTTCGAAACGGCGCACAGTGGTACAAAACGTCGATTTAGGAGTTCAGAAGCTTAATTTGGGTGAAAAAATGGGAATTTCGGAACCGAACTTGGTAAGCATATATTTAATGTTCATATTTATTAAAAACATACAAAATTAATAAGTAATGCTTTTTAACCCTTTGCACTCCGAAATCTATGTAGAAGCAACTTTGTATTTTTATACATTTAAAAATTAAAATATTCTTCACTTTTCCGTTGGGGTCTCTACTGTTACATTGCATGTATAATTGTGTGTTAAAATAAAATAGTCCTGGAGTAATATTAAAAATTGCTCAGAGTGCAAAGGGTTAATAATAATTTTTTTATTAACAAAATGAAAACTTTTTTTACGGAGTTATCACAAGTTCTCTTAAGAAAAATTATGATTAAAAAACATGACTTATTAAGTTTATATTTTTTTAAATAAGTAGGAACATTACATACATGCTTACCAAGTTTGGTTTCGAAATTCCCATTTTCACACTCAAATTAAGCTTCCGAACTCCTAAAAACGGCGGCCGCCCGCGAGATGGACGATTGTGTGCGCTGAAGAAGACGACGATTCGAGCGGAAACAAAGTTCAGATAAACGAATGCCACGCGATTGGAAAATACTGAACAGTGTATTCGAACGTTATCGGCCACACGATAAGGACGCGGTTTGTTGTGTCTCGCGCAAAAAAGGACTCGTTCTATCGACACTGAGCCGCCGTAGACTTTGCAGCCTAGCGATTTCGCGAAACGGGGTCGGCCGATGATATGTGTACCGCTGAATTCCGCGTGAGTGACCTCGTTTTGTCGCGTTTACGGGCCCAATGTCCCGTGCCTCGCGACTGTAAATTTCAAGATTGTTTCCCGAACGGTGGTTGAAAGTTTCGAAAAAGTCAGTGCAGCCATACGTGTCGGTTTCCATCTCGTTGTCCTCTTAATTGATTCGCGCGTTGGCGTGGAAAACAGAGAAGGGCGGAGCCAATAGGCTATTAACAGCTTCAATCATTTATTTGTTTGCTATGAAACATTAGCTTAGCAACGCTGCTAACCTTATCTACTACACATAAAACTCCTGCTATGGGCTGTTATGCTACACAGCTGTACCAGGATAGGTTATTATACTACACAATCATACTATTATACCCTGTATATCGTGCAACTAGACTACCTTTTAGACAGCGTAGACTGGTCGAAAAAAAACTCTATTAGATGGACACAATATCGAGTTGCCTCTACGACGATCTTCTATGCAACCGTGTATACATATTATACAGAATATTCTGTTTAGTATCTCTAGTATTATTTTAGTGTCCAGTAACAATAGTTGCAATTGTACTGCACGATGTTACTTACTGCACGTATGAAAATAATGAAACCGACTAATCAGTAACCTGGTCTTCCTAACAATTCCCTCGAACGTCGTCGAATCTCCAGAAAGACTGGAAATCCGATTGGATTGTTTGAAAATATGGACTCGGAGGGCCGATGTAGTATCAAAGAAACGGAAAGGGGAGCCCCATTAGTGCGATAGACCGCCCAAAGATCGTGGGCTGGGGTTAAGACTATCAGGGACCACAGTTTCCCAACGTCGATACAGGGTCACGGTAAAACGGACGATCGAGAAAGAGAGCAGGGTGGAAAAGTACACCGCGGAAAAAACACACACACACACACGTTCCGACGCGCGACTGTGCTCCTCCGCAGAGTGTTCGCTGTAGAGGGATGCAGGCCGAACTGATGTACCGAAAACCGTTGACGATGACGACGTCCGGCCAGAGTTTTCATCGTCCTGGGATAGGGAAGAAGGAGCACGGCGGCAGGGACTCGAGGGAGACGATACACTCTGGACACTTCATGGTCTCCGATTTCGAGGCGGAGGCGCAGGACGACGAGGACGAGCTAGCCGTGCCGGTACCCGACGAGGAGGCGGCGGTCAAGCTGGCGATCATCGCGCCCGGCGGTTTCCTGCACGAGAAATTTATCAACAGCTTCTCCGGCGAAAAGTGTTCCCCGCCGCTCAGTATCGAGACGTCCTTGAACAAGCTGTTCCAGTGCATGTCACTCGCCTACAGGTGAGTTTCTCTTTTCCCCTCGGTTTTCATTCTGCCCCCTCCCCAGGGGAGGGTGCATCGCGGTGAAATCGAGACTATAGCGATATAATCAATTAAAACTGGCGAAAAGTAGTATGTACTTCTATTTTATCTTTCACTCGTTGTTCGAAACTCTTTATCTGGATAATGAATTTACCCACCTCCGCCATGTACGTATGAGCAGGATAGGATAAGTACATGTAGTCCACTCTGCTTTTGTGGTATCGAAACAATATTATTCGAGACCTTCGATAGTCAAAAAATTTCTTTCGAGATTACTGTCCCCCCGCTGCAATACCTAAGAGCGATAACGAGTGTAGCCTTGTCCACAATAGTTTCATCCTCGCCATAAAAGAAACGAAAGAGTGGAAGAACGCCCCCAAGATTCAGTGCCTAATAATCTTATCTCTAACAACAACACCGCAACTTTAACCGAGTTCCTGGCTTCTCTAAAAGCTTCGTAAAGATATTCTGAAAGCTCTGTGATCCACGAAGACCAGAATACCACTTCCATTATTGCATTCTCGATTCGTTTTGCAACATTGTGCATACATACATCGACGAGCAAACTCGACTTGGAATCAGGAATTATTGAAATTTATGCGAAATTAACATTTGATTTAACATTTATTTCACTACCTGGAATAAATTTACCAAGTGGTAGAAGACTTTTATTCTACGTTGCTTTTTCCCCCTGGTGGAAGCCGAGTTTGCTCGTCGGTGTACATATAGCGGTTCGGCTTCTCTTCCGCGGTGTTCAGTACGCCGTCTGCAGATTCCAGTTGAGTGTTTCGAGCCCGGCAACCAGACAAACGCCGGCATTCCAGCTGATAAGAGACAATTGAATTAATGAAGAAGAGGCCGTAGAACCAAACGTCAACATCGCAATCAAGCCCCGTCCTGGGCGAGGCTCGACCGCGCGCTATCAGCGGCAGTTCCGTTTTCCTTTCGAAGCTTTTTCGTCCCGTGACCCCTTCAGAGGACCCCTATACGAGTTCGCTACGCGTTAATTGGACCACGTGGAGCCTGAAGAATGGCTTCCCCAGTCGATTAGAGACAGTGGTGTGGCGAACCTTTTTACGAGCGTGTGCCAGAACTGTATAAATGATATTTTTGTATAATTTTTAATAGGGGAAAAATTCAATAGGAATATCAATCATTGTAGAATGTGAGTCAATTTAAAAAATTAACATCAGAATATCGTACAGATGAACACACTACTTGTACATAAACTTCATCGTATAATAATCAACATCCATTATTTATCAATGAGATTTTTGCTGTTGTACATTTGGTGTATACCAAATATGCTTTATATCAGATTCATATTTAGTCGCTTTTAAATATTCGCCATGCCTGGACCAAGGTGTGTAAGACACGTTCGATCTTCCGACAAATCGCGCGGGACAACGGTATCTGAAATTGATCGAGGATAGCGTTTTATCAAAAGCAAAAAAAAAAAAAAACAACGAGTGTGAACACCTTATCGTCGCGTATCATTCTCGAGTCTCTTTTTCACGCTCGAGACTCGCGAAAAGAGACGAACAAGACAATCGGTTTCGCGTGGAAGCCGATTGTACGTCGTGAGTTGACGTCGTAAATGTAATCAACGTTCGGCGCGCTCCTCGGCTCGGTGTAGTATGTATTTTTAACGGCGGATCGTTTAGGCGCCGAGTATCTCTCTCCGCCAGTTATAAATACATGTATATTTGTCGGGTGTACTTATCTACGACTGAATTTTTCGTGTCCCGCGATCCCAGCACCCTCCCTCCCTCCTCACACGGAATTGTCGGTTCCTCCTCATCCTCCGTCGTCGCGTCAGATGCTTACAGAGCGAACGCGCGGAGGCGTGACGACGCTGACGCGGTGTATTTACATCTGCACCCAAACGCGTAATTAAGCCTTGATCGATGTTTACGTCGGTTCTACTCATTGTGAAAAGATGGCATTATTTTCGTTTAACGAATATATAATCGTCGTCAAGCGAAAAAATGTTTATCATTTGTTATTTAACCTCTTCAGAAAATCACCGACAGTCTCGTTAAATGTCGTCAGATCTGTACCTGAAGTCGTGTGCCCACAACAGAGATCGGCAAACTTATTATCTAGATAGAGAGTTTCGAATAAGAAATAAAAGATAAAACAAAGTATTTCGTCTTGTTTTCAATCGATTTAACGCGGACATTCCAATTTTTGTGATAATATTTCTTCTTGAAATGAGTAGACACTTGACAAACAATTATTTAATCTCGTTAACTGTTTAAAGGTCAAGATGGCGATCTTAGATACTACTACTACTTTTCACTACATATTATTCGAATACAATTGTGCCCAACTCTGGCCCACAATCGTTCGAATCAACCGCGCGAGAACGTCGATGAATCTAATATCTTATCAGGCCACTCAATTAACTCGTTTAGCAGCGAGATGAACTCTTTGGTATGTTAGAAAATGAAGTTTTTACGATCTTAATATATTCAGAATTTACGAGAGAGTACAGGTTGCTCTTTGTTTTGCGGGACCAATGGAGAGTGCTGCTAGGGAAGAAAACATCCAATTATCTCCTTTCCTAGCACACCTGTTGCGTTCACCCCTCTGTTTACCTACTAATTGTAAACTGTACGGGACCTTGTGCTGACACCTGTACTCGATAATATCCTCTCTAATAATTCATGAACCACTTTCTGCCCATAGAACACCATGGGAGAGATCCTAAGAAAAATTCGAGTGTACGGAAACATAATGATTTCGATTGTACTTTCAGTATATATTCTTTAACATTTTGCTTGCCAATATGTATATCCATCGGTATCAGATGTACACGATCTCGTCGTTAACGCAAATCGAACGTAAGCCTTTTATATTACGGCCTACTGTTTTAAGTTCGGTCTATCTTATTGCTGAACTGCAGATGTTTATGCACACGCAGGCACAAACACCTCCACATCCGTCTGCGCGAGACAATAAAACATTCGAAAACCTGTAATTAACCGCAATAATCACCTTATCTTGTTTGCAACTTTATCAAACTCTCCGTTGGAAGTATCAAACACAGTTGTTTATTTCCTGTGTGTGTTTGGTGATTTATATTTTGCACGTTTCTCCTGTAAACAGGAAAAAGACTGACGAATCTCCGTGTAAACAAATTCCAACACAGTTTTTTCCAGCATAAACGTTTCTCGATCGCTCCGAGGAGCTGTTTCATACACACACACAAAATGAAATCGTAGTCGGAATATATTCAAACGATGATATCGCCTATGCTAATTGCAACTGACCTCAGCAATAAATGGTGCGACGAGCAAACATTTCTGCCCGGTGTGTGTCTCGCTTTCCATATCTTCGTTTTCGATTACCGTGTAGTCCGGTCTGTTACCCTATCGCCGAGCATACATTTGTGCGTTGTCACGAACTTAATTCGTCCGCCGTAAAGTGTCGCCGCATACATTATGGTGACACTTGCCATGCCTTCGTTAATGCCGTTTGATTCTTTGTTTAACTTGACAATAGCTCACGTCCACAAGTTTCTGCCACACAGACGGGAGGCCTGTTTTTAATCCCTCTGTTATTTCGACGGGTTTCTCTTGGAGAGCATTTTCACTCCGCAAACTTTCTTGGAACACGATCATGTCGCTCTTTAAATAGAAACCGTATCGACGATCCTGTTGATTACTCCGAAATCATCGAGAAATTTGGACTCGCGGATAGTAGAGATTACAGATTCAAAACGATTCCAACAGCTTGTGTGTGTGTGTAACTGTATTAAACGCGTTCTCTGTGGAGTCTTTGATTACAAAACAGTACCAGATCCGTTCGTGTGTTCGTAGCGACGGCGTGTTGGCAGATGAGAACGACGGAATTGACTTCAATTCCGTTCATTCCGCTCAATTATCGCGGTTTTTCTTGAATATACTTGATCCTCCCAGCGAACGAATCAACGGGACGGCATAGAAGAATTTCTTCGCAACAATCCGATATCAAAACTCGATAAGAGATTCAATTCCATCCGCCCGAAAATCGAACCTTTCTTCGCCAACACGTATGTATATCGGAGGTGATATATGAATTCCCAATACCAACAGGTAGGAGCATGGTAGGAGGCTCTTCCCCCACAATTCCTTTTTGTATAACCAACCGATTTTCCCCTAGGAGAAGCCGAGTTTCCTCGTGACGGTACATCTTCGCCCAGGAAAAGTGTCAAGATCACTCTCGACCAATTAATCGAGCTCCGTTTCACGCGAGTTCCAGACGTTTTACCGTTTATTCAACGAAGACAGAAAGATGGGGGAGGGGGTATTTCCGGTTGATCCGTGGTTCTAGTCTCGTGCGGGACCGTGGAACGCGTGTCTACCGTGACGGAGGCGGTTCTCTATCGCGCGACAGCGCGCGTAACACGAAAATGTGAATCGAGCTAAATTACCGTAAAGGCCGGCCTCTCTATGGGTATGTATGCACGTATATGCGCGCCGCCGCGTGCCTTTTATCATGCAAGGCCACTGCGTCATCGAGCCACACGCGCGCAAAATCACATACGTTCTCGTGACCGTGCGTGCTTACGAGCAACAGCTACACTTTACTTTTTCCCTCTATTTCCTTATTCTTCGTGAACTCCACGGGTTTCCGCGGTCTACCATTCCGGAACGATCCAATCGTCCGTTTTGTGTTCTTATCGCGTCTTATCCACAGAATTTTTAATCTGCCCGTCGCCTGTTTTGTTTTGTCAGCTCTATCAATAATAGGTCTATCGCTGTTTGCTCTCGATGAAGAAGAAGATCATATACGATAAGTCCTCGATGAGTGTTAGGCTTCTCGGCAGTGAACATTAAATATTTCATTAACTAATGGCCACATTCGGCTGAAACGCATAGCACTGGTTTCAGAATTCTAAGATCTATCACACTGTGATAAACCTCATTACAAAGTTGGCGTTACACCTGAGGAGCCTGCGAACACTCATCGATGATTTACTGTAGTTTCTTCGGACATAGAAAGGTCATAAGACATTTTTCCTCCGTTCAGAGTTTTAAATGGCCGCGAGAAACTTTCAGCGGAAACGCAACAGATTACGTTTGCTGAGTCATCTGGATCGTATGGATCGGTGACTGACTGTTGTGATTGTACGAGAGGTGGCACGTGATCGCGATTGCGCTAATTTGCGTAATTCCCCTTTTCCAGAGATATGTGGTATCCGGGTACTCTCGGGAAAACTGGGTGTCATAGATTCGATCGAATTATGCAATGTGTTTGCGCACCTCTTTCGGAGGATGACAAATGATCAAAATGGTTAATACTAGAAAGAATATTTACTTTATTCTCCGGCTGTATTTAACCCCTTACCCCATGATTTTCTTGATGTCTGCAATCTCCAGAATTACTTTATCATCAATAATTCCCCAGAAACAAAAGGAATTCGTGTACTTATCGGAATTGTACATTTAATCTAAAAGTTAAATTTTAATATCAGCAAACTAGTATTGACTCAAAGAAAACGAATAATACTTCTATTTGTTGAATTCATTTTGATATCGTCAATGTTGTAAGGCAGGGGGGTTAATTAAAATATATTCATAAATATTAACGATAATGAATTACTAGAATATACATTGTTGTTGGGGAATTTCTCAGTGAATATTTGAGTGCAGTTTCGGAATGATGCTTGAATGAAAGAAAAACGAAACGTACACATACGTGCCGGAATCCCTCAAGAGGTTAAACCGCGAGACAAATAACGTGTTATCTGATAACAAAGTTATCCGAGAAAGAGGCACGTCTGGCAGAAGAATTCTCGTAGATTGCCTCGCCTCTCACCCAACACCGACGTTGGCGGCACGATATTTAGCGAAACCCAGTCTAGTCACCTCTCGCAAGAATAATTCTTTAATTGTTTTATTAACGGGAGATAATAGATAGTTAGGGTAAGAGAGAGAAAATGATCTCTCACGATTACCAAGAGATAAGTTTCAGTACCGTGCAACGTAGCGGTATATACACACCTTTATTGCCGTATTCATTGAAGTATACACTGGTTGTCGTAAAGATCTGTCGTAAAAATAAAAAAGAGGGCAAGATCCCGTGGACACGGTTTCAGAACAGTCGAGGAATCGTTCAGATTTCGATAATTCCAGGTCAGGGTGATCCGACTGATAAACGACACCAAAGCTGATCAATTTTCTGTCTCAGGAATTTCGTCTCCTGTTGGTCTAGCTTAGAACACGAGATAAACGTGATCCTCACCTGTTGAGAAATCACTCCTCGAATATTAGGAATTTCCATTTCGGGACGTAGGGCATATGGAGGGGACCTGATGAGTTATTCCTCCTAGTGGATTATCTTCTGAATCTCGAACACACAAGACTACTCTGAAATTTCAAGTTATTTCAATTTGGTTAATTACAGTGTTTGGCAATTATGCGTAAAACCAGAATTCTTGAAATAAAAAAACCTGAACGTGTCTCCAGGCGATTCGGGTGTCGAATAACTTGGGCAACTCTTGCGAGAAGGCTCGTTGATTTATTTTAAACGTCGATTACGTCTGTAGTCAGTGATACAGGGTTTTACGAGCCACGTTCACGTGAATTCTCACATAAAACGATTCCGTATCGTTCGTATATTCCTCCAGTCCGTTATCTAATCGACCCGCGAGAAAAATGAAAATCCAAGCAGGGAACTGTGGGGTGGCCAGGGTCTAATGCTAAGGAGAACGTTCGAGGCGTTCCTAACGACGTGGAAACGACCAGTGGAAATCTTCCTACTGGTCTAACCGAGTTGGTGACTTTCCGAGATCGTGCGGTGACGTATCAAACCGTTGATAACGGAACGGTGGCACTCGTTCACGCTGCCAATCCGATATCGATGAAGGTACTTGTACACTCGACACGATTTCGAACGGTTTCTCAATGACCGACAGACTGTTGCTTCGAATCTCTGAGAAATTTCAGAATTTCCTTATCTGTTTCCTTATTAGTCCCTTTCTAGAACCAATCGAAGCAGAGTAGTCAGAAGCTAAAGAGAGGCTCGGCTTCGTGCAATAAACAAATTTATGAGGGGCTGAAAACCTCTCCGCTTTGCCACGAATGCTCCGAAGCGGATCCAAGTCCGTCGTACTTATCGAGACATTACACTCTACTATTTTAATATCATGGTTTAGTTGAACAGCGTGTCCCAGTTAATAGGAAGTTTCTTTTCGTAAATTTGCTCGTCAATTGAAATACTCGAGTATCAGTTGAAACATATTTAGTGCGTAGTAATGGGTGTCCCTTTCGACGGATAATTATATCTTGTTGATTCGTAATTGGTACGGAAAAAGTGGCTGCGCGCTCGAGAGAAAGAAAATGTTCCGATAAGGCTGGGATTAACTTCACCGACGACTCTGAAATCTATCGGAGCGCTCGAAAGCTCTTCCTGGATTAAGCTTGAGCCGTTTATAGCGACATGATCGTTCGTCTAACAACTTCCACGAACTACTTCGCTCGATAATTCTGTTTGCAGCCGGTGCAGTCTTGCCGTTCCGTCCTCCTGTAAATAAATACACATTACATATCCCCGTTATTCCGAGTAGCCAGGGTTTTTCTTGTTACACATCTGACAGATCCAAAAACTCCTTTATTTCAGGTAACCCCTTCTCTCGTTGCCTTATATTATCTGAAAATGTCTTCCTTAGAAAGTTTGTCCTCTAAGAAAACCCTTGAAAAATTTCGTTACTATTTTATTAGTATTATACCATATTATTTAACGATTCTGAATTCGTAACTCACATCGAAATGTTACTGTATCACGCGCAGGGTTCGTTATTTTAATTCTGTATCCTCAAAGAATGCAGGAAGCGTGTTTACTGGGCTTTAATTTCCAATCAATGAAGTCTTAACCCTGTGCACTCGAGATATTTCTAGACTTATTTTGGATCGCTAAATATTGTCTGTACCTGTGAGGAGTACTTGTAGCGTAGAGGGTTAAAGATCCTCTAGATTTGTGTAAGCACGAAACGAGTGCAATCTCCAGTAAAACTGGAATTGCTGGTATTGTCTTTATTTTGCCACTAACTGCGATATCCTGCACATAATTACCACTCACGAAATCGAAATTACGAATAAAAAAGAAGCTCCGCCGATTTCCTTGCCTCGACTGACCGGTTCAACGGGGGGTGGTGTATTCGAAGACCAAATTTATAATATTCGGTCTAATACAACTTGTCTACAGTGGGTATGACGTATGGGCATTTGAATTTGTTCCAGACAGAAACTGACATCGCCCAAGTGGAATCGGTTCAAAGGAATCAGGCTGAGATGGAAGGACAAGATCCGGCTGAACAACGTGATCTGGAGGTGCTGGCACATGCAGTGTAAGAAGGGAACTGATCGCGGATCGCTCGTCGAAAAAAAATAGATCCATAGCAAATTACGGACCCAATTTAATACAATCGGAAAATCGGGAAGAATGTAACGGTGCTCAGGATAACCAAAGAATCTGTGCAACTGTCGAAAGCTTTGAGCAATCATCCAAGATATTCGATGCAAACGTCTAAAGGTGCGTATCCATTTGTTGCATATCATCGTATCACCATACGATACAATTTCATACGCAACGATGGAAGGCTTGTCCGTCCACGTTGGTATACAACGGTGATGCGATACCAAGATACGCATCAAGTGGATACGCGCCTTAAGACGTTCAATGCAAACACACACCTCGTTTATTATCCGGTAACTGGCGCTTCCTACCTCCCGCCCGCGTTATTTACTCGAGAAACCCGATCCTCTAATTGGATAAGTTGATCATGAAAGTGGTCTAACTGAAAAAAAAAAAACAAAAAAGATCAAGTTTTTCTTTTAGGCTAGGCGATGGTCCAAATTTGCCAACCATCCCTTATTTTATGTTACATCGATTTCTATTTCGATGTTACACAAGAATTGTGGAAACGAAGGAATAGTTGACTTACACACAATAATTCTTTCGAGCACACGATTGGCGTGTATATAAGCTCAGACGAGACCGGAAGCACCAGCCGGAGAGACCGTGTGACGTGTTTGTCGACCGGGTCTAATTTCGCTGACCTTTGACATTCGTTCCGCCGCGATAACCGTGTCACTCTTCTTTTTGTTTTGTTTTTTTTTTCATCGTTCGCGAGAACTTCTCCATCCTCGGACGGATGAGTTGTCCTGGTCAACAGTCGTGGTTCGAGGGTCGTATCGTCGATCGACGCGGTTTAGAGAGGAAGGTCTTCGAAGAATATGTCGTTTTTCATTTCCGTTCACCCCTTCCTTTTCCGGAAGTATTCGGAGAAACATCCTCCGCGTGGGTGCAGAGGACTGGTTGAAAGACGAAAGAAAGAAAGTTTCTAAAGTGATCGCTGCTTCTCGAATTGGCTGGGATCGAGTGGATCTCATTGATCGACGGATTAAAAAAACAGAAGTTTATTTCCCAGATATCTATCAGTTTTACTCGGATATTTTCTTTCTCTTGTCCGCCGCTAAAGAAAAGAAAATGTGCATTCACTGGTACGTTCGCCTCATTTAACGCTCATCAATCGATCTCTTTAAAAATCATCACTAGTTTGGATTTTGTGAGCGACAAAGGGTTAAATACACCGTCGTCGAGTCGATTTCAATCATCGTCGTTTTAATTCTCGGTCACGAAACTTCCTATTTTCAACCCTCAGCCTATTTACACTTCCACCCTTAACGTTCTCAAACTTTATTCTGCAATGCCCCCCACCCAAAAACAGATAAATTCGACGATTACGAGAAGATCCGATAGCGTTTAGAGTTGTTTCGTAACGTGGGCACGTTTTTACTTGAAACATCGAGCATGTCCCGCCTCCGTCCGATACCATCCTCTTGCGCCAGATTTCGTTTCCTTCGAACGACTAACGGCGACAAAGATATAAGTATATATACATATATTCTGAGCCAGAAGCAGCCGACTTGTCCATCAACCGACGATCGAAAAAACAAAGGTGGCGCGATAAATACCCGTAATCTAAAGCCAAATTAAATTGATTCAAGATATCCGTTGCGCGCGCGAAAATAAGGCGATACGATATAGTCACCACGCGTCGGAGTTTCACCAGATAAAAACCGTGGTTTATATCTTGTGCACGTGACGCGACAGTGACAAAGAATCCCCTACCCCTCCTCCCCCGCCTCGAGTCCACAATTGCTGCGGCGTCGTTGTTCTCTTCACGATTTTCTTCCGTCGTCGTGTCGAGCCGCTCAGTTTCGCGAAAACCGTCCCTGGTGGACTTACACGATATCGTTGATCGCGGGTGAAACACTAATCGGATCGGTTCCTTCGTTCGCGACCCTTTCGTGCCACGATCCCGAATCGTGTCGTCTCGATCGTTTCTTCGAGACGCGTTCCACCTGGCCGGTCCAATCGGTGGATCGTTCGTTTCCCGGCGTAGGAGTCAAGGTAAATCGGTGTGCGGTTTTTTCTTCGTGATCCAGCTTCAATTCTGCAACGAAATCGCTAACTCAGAACTCCGAAAGTCTTTGGGGAACGAACGGGGAACACCTGGGGCGTGTCTCGTTCTGCGTTTCTAACAAAGGAACCTTTGTAGCATAGACCTCGATAGAAGCTTCCGACAATTTTTCGTTGATATTCGATTCTGCGGGGCGAAACGACCCTTTAAAAGTTCACGTGACTTTCTCTATTTTTTTGTGTATCTTGAAAACTATAACAGATTCTAAGAAACTGTTTCAATGAAAACTTAATGCCTTCTCATGCTCTTTAAAATTATGCAAGAAAATTCTTAAAAATTTGTTTGTTTGAAAGGGCAAATTTTTAACGATTTCGTTACACACCCTGGTAGAGAATAAAAAGTCATGGAAATTATCATTCTGACATTTTCTTTATATGTACTATAATTTACAAGATATACAGTATCAGCAGAAACTGAAAATTGTTCCATGCTTCTATCAAGGACCCCTACAAATCAACTGCACTTTTAAAAAAAAATGGAACGTGTTGCGGGTTACCGTGACGTTTCCGTGTGAGTCACCGAAACACGCTGGTGCCGTTGTTGTTAATCGTGGTCGCCGCCGAGAGAGAAAATTAAACGGGCAGAGCACCCGAGATGCTGCTCCGTAGAGGGGAGATATCGTTCTCGTAAAAAAGACCGGAGGACTTTTAAATAAAACGGACCGCCGATATATATCAATTGTGCAATCGTGTCTCGGGTGAAACGGGGGGTCTCGTTCACTGACATTTCGATCGGACTGCCTGCCACCAGAGCGTTATTTTTACGACGCGCGCGTGTCTCTCGTGTCCGCCATTCAGACGACAGGGGGAGGCTAATTTTCGTTCGCATGGTAAATCACTCGTATAGACAGCGTGTAACTTCATACACTGGATTTTTATTCGGAACGAAACGTCACGTCGTGTGAAAACGAAAAAATCTGTCGGTTTTCATTTTACATCTCTAGTAACTCTAGTTTTTCGATTTATCGTCGAGAATCGTTTTTACGTGGAACGTCGAAATTTCGGGATGGAGGGGGGTTGGTACTCGAATAATCGACATGTTACGGTTGATTATTGCTCCATGTAAATTGTGCAACGCGTAATATTCACCTCGTTTGTTGCTTAAGAACGTTTTCGATCGGTATTTTCCAACGGAATGACGTAAAAGCTCAGGGTAAAATGGGAGGAAGGAATTTTTCTCACGTGTTCCCCGTTCGTTGACACGAGACGTCGAAGGACTTAATGAATCGTTTTCGTACGCTGCTGAACTGCTGTACAAACACCTCCTGTTTCCAGCGGTATACAAATATGTTCGTCGCCTGTGTTGATCTCATACGGAATTACACGACGATAAGAGCTTATCGGGTTTGTGTAATTGTTGAAAATAAACCGACGAACCGTTCGAATATCATTCGAGGGAAATATTGCACGAATCTGCCCTCCAGTATCGATGAAACGGATCGAGAATTGAAAATCCCCGGGACTCCGGAGGTGTAATTGTACAGATAAAACGAATCGAAAATGTAGAATAGAATACTTGCCTCTGTGTTTACGTTTTTGAGAAAATTAATTTTGAAAGTAATCACGTTACGTGCTTCTAGGTCGGCCATTGCCGTGACGCCATTTTGGTGTACACAGCGGGAGCAATTCTTTGAGTCTGTACAACCTGATTGGCCACCAAGTTTAAGACTGTTTCGCGGAGAATATTCTTAAATGTTTCCTTAATACTTAACTGTGTTCCATCATCCCCGACGCACTTTGAAATCCGATTTAATCCTTAATTACAGACCACTCGTCTCGGATACGAAATTGAATTTTTTCTTTCGCCAGCACAATCTAGCGGAGAATCTTGGAAGCTCTAACGTTCGAATAGCTCCAATTGATAGTAAGTAAGCAAACTGTTTCCAAAATGGTAACAACATTTAATTGCTTACTAAAATTGTCATTTCGAAGTATTCGTTTATAAGACGAGTTATCTGCAATTAACAGTTACACGGTGGTTCACGCGATAACGCGAACACCTGTGTTCCACATTTTCGACTCGCATATTTTTACACGAAGAACACCGCCGCCATGTTGTTTCCTAAATCACTTCCACTTCGATTTTCTCGAAGAAGGTGCACCGTAGGAGTACATTACCGTCGAATTCTTTGGAAAACCAAAAAAGAAAAGACGGGCGTCGGACAAAGGGGAGGTTTCGGTGTGTGGGACGCTTAGGGGACTCGATCTTCCTTTCGAGGGCTGTGTTCATCGGGGTCCTCGATTCCTGCGGCGAACTATTCCGCGGCCACGCTGCAAAATGCGTCGTCTGAAAGTCGGCATCGGGACGGCCGTCGCGTCTCTGCTCCGTTACACCGACTACGTGAAAGATGGGCTCAGGTTAAAAGGAAGCTAACTGTCCTGAGTCGCGCGAAATCGTTGCGTTCCGATTCGACCCAGCACAACCGATTCGTGGTGCGTATACACACCAGTACTCTTTGTCCAGTAAAGGAACCACGGGGTGGGGGACATCTGGTCGCACACAAAGACTTTGTTTAGCGAAAGAACTGCGTCGTCGACTGTTTCACAGAGCTCTGCGCGCAAATGACTCTGAAACTGGAGCTATAAAAAGAAAATTTAGCCGTGGATTATTGTATTTTTGTAACGTGGAATTTCCCTTATTCGGAATTAACTCGGACCTACGGTTCTCTCCAAACTTAGGACACATTTTTCTCTGAATCAGTAATAACGAAATTCGGAATTTTTAGAGAGAATACAGTACAACTCCAAAACGATTATTCCAAGTCTGATAGTCTTGCACGTCTTTGTGGAACCCCACTGCCTCATAGTTCCTTTCAGTTGACTTGCCCCCCATCCCACAGTCTCTCAGAGATCCAATCTTGTAACAATCCGATTGTAATTCTTCGACGAGCGATCGGAGGATGTCGTATCTGGGGTGGTTCGAGGATCGTCCAAGAGACGACTCCGAAAGTCATCGACGATGATGCTATGTAATCTCGTGACGTTTTCAGTTATACTGAAGCAGAACACGTTGGTGTGCCAGTTCGCATCCCCGTTGGATGTTGACACTCATAATAAACCCGAGGTACGTTCTCGTCAAGCATCACAGTAAATCCTCGATAAGTGCTCGAAGGCACTGAGAAGGAAAGGTTCCCAGGTCTAATGCTGACTTTTTAATCAAACTTAGCACAGCGATAGAGCTTGGCATTCTGAAGCCAATGATATTTGTTTTAACCGCATATGGTTATTAGTTTATGAAATATTTCATGTTTACTGCCGAGGAGCCTTCGAACACTCGTCGAGGATTTACTGTAGTACCGTAGCCGGTTGAGTACCTGCAGTTGTGCAGGGCGTCTGAGAACGAGTGTCGAAAATATACAGAGTGGGACAATAATTATGTCCACTTTGAATATTGCCGTTATTTGTAATAATATGAAAAAATGTTATATTCAAAACTTACACGGTATAGCGGGGGCATATTGCGGCACAAACATTTTCTGCGTGGGTGAAGGCATAGAGGAGATTTCAACGTCATCTCAATTTTTTTTAATGGAACGCTATGTTTTTTTCATCGCGATGTGATAGCCGGTGTTGAGACGACTTCAGCGAGCTGTTATTGAAGGTCATGCAAGGTCAAATGTGGTAGTAAAATAAACTTTCTTACATTACAGGAGATGCTCGAAGTGGTGACCGTTTGCGTCAATGCAAAGTTGCAATCTTCGTATCGCTGCATCATAATTGCAGCATGTGCTAGAATAAGTTCAGAAACGATAAGACATGCACGTGATGCAGCGATACGAAGATTGCAACTTTGCATTGACGCAAACGGTCACCACTTCGAGCATCTCCTGTAATGTAAGAAAGTTTATTTTACTACCACATTTGACCTTGCATGACCTTCAATAATAGCTCGCTGAAGTCGTCTCAACGCCGGCTATCACATCGCGATAAAAAAACCATAGCATTCCATTAAAAAAAATAGAGATGACCTTGAAATCTCCTCTATGCCTTCATCCACGCAGAAAATGTTTGTGTCGCAATATGCCCCCTCTATAACGTGTAAGTTTTGAATATAACCTTTTTTTCATATTATTACGAATAACGGCAATATTCAAAGTGGAGATAGTTATTGCCCCACCCTGTATATATTTTTTTTATAAAATTGTATACCCAATTCTATCGTTTCCTGTCTCTCACTGCTAAGCGACTTCACTCGACACTTTTAAGACTCCTTCCATGTATGTATGTTAATAATAAAGATTTCATACGGTGCTGTACATCCCATATAGTCGAATGGGATTCAGGCACGATCAAGGATGCGACACAGATATCCTTGATTGTGCAAGCGTGTTATCATCGTGTCGATTCGAGACGCGAGAAAATAATTGAACGTCGTATGTACACGTTGGTTGAGACGTTCGGTCGCATAAGATTGGTGTACAGTTTTCAAGCGTAAATCAACGATACGGTATCTCTTATCAGGCGGTGGTCTTAGAGGGCAAATACTGGAAGCGAAAACTTGCTGCAGTTACTGCGGAATACAAGAAATGGCGTATGTTCTACCGGAACAAGATCCTTGGCTGGACGAACAAGGATGGCACCGAGATGGTATTTCATACCCCTCAAGAGGAATAACTTTGTTTTCAGTCTTTTTAACCCTACCGTTGTCAGTTCCAAATATCAGGCCAGTATCGAAATCAAGTCAATCCAGTTGCTTGGCACTGATACATTATTTTGTTTAGTAGATAACAATCTCTCTTGCCTAGTCTTACGTGCGATTTTCAATGGTAACAGAAACCTGAAGAATCTGAAATTTATATTTCTTTTATCGATAATGGCAGGGTTAACAGATTGTCTGTAAATTATTTAGAAGGCCATAGGCTACCACCGTTTCCCATTCATGGCAGAGTACACGTTTATTTCAGATGGAATCGATGGACGTGTTAGATTGGGGCAGCGGATTAGGAACCTCTGGGAACTACGGAGGAGGTACTGGCAACACACACGGAGGAATCAGTGGGACTCCAGGTGGAGAGAGTATGATGGTTGATGAGGATTACATGGAGCTTATGACTGATACGTTATTTTCAACAATCAGTTCGAATCAACCAATATACTTTCCCGATCCGAGAGAAATTGGTAAACTCGCTAATTCACGGTCGCGTGACTACTTATAAACAGTAATACCTGCAATTGAATAAACCGTAAAGCAATAGCTCTCAACGTATATTGTCATTTTGACGCTGTAAAACAGCAGTGCAGACGTTCGTATAATATTCAGATCTTTGAGATAGAAACTAAGAAATTAATGTGTGATTGGTTAAAAAATAGAATAACAGTTTGAATGTATTTCACGCAGTCTAGTAAAATATCTAGTGTATTAATAGATTTAACAGAATTATTAAACATTATATTCTATGGTATTTGTTCAAAATTTATAGCGCGTGGGGCCAGTCTGGCGGATTTCATACAGCCCAGCCTGGGTCCGCTCCAACCGAATTTGGACGATTTTATGGACACCCTTGAACCGTTGCAAGGTGAGCGATCGCGGTCAATTCCGGTTGTTCGTGATACATGTGGCAAATATAGAGGCGGTAATCGATCGATCGTTATTTTAGAATTTTTGAATTCGAAGCTACCTCCTGTCCCCGAGGAGGACGACATGTTTCGTAGTAGCGCGCTGAACTCGAACTATCCCGATCTGGACTTAATGACGCCCATGAATCAGATGAACGAGATGGGCCAAGGATCGTCGGTGAAAAACGAGCAAGCCACGCAGTCGGCGTTGTCGCAGAACGACCAGGGAAACACGATACAAAATCTTCAGTATACCGCCAAGATATATACTCAACCTGAACCAACGAATGCCTTCAGGAATAATATGTAATGGCACAATATTAATGTTCTATAGACGTTTATAGATAATCAAATGTAGCTCGTGCAATGAACATATTAACGTTTAAATTCGCGAAACATTTCGATCATATTATTATAGTGGTCTGAACGAGAATTACAACGCTATGCAACAGAGCTACGAACCTTCCCCAGCGAGTCAACCGGTGAGAGAGAAGAGTCGAGCAAGACGGGTCTCGTCGAGGAGCAATCGAATAATTCAACAGCCCCAACAACAACAACAACAACAACAACAACAACAGAACACATATCAACGATCAACGCAGCAACAGAGTTCAGGGTTCCAACAAAGTTCCCAACCTCCATTCGCCATGGAGATTCAAACCGTTCAGTTGACGGCGGTTCAGAATCAAGTGCAAATATCGCCGATGAACGATCAGTCTGTTCATGCTGCTAATCAAATATCATCCATCAGTGGACACGTTCAGAATTTGGCGGCGGTGCAACAGAATTTCGTAGGAACCAACTGCTCGGTACCCACTCAGCATCGAACAATTCGACCTCTGCCGCCGGTCGCTCCGATCTCCGCCAAACCGTACAAAACCGTGCAACCGCAACAATGCTACAAGTTCTCCGGTCTGCCGCAAAACTTTAATGCGCAGCAATGTAAATTCAACACCAACAATTTCAAGGTACTCCGATAAAACGTGTCTTTACGTCGCTGATTTGAATAATGTATCGACGAAGGCGAGAGAGAAGTTGCGAGATTAACAATCGGATTATCATTGCTTCGCAGACACACCCACCGCAGCAAGTCGTGTCGGTCACCGCGGAGCAATCGTCGCAATCGCCGATACTGTTGCAGTGCAGACCCTCGGGACTGGATCTCACCACGCCGAACGTGCAACCCGCGAAACTGCTTCCGCAATCACCCGCGATCAATACAGAGAAGGAAGAGGTTTTCGCTGTACCGAAGGTTAATAATTTATCATAGAAAACTATAATACCGTTAAACAAGAACAGTGAGAAATCTTCGAATATTAATCTATGTACACAATGTAATTTTTTGTTCACTTGTCACTGAGAATTTCTCATTTTCGAACCATTCAAAAAGTGTGTCGTCGCTCGGCAGATAACTGTGTTGTCATTTGAGAGACTGATGATGAATTTTGGTTTTCCGTTTCAGTATCAGATGAAAGCGAGGAATAGATCTCGAAGCAGTTCATCGCTAACTGCGCCGAGAATGCACCCGCCGCCGTTAGTGTCTGCAGCGAGCGATCCCGCTCTAAATCTAAATAACAATGTATTGCTCGCGCAGTTACTCACGAATAGTATGTATTCTAAGAAACGTAATCTTTGCACGGTTCTTAATTTTCCTATTATATTATTCAGCGCCTGAGGCGCGATTGTTAAGCAATCGAGAAAAAAAAAACATATATCAATCGTGGTATTATGCCTTTTCCCGATGATATAGAATATTATGAGAGATTCAATATCGTTACATAGACACATCTGGTATATACACAATGAATAGTCCGGCTGATAATATAATGCCGACAGTGAACCAAACAGCCACCACTATGAAACACATCTTACCCATGCTTCCACCTTCAGCTTCGCCCGCGCAGGTGACGACCACACATCAGATCACCACACCGATTACTGTCCAAACGATGCAAACCACTACGGTGCAGGTCCAACCACAGCAGCAGGTACGCGTCGAAAGATTGAATTAATTTTATAGACTTCGTGAAATGCATTGCATACTGTATAAGTCTGATCAAGATTAAGTGGTCGCGGTTTTAATCATGCTAGACTTATAGTCTTTCTGAAAGGGTGTTTTCGCGAACCCTGTTTATATATTCCACGTGTCGTAGATTACATAACTGAGATCGACATTAATAAAACAGTTTGTTTTATATAATCGATAATATATTATGTGTGTGTGTGTGTATGTGTGCGTGTGTGTGTTGCATATTAGGCAATGCAACAGTCTACTTGCAGCCAACAAATGTTATTAAATACAAATACCCAATCACACCAGCCACAAAATAGCCCCGGGTCACCGAAGGACAGTTCGAACGCGCACAGCCCTCAGGCGTTGAGCCTCAGCCCTTTGCACAGTCCAATGAGTATAGGGAGCCCGTTGTCGCCTTCCCGAGGATACATAAAAGGCGAATCGGAACGGGGACAGTACAAGGAGCAAAGAAGAGTCGGGCATATCCACGCCGAGCAAAAGCGTAGATATAATATTAAGAATGGATTCGACATGCTGCACAGTTTGATACCGCAGCTCAGCCAAAACCCGAATCCGAAGCTGAGCAAGGCCGCCATGCTGCAAAAGGGGGCGGATTATATAAGACAGTTGAGGGCGGAAAGGAATCAATTGAAGGAGGAAATGAATAGCTTGAGCCATCAAATTGAGTGCCTTAGTGCATCGATTAGGTAACAACAATTGATTATGAAGAAAAGTGTTCTGTTCGAAACGACAAAGTGTTGCATTCTTTAATTTGTTACTTAATGATCTTTCAGTAACTATCAGGCTATGCTTCCTGCAACGGGTGCTCCGATTTCTAGACACAGAACTAGTAAAATGAAAGAGATGTTCGACGAATACGTGCGCACGCGTACGAGGGAAAATTGGAAATTTTGGATTGTATCCTTTCGAGTAGAAATTATTTTTCATTTTATTGCCGGTGAAAAGAACGTGGTATAGTCGTAAAATAGACCTGTTACACCCTGTATTTCTATCGATTCTGTTGTCACGGTGTCTGGAACATGAACATGTTTAGCTCCTGGTCGGTTTTATGACTACACTTTATCTTTTTCATAGAAACATTTAATACATTTTTAGTACATTTCCTGACCAATGACATTAGTTCAGTATATTGCTTGAGCCATTGATGATTTCCTTCAATACTTCAGTATCAACCGCCAGTATAGAAGATTTATACAGAAGTACAATGTTATGGGTCGAGCAGCATTGCTCGCTCGTCGATCTCAGACCAGGTTGGTGTTCTATCAAAAAACCAAAGAAAGCATCGTTCGTTATTATTCACAAGTCTTATTTAAGCGCTACATTTCATTTGCTGTTTCAGCTGTTCTGAAGTCCCTGAAGTATCTGTGCACTGCCACTGATATTCTGTCAGACCCTGGTCGCTTGCCTGAAGAAGCACTCGCAGCAGTAAATTGCACAGAACCACGACGATCTACTCAGTGACCAATACGCGAATCCATCGTGGAATGTATTTGCCTACACCTTTAAGATTTACCCTCGTAACGAGAAGGAGAAAGTTACCGTAGTTTAATCCAGTTTTGGGAGTCTCACTTACGTGAAAAAGAATTTCTTAAAACGGTCGATTCCTTTTTTTTTTCTTTTTTACAGTAGATACTCTGGTTTCCTTTCGCCAGCAAAACGGCGGTTGAACAATGGGGAAACTACTTAAAAAGTGCAATTTCGCCCTCTGTGTCCTTGTCAAAATTGTGATCACCGAGATTTGCAACACCAAATCATAGAAAAGTGCGTGGAAAATATAAATGGCGAATGAATTTAATCGTGAACTATGTTTAACGAACTATTTCTATATATAAATATATACAGACTGTTGCAAATTGGAACGCGTTGAGATTTTTAAAATACTTTTTTTTCACAAATGAAGTGTTATCGCAATGAGTAATAAACTGCGAGTACATTTATATTTATTACGTGATTGTGTATATTACCCGTTTACCGTTCATTCAGAAAATCGCGTGCTATGAATTAATTGCGATAACAGAATTTGCATAATGAACTTGTTCCGTTTTGATTTCATCGATTCACTGAATTTGTTTTAGTATTTGCCTACATGCTTATGTAATATTGAAAAAGAAAATACGTGTAGAGCAAACCATTCCATTATATTTTTACTATGTTTCTTTTGGACTATGTACGACTTTTTTGGCAAAGTTCCGTTATTTAGAAAAAAGAAATTAATGTTTCTTAAAATTGTTCTATTTCTCATTACATAACGTTTGTTTTTTACTTTTAAGATGAAAACACTTGTAAAAAATATATTGCGGACCCGAGAATATATTACATTGTCGGTATATTTTTATAGTAATCGAAATATACGTAAGTTTATTTTGAAAATTTTAGTAGCTTTGAATATTCTTTTACCGAAAGTGACAAATAAATCATTGTTTACGTCTTACGATGTAAATGATCGTTCAGAATTTTTCAATGTTACACGTGAACAAGTTTCGGAGTACCTTCCTAAAATCGGTGCCATTTTGAAAATACATCATAACACTAGACTGGAGACGGAAACTATGCAATTAAAAATTGCAGACCAAATATTATATGATATTTTCAAATGGCATACTTTTACTGTATAATAAATATACAATTTTTAACATCTGCATAGTAATAACTTTTGGAGGACGAAGAATTTACATTGCAGATAATCGAATTGCACTGCAGATGATAGAAAATGGATTGCTCACAAATCAAAAGTATGTTACATACTAATAATGTTATGGAATATGAAGTTTTTAATGCGAAATTTCATGTGATAATGTACAAATCATTTATAAAGATTTCAATTATTAGAATTTAAGATATAAAAGACTTCTGCATATTATAATGCTCTTGTTCATTTTTACATAATTGTACATAACTAAATATCGAGAACGGTAAATAATCTTGAAAATCGATCTGTTCCTCATTGACGATTATTAAAACAAAATTTTCATTTAGTAAGAGCTTGTTCCATTAATGTTTATAATATACAGATGTCTTTTTAACTTACAATTTTTCATTGTGTATGTTTAAGTGATAAATAATATAAATAAACCAACGAAGGGATGTTTCTTTTTGTACAATATGTATCATATAACCATATAAACATTCATGTACTCTTACTCAAATGTTTATTTCCATGAAGGAAATTAAAATTTATTTTCTATCCTTCTGTTTTCCTATGCTGCTTAGAATCACAGATCATTAGCTGTTTTTTTTATTCATTAAAAAAGAAACACCTTACACAACAACACTTTTTTTTTATAGACATTGAAATGTTCATTGTCAAGGTCTGCTTTCATTTATAATTAATTAATAAGTTACTAGTAATAATTTACACTGGAAAACACTTGTACAAAAATACATATTAATTATGTTTGCTTTCCGTTTACTGCCTAGACTCGTCAAATTATGTTACTGGTGTCAAGGTTGAACACTTATCACAGATTAAACATAAACACACATTACTGTTTCCAGCAAGTGGCAAGAACCCTGGTGGATTTGTGCACATTGCAGAGTGAGTATTCACAGACTTACTTATTAAGTGGTCTAAATCTTTTAAAGTTATATTGTTTAATTTAAAAGTACACGACGTACAAGTTATCTCTCCTACTTCTTCTGTCAGATTAGATACCTGACATGTGGGACAAATTACTTCATTAACTTCTTGATCTGCTGCTAATGCTAATAACTCAAGTTCTTCTTGGGACATTGTTTCATATTCTTGCAAAATCCATTGTTCTATGAATCAAACATGGTAAAACTATGAATGTGAGTAAAATTTCTCAATAATCAATGTTATTAACTGTTGCTTGTCATGAAAAATATGGTTTCCAAACATATAATATCATTTATTAAGATGTACTGAAATAACTATATTACTAAACCATACCAATGAAACTCACCTTCTTCATTTATAATTTCAGTTTCAAGTTCAAGTGCCTCTTCTGGATCCAGAGGTCCACTGACAATATGGGAAAAGGGATTCACAGTTGGATCTAAATCCGTAGTTGCAATAATATTTAATTCCTTGCGTACAATTTCAGTTAAGGTATCCTGCACGTCTTTCGAATTGATTTCTATACCGAATCTGGTTCTGTTGAACAACTGTCCCCGTTTTTCTCGCATCCTTTGTCGACACCTCTGTAATAGAATATTATTATTAATCACTTTTGATAAACAAACTGATAACATACTATATCTCATTGCTCTAATATTTGCAATGTTTTTGGATAGAAAAAATAAAAATTCGATAAATAACCTCACGGAGAACTTCTTGCAGTTTTGGTGAGCCATGTTTGATTTTATTCACACTTTCTCGATTTTTCAGTTTCATTGACATTGTTGGACTTAATGCAATGTTCTCCATATCTTTCGTACACTTAATCATTTCCAAAATTTCACCAATAATTAAAAAACGTCCAAAATACGAGGAACCACTTGCCGCCAATACAACATGACTCAATCTTGCCCAATACAGTGAATATAGTCTAATATTGTACAATATCTCGCTCCAAGAACTCTGACTAGAGATGGCGCGCAAAATCATTAACGGTGATTTATCACAGTTATCGCCGAATCACGATCACGGTCGTGATTTAACTTCAGTACACGTTTGAAACGTGATCCTTTATCGCTGTTGCTCGTACAACTCTCTAGCTCGGTCGAATGTTGCTCGTGCAACTGTCGAATTGGGACTGACGCTTGTCCGTGTTCCCGTGAACAAATTAGATAATAGCCCCAGTAACCATGGCAGTTTCTCCAGATACTACTGTTTCGATAAAGAATCACGTTTCAAAACTCTTACACATGCTCCGTGGGTTTTATAACCCCACTTCCTCACACAAACGGAGTCGTTGGCGCCTCCACCGGGGGTTCCATGACCCCACGCTCTCACCACTCGGGGTCTCTGGCGCCTCCACCGGGGGCTCCATGACCCCACGCTCTCACCACTCGGGGTCTCTGGCGCCTCCACCGGGGGCTCCATGACCCCACGCTCTCACCACTCGGGGTCTCTGGCGCCTCCACCGGGGGCTCCATGACCCCACGCTCTCACCACTCGGGGTCTCTGGCGCCACCTGCGGGGGTTCTATGACCCCAAGCTCTCATCACACGGTCTCTGGCGCCACCTGCGGGGGTTCTATGACCCCACGCTCTCATCACACGGAGTCTCTGGCGACACCTGCGGGGGTTCTACGGCCCCACTTCTTATACATACGGGGTCGCGACGCATGCTCCTGGGGTGCTATGACCCCACTTTTTCACCACTGGTCTCTTACCACTGAGTAGTAGTCGGTGATACAATATAGTTGTAGATAGCACTATAAGCACAGTGTAGTTTCGCTTATTCTGTCAGTTCATTTTGTGTGTACACTAACATTGAATTTTTATGTAGAATACTTGAAAAACATTTTGTTTAGAATCTGAGCAGTAATTTAAAGATAAGATGAACGCACCTCCTACCTTCGAATCATTTCTTCTCTACGAAGGAGAGAAAAAGTGAGTATTGCCAATTAGTTAACCTACCATTCGTCCGATTGCGAAGTAGCTTATACGTAATTTTCGTATTTTACTTAGAATAATTAAGGAACAGGATACTAAGGTCACCAATGCCGCAATTTTCACAGTCAACAAGGAAGATCACACTCTTGGAAACATGATCCGCAAGTATGTTTATGTCGAATTGTATTTTATATAAAAGTTACGAGTTTCATCTTCGCTGTATATAAATATAGATGGTTATAGTAATGGAAAAATGAATATCAATGACAATATTCAACCGTTATTCAACAGCCAACTATTAAAGGATCCTCAGGTCCTGTTTGCTGGGTACAAAGTTCCACATCCGCTAGAACACAAATTTGTTATTAGAATACAAACAACATCAGATTACACACCACACGAGGCCTTCATGCATGCAATTACGGACTTAATTGCAGAACTTTCGTTGTTCGAGGAGCGTTTTAAAGTAAGATACAATCATTATTCTATATATAGAATTTCTATACCTGTGTTTACATACACATCACAATATTATAATATAAACATTTTTCAGGAAGCTATCAAGGAGAAAAAGGAAGGCCTGGATTAGATTATAAGTTTTCTAATTGTAAATTTTAATTATGTATTATAGTGACCTGATGCCTTTTGATAAATAAATTATGTATTTCTGACATTTGTACATATGAATCTGTAAATAAAAGTAGCTAGAAGAAAGCTCTTCAAACTGGTAAATAGAATTGTTTGTGTAACAAATAGAAAAGATATGAGGGAGCAATTAATCATGTTATAGGAACATCCAAACTTCTCAGATGTCTCTAGACACACTAATTAACTAACTACACCAAAAATATTGTAATCAGTCTATTAGAATTTTATTTGTCCTATCTACAAAGCATGTTTACAATTTATCAAATGTACATCTGAAACAGAGTCTAAATCAGTGAACACTGTCAACCCTGTATTAAGGCTCAAAGTAAAAAGGCAAGAGAATGACAAGTTATAGTAGTACAATTTTTTGAATAATGCGTAACAAAACAGGAAGCACTTACTCTCGATACATTCGATCAACAAATCACTTTTTAGAAAAATTGTACCACTAAATCGAATCGATAGAAGTTTTCAAAGATAGCATACGTAACAGTTTACGTCTAACGCTAACGAGTCGAGTAAAGTTCATCGAATAAAGGAACTATTATTGAATGCGTCGCGTTTTTGAACGCCAAATAAATATTAAATATACGACAGATTGGTATAAATATTATATACATAATTACATTTGACCTCTGTGAGTCGATATACGGTTAACATTTCATTATGCACGCTTTGATTAAAATATGCTCCCTTATAAATTGTTCGACAATTTATCCAACAATGTATCCTAAAAACTCAACTGTGGTCTATAACTGAACATTAATTTGTACTTTAACAATTACACGGAAACAGAACAAATTTAAAGCATTTCGAACACAAAACATTTCTGTGAGTATATATGTATGTGTAGAATAGAAGTCATGAGAAAGAGAACATCCGACTATCTTTCCACACTTTATAAAAGTTACAGAATTCTGAAAGACACGAAGCCAAATCGAAAGAAAGAAATTATGTGCGTTAGATTCATCCTTTACAACCATGTAATTTTTGTCTCTACTTTCCAATCAAAAAATAAGACAGTGTTCTTTTTCTTGGAATTCAGCCTGTAAACTTTTAAACTGTGGACTTAACAGGGGGAGCACAGCTGTCCGTCAAGTCACTCGAGTCTCTGGATGGATACACATTACCTATGCAGGAAGACATACATACAACGGTAGAATTTAACTCTTTATACAAAAATATACTCTATAAAATTTCAACAGGTCTTTCTCTCGCGTCTAGGATCTTTTTGCCAAGCAATGGAACGGGTTTACGAATAACAACACGCTGTTAAAACGTCTCGGCATCATCGCAATCACGAGTATCGTGTCCAAACACTGTAAAACAATCAAACGGTATAATAAATGGTACACTCGATAGAAGTAGAAAGGTCAGAGAATGCTTAGTTTAAGAAAAGAAATTATAATCTTACAAGCAGTTTAATAGATTAAAACGGTAAAATATAGTTAGGAAAAGGTGTATAGGTAGCGTTAACTGTAAAATAGAATGTGGTTATATTATACTACAGAAGAATAGTTAATCGATGTGAAACTACTTTCGGGATTGTAGAAATCTTTTTGTGAAAAACTTCAGACGTTTATTTCGTTTCTGAGGGAAAAGAATATTGTAAACATATGCAGCCAGAAGTGCAAATCGAATAACTTTGAACAATGAAACCTTACTTTCACAGTTCTCGCAGTACGGTCTTTCTACTGACACTTTCTTGGGAGACTTTGTCACTTTCTCCGGTTCTAAGAAGTCTTGAGCTTGGCGCGGGCAATCTTCCGTTTCATGTAAATCGAACTGATCACAAATATCACAGAACATGCGTGGAGCAGCCATACGTTTTTCTAATGTGCTTCTAAAATAATATAAAGAGTTAGCATAAATATTTTTTACTAGGGAGAATAAACAATAAAATTAAATGTTACGAACTGGGTATAGTCATCAGCTTCGTTAGCAGGTACCCCCATTTCGAGAACTTCAACCTTACACATTAACGCTTCGTTTTTACGCTGCATATCTACTATTACGGAATTCAAGAAATCTATTTGACTTTTTGCTGTTTCATTTTCCTCTTTTAACTTTAAACTATCAATGTCCTGGTCAACTGAATCAGAAAAATATATTCTAAAATAGTTCAAAAGAAATTAAAATAAGTTAATTGATATTAGAATGTTTACCTATATGTTGTTTCATATCACCTCCAGCTGCCTAAAATATAAATTACGTTATGTTCTATAGCGTGTATAAAAATACAAATTTTAGCATTACCGTTAAAAGCTTACATCATAATTATTCTTCATATTTTCACGAGTCAGTTTCAACTGATTCGTTGCTTCCGTCCATTTAACAACTTTGTGCTTCCCTTAATTGGGCGGATTCTGAGGACATACGGTTCAATTTTTCCATTAAGTTTTGCATATTCTTTTCAGCTTCTTTCTCTTTATTTTTCATAGTATTTGATAGGATTTCGATCTTCTGTTCTTGTTCTTTAAATGATTTCTCAAGAGAGTCTTTAGTGTTGATTAAGTGTCTGTTTTCTTTGCTTATCTCATCCAGCTTACTTTGAATTAATTTAACTTCTTCATTCTTCGTCTGCTCGTGTGTATTTAACTTCTCTGTTTGTGTACTTTCTAAAGCTTTAATTTCTGCAGTTAACATTTTAATTTTTGCTTCTTTATTAGACAAGTCACTGTTCTGTTTCTCAACTAAGCTTTCAAGCGAGATCCGTTTTTGCTCTAATTCCGAATTCTTCTGAAGCATATTTTCAAGTTCAGTCTGCCTGAACTTCACTTCGGACTCTAAACTGTTTTGTAATTTCATCACAGATTCATCTTTGGTGTTTTGTAATTCTTTTATCGTTCCTTCCACCTCTTGAAGAGAACGAATTTTAGCATTCAGTTCTTCTTTTACAATCTTCAATTGTGATTCTAAAGCATTTACATTATCTGCTAAGGAAGTCTTTGTTTCTATAATACCTTTGACTTCATTCTCTTTTCTTAGAAGTGCTTCTTGCATTTTATTCATTTCCTCGATGTTACACGTCTGCTCTTTCTTTATGGACGCAACAGTATCCGTCAGTTTTAAAATTTGTGATTCAGTCTGTTCAGCTTCCTTCTTCATTTGAATAAGAGCTTCTTCTTTAACCTTAATCATCTCTGTCGCATCACCTAACTTCTCCTTCAGTTCCTGAATTTCTTTGAACATTGTACTCAAATTACTAGTAAGGTCTTTATCAGTGGTTTCCTTATTAACTATTAAAGCTTCATTTGTTTTTTGTAATTCTAAGTATTTATTTTGAATTTGCTGGAGATCAGAGTTCTTCTCCGATATTAAAAACTCTAGCTTTGTACGATTTTCTACTTCGGTTGCTAACTTTTCAGTTAACTCTTCGATTGACCAACGATTGGCACTTTGATCTGCTTCTAACTTAGTTTTAACTTTTTGTAAGGCTTTCGTCTCTTCTTGAGAAACAACTAGTTCTGCCTGCAAATCGTCAAGTTGTTTCTGCAAAGACGACATTTTTTCTTTGTGTGAATTCTGCAATGCATCGTATTGCTGTTGAACATTACGGATTTCCTCTCTACTATTCTTTAATTCATTTGCAAAGTTCAAAGCTTCTTGAGATTTCTCGTTAAGATTACATTTAACCTGTTCATTTTCATTAATAATCTTCTGCAACTCACTATTCTCTGCTTCAAACTGTTTTATTTTGTCTAACAGCTGTGAATTCACTCTTTTCTCTTTTTGCAATTGAGACTTATTGTCTTCTAATTCTGTACGCTGTTCCTGAGTCAAAGTGTTAACTTTATTCAATTCTTGCTCCATATTACTCAATTTTGTTTCTAATGATTTTACTGTACTTTCACTTTTAAATGTTTTATCCTTCAACTCATCCAGCTCTTTTTCTTTCATTCGCAAATCCTCATTGTATTTCATCAGCTGTTCAGAAGAATCAGCAGAACTATTTATCAAATTTGCAATATCAGCCTCCTAAATGCAACATAAAAGATAAAATGTATTTTCACCAAAGTTTCTATACCAGAAATTTCAGATAATTATTACTAACCAATTTTTCTTTTTGAGCTGTGACTTGTGATATTTTATTTTGTGCAGCAGCCATTTCCTGTCTCAGATCTGCTACACTATTCTCAAATTCCCGAACTTTGCTCTCCAGAACATGTTCAGTTTGTTTCGATGACATAAGAGCATCTTGTAATTCTGAAACATAAAAATTACTAATGCTAAGCCAGCAATAAACGAAGTAATTGAATAATATATTTAAGTAAAATAATAATGTATAATTTACCTGAAGTTTTCTCTTTAAGATTTCTAATTTCCTCATCTTTACTTGCGAGAATTAGTTTTAGTTCAACTATATCATTCTCCAATTTACTTAGTAATAAAGACTTTTGAGATATATCTGCCTTTACTTCATCAATACACTTTGACTTCTCATCAATCTGACCCTGATAACGTTTAGTCAATTCCTTGATTTCAGCCGCAGTAGTGGAACGAAGCTCTGACAATTCCTTTTCCTTTACCTTCAATTCTTCATTTAACTTCTTTAATTGTGTAGAAGAATTTGCTTCTGTAGCCATCAAGGTAGCGATGTCTTCCTCCTAAATTAATATAACATTTAATACTCATGAATTTAACTTAAAAAAAAAGAACTACTTACTAATTTATGCTTTTCTTGGATTATTTTGAAACTGTCTTCAGCTTTTAATTGATATTCCTGCATTTGGTTAGAAAGAACAACATTCTTTTCTTCTATTAATTTAAGTTTCTCGCTTAACTCTGTAAACGGAGATTCATATAAAGTATGATATTTTTATTAAATATCTTTTGTATCATGAACATACCTTCGAGCTTCTTCAAGGCATTGCTTAATTCTTCATCTTTCTTTTTATTCAGATCAATTTGCGCAGTTAATTCACTCATCAGTTTCTCAGTTTCAGATATCTTCTGCTCAAGCTGCATAGAAACTTCTTTGATTTTCATATCTTTCATATTCAACTCTTCATTGAAAGACTCTGAAAGTTTATTGATTTGTTTAATGTTTTCTGCCTTAAGTTCCTCCAACGCAACGTTCTGTGTTTCCAATTGCTTCTTTGATTCGGTCTCCAATTCTTGTGTTTTTTCTTTCAACAGATTTTCTTGCTGCGTGATTATCTTTTCATACTTAGACGTTAACAATTCCTTTTCTGTTATATTTTCTTGTCTGATATTCTCTATCGTTTCGTTAGCTTGCTGCAACTCTTCTTTCAAAGTATTGTTACTATTTTCAAGTTCTTTTTTCATGTCTTCCATAAATATGTTTTTCTCTTGTAAATCATTTCTCACCCTATCCAATTCCGCCTTTAAACTTATTTCTGACTCTTTGTGCGTTATACTTTCTTTTTGATTTTCGTTTAACTTTGTTTCTAATTCTCTTATCTGTGCTACACATTGTTCCACAAGCGTGGTCTTCTTCTGCACCTCCCTATCGAGACTAGTCTTTGTTTCTTCCAGACCTCTGTTCCGGTTCTGTAACTCTGTAGTATTGAAGAATATGGAAAAAAATACTTTGTTACTAATAAAACTATTGCACGAGAAAAGGAATTTTCATTTAATTCCCGTTCGTGTAAGTTAGTCCATAAAGTATCTGCTTCAAAATCGACGATACAAATATAAATAACTACCTTCCACTTGATGTTTATCTTGAGCAGCACTGGAGACCTCATTGCGAAGACGTGCCAGTTCTTCTTCGGTTTCAAATAACTTTGTACTGTCTTGTTCCAATTGTGCGACACGTTCCCTTTCTTCTGCCAGCTGTTTTTCGAGATCTTTGATCCTGTTTTCATTTACAGTATTTATCACCTAACGACAAACATGCTTGTTTAGTACCCTGAGCTGACCAACTCACGTATACATCAACTAACATGAAGCGCATTAAAGATATAGTATATAAGAGCACTGTTTACTGTGTTTGATTGAAACGCTTGTATGATTGATCAGATTCTGAGAGAGGCTAGAAAGTAATAAAATACAAAAACGAAATCTCGTGTTATACTTGATACGCATTATTTGATTTCGCTATGCAACAATATACAACAGTGTGTAACATGTAACAATTGAAACGAATACAATTTGAAAATAATAAATAATCTCGAACAAAATGTATAAATAAATAAATAAACTGCATTGTTTCTTAGTTTCTCGCGCGTTTGCTCAACAAATGATTACGTATTAACAATATATTATACATAAAGCACAGATTCAGCGTGAAGAAAGCAATTGCTGAAAACTTAACAATTACCTTACAGTGCACCGCAAAGCATATTTAACCCCGCACCTTTCTAACAAATTTCACATAGCGTAGTAATCGTACCTATTAACTATATAATACAATTTCTATTCTTTTAATTTATAATAGCCTTTTGTCTCTTAATGTAACCAGAGGGTATAGAGAAACATCTAGTAATGCTACATCAATATAAGTTCTGATACTTAATGTTAACCAAAATCGAAACAATTAGTCGCGAAAGCATTGAAGAGTAGGTACTGCGACATCACATAGCTCTTTGATAAAACTGTGATGAAATGATAAATGATATGACTACAGTGACGATAAGAAAAGCGGTGCAGAAAAACAGCATCAACCCCTCCTCGGGCCCAAACGGCTGCCATGGGATACTCACACATTGTTCAGTTCTCTCTTTCTGAAAATAAACGATAAGTTTCTTCCGTTAACCCACAGCCTATACACAAATACTGTATGTACCGTATGCTGAATTAAAATTTCACTTCAATTCGAATATACTCTTTAAGTATAGCTTGTATGTCATTATTCAAGAAACTTTTACGTTCCCAAAGTCTAATGCATTATAGCTTGTCCCAGCCACCACCATTTTATTATGGCGAAGCTTCTCCTTACCGAAGCATTATTAATTGATAGTCTTTAATTCTGAGCAATACTTGCGTTTCTTTCTAGTTCCATTAAGCAATTGTATAATATTTTAAAACAGAAAAATAGAAACGGAAATTTGCTTAAAGAAAGTAAAACGAAAAGAAAAATGAGAACGTTTCGTTAAGTACTCGACAAACGAATCTCTAAAAAAAATCTCTGTAAAATTCTTTCTGTAAATGTTTATTATACTTACCTTATATTTTATTGTACATTGATTTTGTTGTAACACACTGACTGCCATAAACAAAAATACAATTTATAAAAATTGTACACCTTTCAGAATTTATGGGGATATCGATTTGACAGTCGGTATGTTAAACTACATAATCGTAATGTATATTCGTTATATCTGAAATAAAAACTTGTATAATTGAGACCTATACCTGAATATCATCCTTATTGACAGACTCTTCTTCAAAACGAAACAATAGGTCTTCACACTTCCTCTTCTCCTCTTCCAATTGCTGAGTCAGCGCATTCTTCTCCTCGAGTAATTTCGTAAAAGCAATCTCTGCTTCTGTGACTGTCCTTTGCATTTTCTCTCGATACTAAAATTAATACCCTACAGTTGCAGCCACAGTATTCAATGAATACTATATGATGTATGAAAGCAACAACTACCTGTTCATATTCTTGCTTTATTGAAATGATAGACTGTTCCGCTTGATCCGCTTGATTTGCTGCTTTCGTGACACGTTCACGTTCTAAATCTCTTTCTCTACGTAGAATCTCTATTTCTTGCTGCTTCTCCCTCAAAGTTTCCTAAAATATTAGAAACATATGTAACACCAATTGCGAGTTGCTCGCATAAACGAGTAATTTAAAATATACTGTTTTTCGTGGTCTAACTGCTGTAAAATATTTCCATAACAGAAACTTTACAATATAGGAAATTAGAAGTGCGGATATGCATTTACTGGAAGAATTAACATTGCTTATAGTGTTTTTCTGCATTGCATTGTTATATTTAAGAATTGTACATTTATCGTGACTAAATAGTGGAATTTGAACAGAAGTTATTGTTTGTTTATTGCCATTGAATTACACATCTAATAGACTCGTGCATTGTTCTCACCTTACTCAACTCTCGGTAGTCTTGAACTTTTGTATCGTTAGAAACTGGTTTCTAATAAATATATTCAAAGCATATAAACTATATTTCGATACAAATATGTGAGAGAGAAAGTAACTTGATAGAAAATACGTAACATAAATATTTTTAGTTAAAAATCTAAATGATCAAAATTACGAGTTCAATGTAGTACACAAGTTTGAAAACATTTAATTAGTAGCTTTTTATCTCTCTTATGTGCAGAGGTTTATATCTACTCCTGATGGTAAAATGTAACTGTGTAACTAGATAATATAAACTGATGTTATGAAGTAAATGCCCACGTAGGTGGGAGGTGGATTCCCAGGGAGAGAATGAGGAACGGACGGAGGATTTTATTGAAATCATGTACAAGTATCAGAATACTTTTCTAAGCTACTTATCTATAACAGAACTAATAGTTACAGTCTAATGTATTTACTGTATACATAAATCTAGTAAATTCTGGCTTTTATATAATAAAATATTATGCTTAATATTCAACAACAAATAATCACAACCACGCTTGTTAATCTACATCTACGCTAATAACTAGACGAAGAGCGCTTTAAGTGTCACAATCCTATCTGAATGTGACAAATAAGTGTTAGAACATGGTCTCACCTGCAGGATAGGTCGTGCAAGTGTTGCCGTGCGCAAACCAGGCCTCTGGAATTATTGATGCAACAAAAAAAAAAATATTTTCATGCATAGCCATAACGTCAAGCTGCAACTCCTTCTATTACCTGTACCTATTTTTATTTCTAATAATTGAATACTTTTTTCAAATGAAAAACACTAATTCCGTAAATTTTAGGTACTGACAATACAATACGGTTAACCAGATAATTCTCGATTGTCCGACAACAATATTAACGTCACAAAACTAACGAAGCTCGCGTTCTAAAGATGATGAAATACATGACCGCTCTTTGGTTCTCAAACTTCTTGTCATTCAGCCAGGCTCAATTGTCTAACACAAAATAAAATTATTCAACAAAAATAAACAACTATGATAACCACAACAACAACAACAACAACATCATCCAGTTGCTCTGTGCGGAACAATATTCGAATCGGTAGAAATAGCCAGGGAGGTCTTGCACTCAGGATAGAAGATGTGAGAGTCGCGGTAAAGGGCGACATCCTCCTCTCATTCTGGTACCGTGAATCTTACCCTCGCTGTACTGACACCACCAGGTCTGGCTGTTGTGCTCGCTGTGCTGGCGATACTTGACAACGAGACGAGCGACTCCCTGGAGCCAGTCCTCTTCAAGGACGAGTTCAGGGAAGCGCCGGTCGGTTTGTGCATCATGCAGCTTGTCCTTCGGCTGGTCGGCGATCGACTGACCTTGTGCGCGGGTGCGAACAGGCCATATCTAGGTCTACACTCGAAGTATCTGGAAGAAGCAATGCTAACCAGTTAGACGAATCGGTCCACATACAGATCTAACAAACATAATTGGATATAATTGTACGCAGTAATCTCTGTTGGCGAACGATTCTTTCGTACGATCTATCGTTTAACCCTTCAGTTCCTATGGTCACCAGACATTTATTTAACCAGTCACGTAAAGAAAACTTTAGCAATTTAGTCATTTTCGCTATGGGGACTGGAGGGTTAAACGAACTAAACGAGAATTACAGTCCCTCATTTTTCCAACTTAACCAGTTCGCTACCAGCACATTATTTCGTCAAAGACTATGCCAGATTCTCAGTATTCTATTCAATGGGATATCCTTAACTTTTTCATCAGAAATTAAAAATACATAAAACAGAGACAATGACTGACCCGAAATATAGGTGAATATTGCAAAACCTATTTCCTTTTTTATCTAAGATAGTATGCTGACATGGAACTTGGAGCGTCACAGATATGTGACACTGGTAGCGAACTGGTTAATTTTTGTCCCTCGGTGTCAAATTGACCCGGTGGTAAAAATTAATATAATGAAGTGATAAATAGTTAAACTTGCAAATTCTTTAGAGTAAAAATAACATCATTTCTTAGGAGAAAAATATGTCAGATTGATACAAGGGACGGATGAGGGTTAATTACATCAAGTGATAAGTTAAGAAAGGCCATTCACGTGACGATATCCAAAATGTCTATGTATTAAAACACTTTTGAATGGAGTACTTCAAGGCTACCATCTTGCGTTTACGTCTACTATGCATATAACTGGAGGTCACGGATACTACAGTAAATTCTCGATGAGTATTCCGAAGGTTTCTCGGCACAGACAACCAGAGGTCCCAAGATGTAACGTTGACTTTTTTAACGAGGTTTAGCACAGTGATAGAACTTGAAATTCTGAAGTCAATGATATTTGTTTCAGCCGCATACGGACATTACTTCATGAAATATTTATTGTTCAGCGCCGAGGAGCCTTCGGACTGTCATCGAGGATTTACTGTATTTACTAAAAATCGGACATTGTAGAATCAAAGAAGGAGGGTCGGTCGATCGAATCCTCTGCCCTCTGGTTCAGCCTTTTTTTTACGTTTTTTATACAATTCATGTACTACTCCCTCGTCTAGATTTTTTCGAACGTTCATGCAGACCTCTTGTCGAACACGGAGCCATCGTTCTTCCCGACAGGCTCGTCGAGCTCCACGCCGCACCATTCGCCCGCTGCGAACTCTGTGCTGCCCAGGTACCTGAGGACACCTGTCTTGCTGCCCTGGCTGGACGACACTATCACCCTCTCGCCTAGCTTGAGATCCCTCTGGGACACCGTGGACGACAGGCTTGTTGTGGATGCGTCTGCGTGACCAGGGTACATGCTTTTTATTCGTGTCCAAAGGGTTTCTATATCTAACTACCTGTTCTAACCTTCCATTTCGTTATTGATTAAGTGTTATTTAATTTTATTTAAAATAAATTTCAATTTTTTAGGATTTATGCACTTTGTTATGCTGTATTACAAAAAATCCCTCCCCCGTCTCTATTCAACCAAGGGGCCTCCTGAAAATCTGATGGCTCTAGGCCACAAAAAAATTTTAATCCGGGCTTGTCAAACAGGTCTACTGTATCGTGATTCTTTATCGTTCCGAATACACAATGGACGCAGAAAGGAGACGTGAAACAGTGTGACGGGAGGCAAAGAAAACGACAAACAGTGTAACTGATCAGTGACCTTTAACACAGGCGAAACCACATTTGGCCCCGAGCGCGATACAATAAGCGACAATTCAACACACCAAGCTAAGTAACTAACTGTGTATCTATATTTTGGTTTCTACGTATTTATTGCTGGCGAAAAGGTGTGAAATCGGCGCATATCCGATTTATTTACTATAAAACGAAAACACGCACACGGACACACAGTTCAACGAGCGATTCAACTACATGAATAACAAACATCTAGAGGCACAATAGAATCAGCGTGTAAGGTGTGGATGCACCCAGTGAATGAAAAAATATTCATTTTTTTTAATTTCCTTGTTTCGTATTCACAAACAGTTTTTGCGCCACTGGTTAGAAGTGTTCATTCACCGGTGAAATCTATTTTTTCTTTTCAATTTAATTAATTACACGTTCCCAAAGCTTCAAATTGAAATCTATACGTTACAAAAGTGTGTAGATATAAAAAAAATCGAATTTTCTTAAGAGGAGTCTATTAATATTATTAATATTTGAAATTCGACTTTAATAGGTGCAAAATCTGGTAAGTGTTCATTCATTGGTGCATTTACCCTACTAATAAATAGCATACTAATAAAACAGGGTGTAGCTCGTTACATGTGTTAGATACAGCAATTCAACTGAAGAGACAGAGAAAGAGTACAATTTACAAAATATTAATCCTACTAAATACAGTGCGCTCTAAGGATTTTCCTCTACATGGCGTGCGGTTAGGTGATCGTTTCTCGAAAGTCGGGATCCATCGAATTTTGCAGTTCGTTCTTTACAGAGAAAAACGAAATACAGACTGCTCTCGATTATTGTCTAGTATGTTGTACACGATTATTGTCCAGGCTTTCCTTACATTATGCCCCTCTGCTTTTATTGCCAAGGTTTCGGGCGAAAAACGAATTTACGAGGATCGTCTCTGTGGCATTTCTTCCTACAAGATTATTGTCCCATCGTGGACCTGACTTCTGGACGATAATCGCGACCAGTCTGTATTTATCCTCCATACTCAAACGGTCATGCACAGCTACATCGATGCTCCGTTACGAAACTACAAAATTCGTGGCGCTAGAAGGATAAAGGGGGCACAGAGAGCTTCGATATGATCCTCTGTATTCTTCACAACTTTCGATATACATCCCCCCAAAAAAACTCTCTGTTCAAGCGGACTACGGACGGGGTGAGTATCTCTTGCACCGATCCTTACTCAACGACGGAGACACCGTTTTCCCGAGGCTTCCTCGGACGCTGTCGGGCGGCGACGTCGGCGTCCGTTGTGTCGTCGGTGACGTGAACGAGGAGTCGGACAACGGTTCCCTGGTCAGCCTGGTGAGACGCGAGAATATTCCACGTTTCGGCTCGCACTGGAAGTAGCGGCAATTGGCCACCGATCCATCGTTCTTTCCTGAAATTTATTGTAAATTGTAATCGGCCTATTCGAATCGAATTGACAAAGGTCATTCCACGGGAAATCTGACACTCTTTGGAGCAATATTTCGAATTCTGTCAACCCTTGGATATATTGTAGTCTTTAGTCATATAGAAACGTATCTCAAACATCCATTTGTTGAAAAAATTGTCGATTCTACAACTGTTTGAAATAAGGAATCAGTCTTTTTGCAATAAATCATAATTGTTGAACTAACAAACTGATCAAAATGAGCGTTGTGGGTGCTTGTAGTAAAGACATAAGAGTACCTAATAAAAATTATTTCCGTTGTAAAAAAAGTATTTTTGACCATTTATTTTGCAATTGTTTGAGAGAAATGCAATTTTATAATAGTAGGACCGGATTGAAAAATTTGAAAAAACTTGAGGATATGGTCCTGTTTATCTTCTTTATGAAGAAATTTCCAAAAATCTGGACATTTGGAAATTGGACATATAAAAATTAATTGAAAATAACGCTGAGTAGAATCATACAAGGGTACAACGTGTCAACAAAATCCGAAATGTTACTCCACAAAGTGTCCGATTTCGCGTGGTATGCCCCAATAGAATATGATAGAGGATCTTACCGATTGGCTCGTCGAGGACCACTCCAGCCCAGTCACCAGGAGCGAACTGGGTCTCCCCGATGTAGGCGATCGAGCCAGGTTTCGTTCCGCCGACCCATACACGGTCTCCTATTATAAAGCTGTCGGTGTCCTCTGTCAGGACGACGCTAGTATCTGTCCGACAGTGACACGATTCTTTAATAGACTTGGAAGGATCGTTGTTTTCGCGTTCATGGAAATTACGGATTTGCGGTCTGAGGTGGCACTTTTAATCGAGGAATATCTTTTTAACCCCTCAGTGACACTTCTATATAAGTTCGGTGTGGGGTCCTTCGATTTTCTTGTAATTAATGGATATGATGGACCCGTTTTACAACACCTTAACGGTCAGAAAAACGTCCGTAAAAGTTCAAACAATGCCATAGCAATATTTTTTTACCCTTTCAGTGCTATGGACGCATATATCGTCGCTCTAATTCTTAAGTGTTCTCCGCTAGTTTCGAAATCGGGAAAACTGAGTTTGAAGTTTACGAAGTTTCATATTATTTAAACAGGAAAGTAGTGAAATAATCAAACACACTGTAATATAATCTACTATTATTACAATGAACCTCCATCGCTGAGGGGCTAAACAGAAGAGAAAAAGGCTTAAATATATTTTTTGATTTTCGTATACGCTGTGACACTGTCGTGGAACTTTCTTTTCAAACTCAGAAGAAACTTTACGAGTTCAAAATTGCTGCCATTCATCACGAAATTTGTATCGTTAGTACTGCATTTTATTGAAAATATATCTTTCTGCTTCAAGTTTTATTGGAATATGTTTCTTGGTCTGATTTATATTTCAATCAGTCGACTCTCTTTAACATTACGAGCATGCCGCGTAAGGATGAAAACATTTGAACAAACATGCAAGCTTCTCGACAAGTAACTACACAACAGGAGGACAAATACAGCTTTCACGAGACAGTACAACGATGCGATCGTGATTTACTGCCGAGTGATGCCAACAATAATCTTCATATGTACTTCCAAGAAATATCGAAGTCGATACGAAGGTTCTTTGGCATGGGCGTAGCCAGATTATCAGTCAGAGGGGTGGGGGCAAAAATATTAACACATCCACTACCACAGTGAAAAAAGCTGTACGTAGCCAGACACAATTTATTTTGTTTTTAAAATCATAAATCGTTAAAAATGTATGCGTTTTGTTAGTAGAGGCTGTTGGTCGTGTTTCAAATTATACTGCAATATTGAATATTATGCAAAAATTGTATAACTCTGGGCAGGGAAGGGGAGCAAAATCCAATTTTTTTTGTAGGGTGGGGCAAAAGCCACATTTTTCAAGTGCCCTCTGCCCCCCCTCCCCACTTGCTACGCCCATGTTCTCCGGTAATATCAATTATAATTGCCAGACTATAAATTTTATGCATTTATAGCCTATAGGACTCTTTGGAATACAATAAAAAAACGAAAACTTTCGTCGGATGACAACCAGTTTTCGATTTTAGTCATGACCCAATAAGACACTTAAGGTAAAATAATAATTTCCACCTTTGTTCTTGTATACCAGTTATGATATAAAATGTAATTTTGTATAAAAATTCACAATCTAGTAATCGCACAGTTGCACCGTAAAACAGGCTAAAAAACAAACTCAATTATAAGATATAAAATTTCTCGTGCTCTTTCGATTGATTCATGAATTCGTTTCAGAATTTATTTTGATATTTTCCATCGTTCTGCATCACGCACATTTCGTACAACATAAAAACCGTGAAATAAAAGTGAATACTAATCAATCAAGCACTTACCTGATCCTCTGCGCAGGCCAGCCTCGCTTAATCGACGGCCGTGCGTTTCCCAGAGATGATCCATCTGATCTGCGATCATGCACAAACAACGCAGAAACAATGCAAATCATATCAAACAAAGCATGCTTCCGTGGGATAGGGACGCAAAAAGCTTGCATCAACCCCTTCGATGCGGTTGACCATCGCGAAACCAAGGACAAACGAATACAATAAACATTTAACACATAACTAGACGGCGGATTTTATGCATTTATAGCAGACACAATTCCCTAGAATTTACTATACATAAGAGTTTGATCAATTTTTAAGGAATTTTTATTTTCGTTGGAACCTGGTAGAATAGTTAATACAGTAAAAAGATTCTGGTTTGACTCCAGTTTGATTCCAGTAGTCCCATTTAGAATAAACACCAATGACCAAGAAAATTCGAAAAATATGATATCGAGAAAAATTGTTTATCACAGTATTTTCCCCTTCTAACCAAATAACAATGTCCCCTCACTTTTTTTTTTGTATCTTCAAAACCAGATGAGATATTGAAGGTGCCCACGTTAGGTGGGACTCCTTTTAAACCGGAGCTATCAATGTTCGAATAGTTATTGCTGTGCCATCCTGTATATACCTGAAAAATAGGGCTTGGTGGCCACTGATTATCACTGGCGCATCAACGCAACAGGAAGTTAATTCCGTTCTTAAATGGACAGTTATATAAAGGAACGATTAAGAAAGGTGTGTTCACGTATGATTGATCAACATCAAAGACGAATCGATATATTCTACAAGAGTCTCGAACCAACGAAAATATTCGATTTTTTTATTTATATTGGAATCCTACTCGGTAACAAACAGAAGAGTCATCGGTAAGTTTCGCCTCTTGATTCGACTGAAACGCAAGTCGAGCGTATTATTTCGTTATCTACGCGGGACGGAAAAACAGAGAAAAATATCGCGATTCGAGAATTAATTGATTATTCATGAGAAATTGAGTAGGCGAGCCGTAGTAGGCCGTTCGCGTGGGCCGACTGTTTCTGTTCGACGAGATCGATCCGCGATTAAAACGACGCGTCGATCTTTCTACCGATTTCCTTGATGATGGATTAGATTTCTCAACGGGTGTTACGAACTTTATCCCCAAAAAACGTATGCACGAGACTAATTAAAAAAAAAGAAAAAATTACAAGTAAGTGTTTAACTCTGTACAGTTCGTTGTGATCTCATTTTGGGACGATCTAGAACGAAGAAACTGAATTTACGTCCATCATCTTCCATTTTATAACTACTAACGCCGCACACAATGGACCAGATCGAAGAATCCTGCGACAATTTTCTATAACTTCTGAACCACATAAAAATTGTTCTGAAAAACGTTAAAAAAATAATCCGTTTTATGTGAAAAAAAATCGAATGGTACAAATTGTGACGAAGTTTGTAACTCGGATGTATGTATAATGTACTATTTTTTTAATGTACTTGTCTGTTCCGAGTCTGGCTATTCTAGGTGGACGAATCGATCGATGATCGAGCCAAAATAAACGTGTCATAGGCGAGTGTCAATCACCTTGACCGTACTACATACTCGGTAACGCGATCCGTGTCTAAGTGGTCATACAATCCAGACACTACGAAGGCCCCCGTACGTAAACAAGGTTAATGGTGTAAGCGCGCTATTCGATTACCACCACAGTGGAACAGGTTAGCAATTTGTTCCTGGAATCTAATCTAATGATCACCAGCGGGGTAACCAGATCCAGAATAATCTCTGCTCCAGAATCGATTTTCACTCCGCTCGATGGCGCCTCGACGATCGATCGAGGAGCTTATACAGTGCCTTCCTTCGGATGTTTCATGCCTTTAGGGAGGTTCATTCTAAATTCGAAAGACTACATAATTAAATAAAATTCATCTTCAAAATTTGAGACCAGATCACCGATGAAATGAATGAGAAAAAGTTGCTCAAAAATTCAATTTTCAACACAGTCTTACGATTTCTTACCCGAAGTACAATCTTTTCTTTTCACAGAAACTAGAACTGTTAACCACAAACTAGTTACTGAAAGTATAAATCCGAAGCTTTCTGATAATGAATTCCATCTTGTACCATGCCGAACATTCCAGGAAAATATTTGACAATAAAGTCCAGGTATTCTGACTAATACCAGGTGTTCATCATAGTGACTATAGCGTGGAGAACTGTTTTAAATTAACCCTTTAACTCCCTACCTTACAATTTTTTCTCCTCTCTCCGATCTTCAGCATTTGTTTGACTGTGTATTCAATCGAAGAGATTCTATTCTGTTCACAACAATCAGACATAACGTTCCTGTACGAAGATTATTGGATCCCATACTAGATTCCAAAAAAACATACTCCTCTAAATTACCAGAGAACTGATGTAAATTAAATATTCTTTCCCGAAAATTTCGCAACTAACCAAGAATTCCTAGGAACACAGTCGGCCCACCTTAGTATTCAATCTGCAGATAGATCCACTATCCTCGAAAGGGAATTATAAATAAGCACGCGATCCAGCAATGTTACATCATTGGCGCCCGTTCATCGAGACTCGTTGGACGAAAAACCGGCTGGTAAATATCAGAAACGGCCCAAAAAAGCAAACGACACATCCCGAGCTACTTTATATCCCGCCATATTTAGGGGCCGATGGTGTCACAGCACCAGCAGTGTCGAACAACACCATCTGGCCACGATTGTGTCAGAATGAAAGATCGTCACACCTTATCACCGTTAAGGAACGTGAATATGCTCCACAAAGGAACGTGGAACAAAAAAAGTAACGTCTATACACCAGGTTTCTAATTTCTCTATGAAAAAAATGTACGAAAGATACTGCAACTTTGGAGGATACCAGTTCCGAAACAATTTATCGCCGATTGGCCTGCAATCTAGAACACACCTGGGACAAATTGGACCCGATCCAGCCTTAAGACACTAAAATGATCAATACAAAACTATCACTGTCGGCACTTTCATCGTTTTTCTCGCCAACAATCGGGGGCGGAGTATACTGGGTAATATCGAGTATCGGAAACGTATCCGTTTCCACTCTGTCATTTCGAAAATTGACATTGTTACCTTGGGAATCGCTATCACGTTGCGAAACACGAGATCGAACATTCATTGACGCGATACATCTCGGCGGGAATACATTAGGTTCAAGTTATAAGTAACGTCATTTTCTTGTGCGTAAGTCTTAAAAGGCCTTGTCAATAAAAAAATAAACCGTTTTTTTTTCAATTTATACTCAAGTAAAAATGATTAGACTTTCATTAAAAAAAATGTTACTACGCGTTCCTGAAAACACGAAGAACGTCCAGAGCAAAGCTCACGTGGCGTAGGAATTCTTAAATTTTTGTCTAAACCAACCCTAACAGTTTCCAATTATATTTAGTATAGTGTCTGCGGTTTATTACATTTTCTAAATTCGTACATCACGTGCCTCGATAAGCTCTTCTAAAACGCTCATTATTACTTACGCCGATAACATAACCTATGTGCACGACCATCGACGTATTCTCATGCATGTAAACGGTGAATTAAATTACAATTCGGATTGATCGGTAGATTATAAACTGGCAATGCATCGTGAGAAAGTGGTGCCTAGACGAAGAAACAACATTACTTATACCTCGACAAAAATAACAGGAGGGCGAGGTGGCTCACTAAAGAGCCCTATCCGCAAAAATGAATTGGTCCCGCGTGGGATGAAAAAAACGAAACGGTTGGAAATCGAGCGTACAATAAATACGCGCCGTGAGAATTGCATAACCCTCCATATGCGTCATCCGCGGCGACGATGACTGCACCGACCGGCTGCATATCGAGGTGTCCCTTCCTAGACTTCAACGCTCTTGGATGAACCAATAAGGCAAGATTAGGTGCCCTCGATTCCAAGAGCCACGCGCGTGCTCGCTTTGTACGCAGGCTGCGCGTTTGTTTCCACTCGCGAGGGAGGGGATGGAGGGCCCCTCTTCTACCTATGAATAATCGAATCGATTTACCAGTCTCAGGATCCAGAGGCAGAGAAACACGGGCCCCAGAAGATTCTAAACTCTGGGTGATTTTAATCGGTTCGTTGAACAGGTGGACACTGTGACAAAACGAGTCCTCGAAAACGATGTACAGTAAATCCTTGATAAGTGCTCGAAGGCTCCTCAGCAGAGACCAGGAGAAGTCCCCAGATTGTAACGCTGACTTTTCAGTAAAGTTTAAGACAGTTATAGAGCTTGGAAATCTGAAATCAATGATATTTGTTTTAGTCGCATACGGCCATTAGTTTATGGAATATTTAATGTTAAAGTTGTAGGCTATATACAAGGTGTTTCCAAACTTGTAGTACAACTCAAAAGGATGTAATTGTGCATGTTAAAGTAAGTCCAAAATATAGAATAAAATTTTCTCGTTTCGTGCTTCGTTTTCAAGATAGTCAATTTTCGAAATTCATCCAACGCGTATTGTATTTGTGTTTACAGTAAGTAGAAACGGAATGTAATGAACGGACGCGTAAACCAGCGCATCCAACAGACTTCCAAATTCGATTGTCTGAAAAAAAAACGAAGCATCATACGAATCAATTTTATTCTATATTTTGCGTTTATTTTTACATGTAAAATCATATTCTTTCGAGTTGTACTACCAATTTGGAAACTTGTATATAGCTTATAACTTTAACATTAAATATCTCGTAAACTAATAGTCATATGCGGCTGAAACAAATATTATTGGTTTCAGAATTCCAAACTCTATCGCTCTGTCAAACCTCATTTAAAAAGTCAGTGTTACACCTGGGGTCCTCTCCTTTCCTTATGAGATTCTTACATGCTTGGAAGGAATAGAGAGTGCACACACACACTTGGTGGCTCCAGTTGAAAAGGCTCAATGGTGCTTCAAGTTTAATTTGAATACAAATATTTTATTAGTAGAAAATCAGTTAGACGAAAAATATGGTGGAACCGTAGAACACTTAAAGATGACTCTGAATGGATTCAAACTTGATAATTAGTTTAATTTGTAATTATGCAAGGATACTTACGGCCGTTACAAGCCTACAAAAAGTGTATTAGGCCTCTTTCTCGGGAATATTATGAATTCCTAATGAACACCAACAAGGTAAGAAACAAAATCTTTAATGTGAAACGGAAAATAAATTAAATCCTAGATTATTAAGGACTATCCACGTTAGTTTTCTGGTTAGAAATCAATTATGAAGCATTTTTACAAAAAAATACTTAATACCTAATTAACAGGAGGAAAGAAGCCTTCGAACATTTTCCGTCCACCGGTTCTCCGATAACCACCAGAATTCTCTCAAACGAACGGTCCGAAGGAACAATTTAAAAGGTTTAAATACCAATCAAACTAGGAGAATTGCGTTTGTTAATCGATTATATATTCCCTGTTAAGTAACAAGCCGCACGAGGCCGCCAAGAATTCACTTAATAGTCCCGGAGAATTTTTTATTCACCTGCGAATGAACGATTCCGCAGTGGGACGGTTTGTTAGCGAGAAAAGTGTATTTACCAGATCGCTTGGAGTAGATCCGTTCCGGTAAGCGATTGAAGAACGACTCACGAGATGATCGCGGGCTCGCGCCTGTAAAACCTCGGCTCGTTCACGTATCGTCTCAGGGTCAGGTAGGCGTACTCGGGATCGCGTTAGCGTGAAGAATCGAGTTTCGATCAAGTTCAACCCCTTCATTGGATCGCACACAGCTCATCGACGGTAAAAGAATCATTGGGCTTGGATCTTAAGCATTATTGTACACTGACGTGCAAACTCGGCGTCCACTAGAGAAAAAGTGGCGTAGGGAAAGGGGCTATCTGGAATTTATGCCAAATTAACATTTATTTTAACATTTATTTCAGTACTTGAATTAATGTTTCCAAGAGGAAGGGCCTCCTACCACTTAGTTTCGAAAGTTTCTGTAGTTTATGCCAAATTAACATTTATTTTAACATTTATTTCAGTACTTTAATTAATATTTCCAAGTGGTAGGAGGCCCTTACTCCTACGCCACTCTTTCATGTTTGCACGTCAGTGGACGCGGTACGCGCAGCCGAAAGAGGATGGTACAAACGGGGAGAAGGTCCATTCCTTGGGCAAAAATAAATCACAAAAGTAAATTAATATTTTCTGTTTTTCTTCGTCCGAAGCTTCGTGCCAGAGATAATCGAATTTGAAAAATTCCTGGATACACGCGGGCAATTGAACAAGAATTGGGCAATGCGACCGTTCAATGTATTCCGTTTGTACTTATTGTCAGCACGAATGACACGTGTTTCGAATGAATTTTCAAAATCGATTTTTTTCTTTTTCGTAAAACAAACCTTGGGGAAAGAATGTTACTCTACACTTTGGATTTACTTTTTGCATAAGGAATTACCTACTGGCCCTGTATAGATGTGTTACCATTATAAATTCAAATTTGACGCCTCCATTATCACCACTATAGTCTTCATACTGGATCTTCCAAATTGTTATTGTATCAAATATTTTATAAAGATTCCAACATGAGTGTTTTTAAAAGAACCCCACCCCAACTTTGAACTTGGACTATTTTTCAGTATCGTTCATAAAAATTGTAACATTCCTTGTCTTCTTTTAAAAAGACTCATAAGACAAAACTGAGAAATTTAATAATAATTGATTTCATACTTGTAACAGTATAATAAAATATCCAGGCCTGGAAATATAAATTAGAGATTTATTGTAATAATCCGGTCACAATATCTTATGTGATAATATTGTTTCATAGATATCACAAATTCTTCATGATCATTTAATGATATTGCTTGTAATTAGAATATCATTCAGCCTAAAAAGTATCAATGTTTTTATCTAGATTATATATTTATATTTTTAGGGAAGCATAGATACATTCTAGAATTAGACTGTGTTGACAAACATTTGAACATGGTTATTTAAAGCACGCATATAGAATTAGATGCATTAAGTATTAGTATTAAAAACTCACTCATTGCTGGTCTTGGAGGTGATGGTGGAACCGCTGGTCTTGGTGGCAGATTGCTGCATGGTCGACCAATTTTTGAAGGTGGTCTTAATCCTGATGGTTTTGGCTCACCCATTTTACATACACTTATTGTTATATAACACTGAAAGATGCAAATAATGGGTTGGTAAAGCTGACAAAAAATTATGAAAATTTTCAAAGAATAAAAGTTTAAATTTTATAAATGAATTTTTTATATTAACATTCCAATGAATCACTATTGTTATAAAACAAAAAATCACGTAATAACTGAGATAATACAACAGTAAAAACTTGTTTACAGTCTACACGAACTTCCATTGTGTACAACTTAAGAACTATTACCGACATATTAATATAATTGAATTAAAATCATTCGAACTATTAGTTTTCAAATATACGTGTATTGTGTGTTTAATGTTCACTTAACAATTGTTTCAATAACGATTAGACTGTCAACGTCTCATTTAAAATGTAAAAATGATAATCGAAAAGTCGTTGCAACTTTTTAAATCGTAGCCGAACTCACACTGCAGATACTTGTACGCGAACTGCGCAAAAAATGTCAGTTATCGCTTGACATTCATGAACAGTTATAAGAAACAGTTTCTTTACCTGTGTACACAAAGGTAAGAACGTTTGAAGTACGAATCTTCATTGAAAGCAAATATTATGACGTTTAAAAAAAAATGTCACATGAAAGAAAGGTTAACCTCGGGAGCAACGATCGTCCTAACAGAAAATACGAGATACTCTTACCTTACTTGAACGTGACGTGATGCGCTAGCACGCAATCAATTAACATATTTCATCGACAACTATTGGAACATAACTATTTTCGGAAACAAGCACCGCGAAATATTCGCACAAACTCGCACAACGGTTAACGGAAAAGTGAAAATTCCTGGCGCCAGTAGCGCCGTCACGGTCTACTTCCGAGTTACCCCTCACGAATACTGGTCAATACTGGTACAGTAAGCCCGCGAGTTCCTACCCATCTATTTTTTTATATTGTGTCGTACCGGCTACACTTGCAGCTTATTTTCTTACACACCTTCGCTTGTTCGCAACAGAATTGTCGAACTGATATATGTATCAAGATTTCATTATAAAAGAATGAAACATTTTGTCTTTTATATACATATCAGTTCGACTACTTGGTGCAACCGGCAAACTCAAAATCGACTATGCTTTGTTCTTTCACTCATTCGTGCAATGAATGCGCGCCAAAGGAACGAATTGATTTCCAATAAGAAAGAACTCCGATTATAGCCTGGTGACTTTCCGATTGTCTGAGTGAGGTGGAAAATTGCAGTAAATTCTCGATAGCAGTTTAGTTTGTACGTAGAAAAAAAGAAGGTTCGGTTACACGGTATGAACTCACTTCCGTTAGGTTCATGAGTACGATAGCAGCTTGACAGCAGATCGAGCAGATCTAGGGACAAAGCTGCTGTCGAGAGTAGAGCCTACTGTATTTTATCCGTCGGTGAATCTATTCACGAGATAGCATTAATTTTACTAGGTGACGGTTCCTAAACTTATGTGCTATCCGTTTACATAGGTTAAGACTGCATACCGTATATTTCGATAAGTCTATTGCAGGAATAGAAAAGTATTTAAAAAGAACGATTAGAATACTTGAGACGAGTCGAGAAGACATTCGTATCTGCTTAAACGAAACGTTTTTCAGTTTTAGAGTAGTCAGGTTAAGTATCTCAGAATGTTGGCAGAACATTCAGATTTACGCTTAGGACCGGATCCGAATATCAGTTATCCGATTCAAGTACAGTACTGTGGGAATTGTTCTCTTCCTATCGAGGTGAGATAACATTGACCTGAAACTGTTGATAGTTGTAGTTTATATTGCATGACAGCATGCCAATAAAATATTTTCGATATTCGATCTCTTCATTTGTGCTACAGTACTGCGAACATTATCCAGAATATGAAAAATGCAAACAGTGGCTAGAAAGAAACTTGCCAACCGAATTTGAAAAAGTTAAGCTAGGTAATTATGATCTTACATAAAATTAATTTGTTTAGTTGCAAATATAATCATCATTGCATTGATCTATGTATTAATTAATAGTAGAAGATAATACCACGGAAGCGGGTGGAGGTGAAGATGAAAAGAAACGACAGAAGCGTGGTGGCAAAGGTATGCTCAAGACCAAGAAAAAAGAAGATGTCCCAAAATTAGTGACTGTGTCAAGAGCTCCTAGAGGAAAGAAGAAATCAGTCACTGTTGTGACTGGACTTAGTACTTTTGGTAATATAAAATAATAACTTGTATCTTTCCATTAAACTTCCCTTAATATAGTCATATAATTTTATTTTTATTTTCAGATATTGACTTAAAAGTAGCTGCAAAGTTTTTTGGTAGTAAATTTGCGTGTGGATCCAGTGTAACAGGAGATGATGAAATAGTTATACAAGGGGATGTGAAAGATGATTTATTTGAGGTGATTCCAGAAAAGTGGCCACAGGTAAGAACAATTGAGTGTTGTAGTGGACAATCTAATCAAGTCTATGGAATGTTAAATACTGAAGATCAATAATGTTATAGGCATTGCTGTTTTAAATTTGGTTTAAAATATAGAAACATTTATAAATTGATAGAAAATGGAATTTATCATTTTGGCTTCCAAAAAGCTCCATTATATTACTTTGCATGAAACTGAAAAATAAGTCATTACTAGTACTTAATTTTTATTTTCAGATTGATGAAGATTCTATAGATGATCTTGGTGATCAGAAAAGGTAATGGGTCAATTAAAAGTATTACATGCACAATTGTATTTAATATTATACTATTTCCATGTTTATTATGAATAAAATGTACATAACGGATATAAAATATTTTTAAAAAATGTATAAAGACAATACTTAAACATATTACCCATTTTTCTCATCTTGCTCTTCTTCACCTAAATAACTTGTTATTACCTGAAGTAAAGAATCTACTTCTTCATCAGACAAGCGATCTTCACTGTCTTCCACAATCTACAAACATGCATTATGTACATTCAACTGTTATATATAATCAAGTAGGACATAATTAGAGATGGGCATATAAAAATGAACCACTAATATTAATTCAAACATATCCAAAGTACAGAAGAAAACATTACATTGAATATACATTAGTACCAATTGTATTTCAAGTGGTGTCTTGGGGCACACGTTTAAAAGAGTTAACTTTTCACATTTTGTTAACTTATAAGGTTCCATTGCTTTTAGAAAATCCCTGATTTTTTCAGGTGATTGCCTTTTACATGGGGTTTCCTCCAAATACCTTATAGTCTGATAAGTTATAGTTGCCAACTGATTCTGTTTCATCTTTGGCTTCTTATTGGCTTTTATATTTTGCAACATATCCAAAACTTCATAGTTGCTTAAGTATGCGGAACATTCCTTAAGCCTAAAATAATTAAGATGTTTTCAAACATCAATGCTCTAGTTCTAAACAAATGTGTAAATTCTAAAGAAATTACAAAAATAAAAACAAAACTGTTACTTACACTTCCATATTGAATATGCAATCCAAGTTTACTTTGCTACAAGTAATTCAATTCAAGTAATTTTTTATTACTTCAATATAAAAGGCATTACAATTTATGAGGTTATGTGCTTACATAAAATGTAATACCTGTCTGAATACTGTTTACATATAACCAAATTTATTAAGCTATTAATCATTCTAATGCTCGGCAATAACATTTACTGTAAAAAAACATCCATCATTACGGTTTTGTTATAAAAGGAGCATTCACTTTATAAATGGTACGATTTATTTAGATGGCGCGCGGTTAACAAAGCATAGCTAGGTGTGTATGTGTGTATATATACATACATAATCTGTAGCAACCAGCGAGGTATAGAATAGCTGATGTATGCGTATTCCTGATGTATTCCATGTATTCTAACCTCGTCGGTGATGCCAATTGATGCCACTAATCGTAACAGCAAAATTTAAATTTCGCGCCCAAATATTGTTACTGATTTCCTTATGTGAATCATGTTAAAAATGTATTTGTGTTAGATTTTAGATTTAATGATTTGTATTGATAATCAATTAAGAATAATGCAAAGTTCATAATGACTCCAGAAAATGTACTCAAATATTCTAATATGAACGTTCAAATATTTTGATAGTGAGAATATATAATTATAATGAAGAATTTCATTGTTACGAAACAATGTTGGAAGAACGATGAACAAAGACTTGTCATATTAATTCGAAAAACGAGATTCGATCGACTAATTTTTATTTCTTGATATCTTATTAAGATCTTATCGTAGGATTTTGAAATCGATTGAGAAGCCATTGAACTGTTCTATGCATATATATGTGATTTGTTATAATCACATTTACAGAGTACAGTGAATGTTAAGTATGTGAAGATAACATTGAACTATTTGTCTATAATGCATACGCGTGCACGATAGGTGGTGCGCTCTACAGTTCACAGCTGACTGTAGTTATATTTTAGATCTTCCAGGGCTGCATACTGAATATTTGAACCCCTTCTAAAGAAATTAAAAGATATGTTTTTTTTATCTTATTATTTTTGACTGAAAACGTAAATATTCGTTCGTAGAAGTCAGACAAAAATTAAAACTATTTTATACATCAGTATTTCTGAAATATAATAAATGTTACTCGTTCACATATACATACCTACAAAATTTTATGCACAATAGCATCTTTAGAATTATGAATAGCGATATTTATGTTATGGGTAAAAAAGTATCCTATATTCGCTCAATTTGTCCCGTTCGCACCATTCGTCTTCCAAGCATTAACAATAAAGATATACAACTATTCTAAGCATTAACTTTTCTTCTTAGAAAATTTGATTCAAGAATCTTTTGGACCGAAATAGCCGTATGGTTTAATCTATTATTAGCAGTGGCATGCCTTGCCTTACAGGATACACCATATACAATTCGATTAGAAATATTGTTGTCATTCGTGTGTATATAAGATTTTATTAATATTTAAGCAAGAAGAAATTACGATGAATATTATTGACGAAGAATTAAAAGAGGCCATGCCTGAGTTTCTGTGAAAATTCATGGGAATCTCGGGATTCGGGTCCTCTGGTGTCGTGGTCACGTGCCTGTCGGTGTTAACACGACCTCTATGCGCGATCGTCTGACATTTTGCGACGGCGACTGTACGACACAGTGGGTGCTCTGTCGTGTTTTGTGTTTTGGAGCATACCTTGCCGTCGATGTAGTGATACAAGTTGATGATTACTGAGACTACACGGGGAGTGTACAAAATGTAGACCGACATAGTGATTCCCAGTGAAAACCGTGGAAACGTCGTTAATGACGAAGGCAGAACACTCCACACGAGAGAGCACATCGTTCGGGCCGCGACTTTTCTCACAACGCGTATCGATCTTTTCATAGGCGATGCATCTTCCTTGCCTGTTCTACTGTGTTTGTAAACTATTGATCTTGCCCATCGAAGATCGGTGAAACCTCCTCGATCGCCAAATCGTCAGGATCAAGAATGGAAATCGTCGGCGACTACGAGTACAACACGAAAGATCTGATAGGCCACGGCGCATTCGCCGTGGTCTTCAGAGGTAGACATCGTAAAGTGAGTTCTTCTTGTATTTCTCTCGATCTTCAATGTTGATCATCGATGATTAAGCCATAGGAATGATTCGACATTGGTTATAACTGAAAGGACAACATATTCCTTCTCTTTGTAGAAACCAAATTTTGTGGTAGCAATCAAAAGTATCACCAAAAAGAGTCTGGCAAAATCGCAGAATCTGCTTGGGAAGGAGATCAAGATTTTGAAGGTTTGTTAGACAGTATACAGCCCTTAGACTGCTGAACGTTTAAGTAACGACTTTAGTTTTTTACTTTGTGTAATTAAAATACATATTGAGAGTAAGCGAGATAATCATTGCTTGCATGACACCTGACGCATCAAATATGTGCCACATGTATGTCTGTGCATACCTTGTCTTTATTTAACTTGCAATGAATTCATTTTATGAATAATTCTATCGTACATGGAGGATCCTTATCTTATTCTTCATAAATTGTTTGAAAACTTTGAGTTAAAAATCATGCTTTTTTAATGAGAAATTATTGTTTTGTTGTTGATTAATACATTATATTGCAGGAACTAACAGAATTGCATCATGAAAATGTTGTTGCATTATTGGACTGTAAGGTCAGTGTAATATATATTTTCTTTTATGAAACATTGAATGATTCTTTTATTTAATTATGCGGATTTCAGAATTGTAGATGTACAATAATACAATTGCAATTTTATCACTTAGGAGTCCAATCATAATGTCTTCCTGGTTATGGAATATTGTAATGGCGGAGACTTAGCTGATTATTTAAGTGGTATGTGTAGCAAAAAAATTTGTTATCAGTGTATTGAAATGATATCTACAAGAAGCTGAAGGTTGCATATACTCACTCTGTGATTTCAAATTTGTTATATTTATTAGTAACATAGGGACCTTAAACCACAAAATATTTTGCTCAGTCACAACTGTGGTAAAGCATGTCCGCAGCCACACCAGATAACATTAAAAATTGGTAAGAAACTATTGGATTGATTTGCATTGGAAATGTAAATTATCATTTCTAAAATACGATTTTTTTTATATTTCAGCGGATTTTGGTTTTGCTAGGTTTTTACAAGACGGTGTAATGGCTGCAACACTATGCGGATCACCAATGTACATGGCACCTGAAGTCATAATGTCGCTTCAGTATGATGCAAAAGCAGATCTTTGGTCTTTAGGAACAATAGTCTTTCAGTGTCTTACCGGGAAAGCGCCGTTTCAAGCTCACACACCTCAAGCGTTAAAATTGTTTTATGAAAAAAATGCAAACCTTGGACCTAAGTATGTCAGAACATATAAACTATACTATATAGTGAAAGATTACACTATTTGTTTGGCGCATAATACATTTATATTCTATTCCAATTTGTTACTTTAGGATTCCACCTGGAACTTCACCTGAGTTATCAGATCTTTTAATGGGTCTCTTAAGGCGTAATGCCAGGGATCGTATGCCATTCGATGAATTTTTCGGACATCCTTTCCTTCAGGGCTCTAGAGAAAGCCCGAGTCCAGTTCCCGCTGAACTTCCCGCTTCTCCAGGAACGCTAGTAATCCAAGAAGGAGCTACAGCTGTTACAAGATCAGAACCAGAGACAACAAGTCCGTGTTCCAGTCCTGAAGATGACTTTGTACTTGTACCAAGTGATCTCAGCAGTGACACAGACAATAATCCTAATACGCAACAAGTCAAGTAAGTAATTCAGTCATACCCTGTAATGTTATGCCAATTATATTTACGACATTATTTCATTGTGAATATTTACTAGGTATATCAAACAAACCAGTAGAGAAGCAGTAAGTCCACCAAGACCCTGTTTCTTACCTATTTCGGAACCAATTCCTGTACCGTCTCAAAGAAGTATAGCACAGCCGTCGTCTCCTTCGACTAATATAAGATCTGGAAGCAGTGTTGTTCCACGTTCTCAACCAATCAGTATGAAACGAAGCGTGGATTCCCATAGGAGTCATGCTCCTGATATTGGCTCTCTCAGTCCACCTAGTGTTCAGTTTGTGATTGGTACACCACCTAGCAGAAGGTATACAAATGTTCTTTCCGCAAATTATTTTATTTATTTTGTATACAGTACTTTAATATCTTTTATAACACGATGCGATGAATTGGTTCCGAGATGGTCCAGCGCCAGTTAAAACCGTGTTAGTCAAAATATTATTGTATGCAATAGGTGATTTTATAATCCGAATGATATAAAATGTTTTCAATTCAGCAACCATCTTCGAATTAAACGGCGGTAATATTGAAGTGTCTAGAGAAGTCTCCACAAAGTAGCAAAGTCGTAAAAGCAAATACACTCATTTTTACACGACAGTTACGTGTCCGAAAAAGTTCGTGACAAAAGAAACGTTACGAAATTGTATTACTGTATTATCTAATTACGATTATCTTCAGATTAAGTGAAACGCCACCACCTCCAAACACATGGCAGGTTAGTCCTGTTGCGAGGCATTCGCATACTTCCAGCGGAACGTCGCCGTTGAGACGTTCTACCGGAAATAACAGTGCATCCTCGCCATTGCTGACAGGTCCGTTGGCAGTGTTGGGTTCCCCTACGTCTAGAGCATTTCAGGATAACAACAACACATTGAGGCATTCACCTATCATTCCTTTCGGTACAAGGGCCGTCACTCTTCCTGAAATATCTGGTAATTATTTTGTGTCTCATCTTGAAACCATGCTTTACTTCTATTATCACAGAATAATAGTTTAATAATTTGTTTTGCATCGAACGTACAGAGGCGGGTAGTTTCCAAAATCTTCTGCCGGAAATCAATCCTACAGCGAAAGACGATCGTCCGTTAACGTTCATCGCGCCTGAGCTCCCGGAGGAAACATTATTAGAACGAGAACACAACGAAATATTAGCGAAATTAAACTTTGTCGTTGCCTTGTGCGAATGTGTATGCGAGGTTGCGAGAACAAGAGCAGGTCCTTTGGGTGCGCCCTTAGGAGGCATTGAACAAGCAAGCAACGCAGCGACAAGGAGAAGGGCCGAGCAAGTAATTCTGCTTGTTAGAGCACTTCAATGGCTCAGTTCTGGATTAAGTCTTGCGACGCAACAACTTAAAGCTGGACGGTTACAACCGACTGCCAGCGTTAAAGAAGGTAAAATTTCACACGTTAATTTTACTTATCACTTCGGCATTTCATGTTAATAAGAGCTTGATCACGTTCTAGTTGTGAACACAATGAATGAAAAATTCAGATCGTGTCTCGCAGAGTGTAAGCAGCTGAACAGCGCTGGACTTCTTCACCAAACAGGAGCAACAGCAGATAAAATCCTTTATAACCATGCCATACAAATGGTAAATATTAACACGAATCTGATTTAAAATTACATAAGTATATACATACATGAATTTTATTACGTACATTTTTTCAACAGTGTCAGTCGGCAGCACTAGATGAATTATTTGGCAATCCCGCGGAGTGTTTCCAGCGATATCATACAGCACAGATATTGCTGCATTCTTTGTCGCAGCATGTCAGTCACAGTCAAGATAGAGCTCTCCTTATTAAATGTAATCCACTTCTTCTTGTATATTTACAGTGTACCATTTGAGAGTCCACAACAGAATGTACTATAACAAAAAAACCATACGCATTAAAATGGGTGACGAAAAGAAATACCTTTGTTAAATTGAATCTTCGTATTGATAACGTAAAATTGTCAATTACCAGAATGAAAATTTTGTTGTGGACCACCGTGGGGGGCTCATTGAACACAAAAAACGTGTTAATTGAATATTTGTTCACAGAATTGTTGATGAAATAGAAAATAATTTTCTGTTTATTTCAGATAAAGATGCTGTCGAGAAACGCTTGTACGTACTTCAACAGCAAGGTTACATTTACGCAACAGATCCTACATAGCGCTTATGAAATACGGCAGCAGGATACAGCGACCCGCCCAAACCCGTACCGTATTCCATACCTCTCTTGTGTAAGATATTCTGCCCTATTCTGTATAAAAGATGTTATTTCATTGATCATACTACAAAGACGACATTGTAGAAAGAGAAGGCAAAACTAAGATTTAAGCGTAATATAGTGAAGTTTTGTTAGATTTACGCAGAATAGGGTGGATTACCCCATGAAAGAGTACGAAAGTGATTCTTCACAGGTTTCTTTGTATGATTTTATTAATGACGCGAATAATGAATTATAATTATATATGTAATATATATATTATATGATGATATATATATAATGTATATATTATAAAATATACATATATATATAAATATATATTGTAATGTACGTATGGTTGATTAACTAACTTTTATTTCATATCAAACAATAAAAATGTGTATACTAACAGCATTGTGCGTTCAATGCGAGGCACATTTTCTTATCGAATAATAAGTGGTATAATAATTACAAACATAATGATATGAAACATTGTTTCAAGAGGTGTCACTCTAGATCAGTGTTTTTTTTTGCTACTAAAGTGTGGCTCGATATTATTTCATCTTTCCATCTGTGACAGCTTCTACATTTGGCTTGTTATCTCTGTAGATCACATAATTTAATGCGGTAGCAAGCGAAGTCCATACAAAGTAGGGAATAATCAAACAACCAGCAAGTTTATTCACTTTGTAGAATGAAATGGCCATTGCTGCAGTGCTTCCCCACAATAACACAATTTCATACAAGGCCTAAAAGTACAAAAGTTGTAAGTAATTGGAATCAATAGTTAGTAAAGATAACAGTCACTTCAAAATACCCATTTCACGTTTTTTAATCCAAAATATATTGGTGACCAAGCCCAATTTAGTAACAAATTAGTTCCATAAATAGAAAGTGGTAATGCTGCCCTTTCAAAACCATCACCATCTTTCCATACTAAATATGAAGAATAACCCATTGAGCAATACAAAGTTGTCCATATTGGCCCAAACATCCAATTTGGTGGAGTCCAGGATGGTTTCTTTAAAGTCTATTTAGTACGAAACAAGACTTTTATTGTTTAATCTTATTGTATAATTATAAAAAAAAAATTATAGGAGAATCAATGTACATAAAATGAAAGCATATTTGTTAAATACCTGCAGTTTCCTTTCAATCTAACAGATAAATCAATTATCTTATCATATGGTATATACATAAACTGATTTAAAATTTTTTAACTGCAGTTTAGATTGTTCTTAAAAAGTATACCGACAGTAGTTATCAACGGATAATGATTAACTAACAATCGTTTTTTTTTAAATATATAAGAACATTTTCAGTACATATTAAAATTAATTTTCGATCGTTAACTTTATTACAACAATTACATATGGATAAACTAAGCGTGTATCTGAAATGACGTAATTAAGTTCATAATATTATAATAAACTAATGCTGACCTTGAAGATTCATTGTACATAATTATTCATATTTTTTGTATTGTTTACCATACCATGACAATGTACAATTAACAAGTATGTCAACTGAATATTACACTATACTTATCGGCTAAATTTATTCTTGTACGTCACTGAATTTTCGTACTTTTAACGACTGATTAATTTAATTACCTGATACCAGGTATTTACGTTCCTCCTGGTAAAGTATGACCCAACCCATCCTCCAATATTTGGATGAATGACACCAATCACGATCGGCCAAGAAACTTTTACAGGCATTTTTTACTTGCAGCAGGAGCTACGTATGTACTTCACTTTCGTTGGGAAGTAAGTATGTATTTATCGAATGTCGATATCAGAGTACGCACAAGTAAGCGTATTACATATTACGTCTGACGTTTCTCCAGTAGTGTAACTAGCATAATGGGAAAAGACATAGACGTACTTACTTATACCGGGCTTTTGCTTATTAAATCTGCCGACTTACGATACGATATCCTAAGTTTGTCTTGCATCTGTCATCTACACCGATAACAATGATTAATATACTATGCAACACTATTGGCATTTACACAATGATGCAGTTAATATTACAATTGGTTGGTTGATTGTATCAAATATTGAACTCGGTAATAAAAGACTGTAGATACCGGAAACTGATTAAATAACAATTACTAAAAAACTTGGTCTTTTTAAGATAATATCTTTGTAGTCAGACTTAAAGTCATATATTATAACAACCGTGTATTCTTAGCAGCTGATAATAATCAGGACTTCGTTCTTACACAGTATGCCCTACATTTTGCACTAGGTTTCGTAAGGAAAGCGCTCGTTCCGACGATAAACTTCCCTTAGCAGTAAAACTCGAATGAAGATGATTTGCATTCGTTTCTCTACCTAGAATTTTACACATTTGTAACATGTTTTCAAAGAAAGAGAGTTATGTATGTCCATAAAGATTGGAAAGTTTCTATTTTATTTAATATTAGGCGAGTGATATAATTTTTATTTACACATATAATTTAATAAATACATTAAGAACAAATAATAGTTATGCTACATACATTTTTTAAAGGGCCATGCAAGAAAACTCATAAATGACTATTACAATAGCAAAGTGAACACTGAACATACAAATGTGTGCGTGAATACATTATGTTAGTCTAATTAAATAATCATAATATACATATATGCAAAATAGAAGTTTAAGAATTATTGAACCACCGCACACGTCTATGTAGATACAATTTTACTAGTAAAAATTCAAGAAAACACTACTGACTTTTCCAGAAGAGACATTTTTTCAACTTGCCTGAATAAAACGACCAGAAGTTTAAAAAATGTATCGTCAAATTAATTTACTCGAATATTTAAAGGTGGATTGAGAAATCCTCTAAAATTATAAGCTCATAAATAAGCTAAAAAAGTTTAATGTATCATTTCCAGCATGAAATCGGTACCTATTTTTAAATACATATATATTAATATCTTGAGCTATGCTTAAGTTATATTTGTATTTCACACCATGGAATTTCGAAAACAAAACAGTAAATGCACATTAACGTTTGCACGTCTTATCAGCATTTACAAAAATAAAATGTTAGGCGATAAGCCAGAAAGTTATTAAGTTTCTTGAGATACGAAAGGATATATAAAAGGAATACTTTTGAGGAATTTATTCCTACATTACAACAATCTAAAACACCTGTTACTTAGTCTTGTGCTTAGCGATAGATGTAGAAAGACGTTGGTATGTAGAGGAAAGAATCTTGTAAGACATTTCGTCTACTTTTTGGTATTCTGTGCATTTCTTCATTCGGAACTATTATGTTTGGCTACTTGTTTACTCAGACTACATTTAACTTCGTATTCCGCAGGTTTGTTCAACGTATTCATTGTCTGTGTATCTATCTCATTTTTCAATCAGATGTTTCCCATACTCGCCCCATTAACCAATACATTTAATGCATACTATTCCGAGTTCAATCAGATTTTTCATCTTTCACATCCTTCTCTCCATTTACCTCTCTTTTTTTATCAGGTCTGGATGCAAACACTCCAGGAAGATGATCTCTCATACGTTGTCTAAGCTTTTGTGGAATCACTATGATAGTTGTTGCTGTGTTACCCAGGAATAGTACCAAGAACATTGCACTGAGGAGTGGAACGTGCCATGTAGCTTCTGGGTGGGATGTTAATGTGTATAATACATATGCATTGTACAATTGAAACAGGTATCCGGCAAAAAGGAATGGCAACAAAAACGACAATCCACGCCACATCCATGAATGGAAACCTTCGATAGTGATATCCATATTGTGTCTTTCACCTAATGCTTTCAAGCGATATAAAACACCGCGTTGATAACAGAATTGCAAATACTGTACGACACCTGCAGATAAACATCATAATGTTCCATTTTTCACTTCTTACATGAAAAGATTCGTATTAGTTAAAGAATTTTAAAAAGAAGTAGCTTACTAATATACACGTTGAACCACATAAATTGTTGTCGAAACGCATACCATGGCCCTGTGTTAGGCCATACTAGCAGAACACCAGATACTACAGTAGAAAGGAAATGGTGAAATCTCCACCAACCTTTGATTCTCGAGCCATTTACCTTTAATATACTCTCCCGTATTGTCAGTGTGCAATAGTACCAGACTAAAAGGAACATAAAACTAAGTTCCAAGGTTCTGCAACACACATCATTATTAAACATTAATTATTATAAATACGGTAGCTTTATCAAAAGTTTAATGTAGAAATAATTAATGTTTTACCTGACATTAGTTACTAGATTTAACACAGATAGAATAAAACCAATTACAGACAGGATTAATTTAAACTTTTCGTACTCATCTTTATATTTGAATCTGAAAAATATTACAATGTAATTTAATCATATATTCTTCAGTACAATTTTCTTTTATTCAAAGAAATGCTATTACATTTCGTACATACTTATCACTCTTATTTAATATGGAAACATTAACACTGCCTAAAATAATTTGGAGGTATGTGCCATTTCTTTTTGGCAAACCCTGTTCTATTTCATGTAACTGTTGGTGTCTTCTTGTCATATCTTTGTCTAAACTTTTTCGTGCTTCGCTGGCATGTAATCTAAAATTTATCCGATATTTCTGATAATTTGAAAAGTACAACTATAGTGAATTCATAAAAATGTTCACTTACTGTTTGAGTGATTTCGATATTACACCCATTCTGTACTTCTGATGAGAAATACCTTTTAAACATTTTGCTTGGAGCTCACTTACTTCCTCTAATTTTGCAAGGTATTCCCTGTTTAATGCCTGAAAGCATTATAGAAACATTATTGTTATTAACAAATACTCTACAATATATTCCTGTTCTTCTACATATGGAAGAATTATTTGCTTACAAGGAAGTTTGCATAAGCCATTATTATTTTTACTATATATTTAGAATATTGTAACTTCAAAAAGCCTGAGCCTCAAGCTATGAGACACCAAAGAATAAAGGGAGAAATACTGTTTACAAAATCATTTAAAAAAAAAAACAAATATTTTAAGAGTAATGAATTTGCCTTGTGATTTCAGACATCAATATAATGAATCATCTGTTTAACTCAGCACTAAAAATATCTTTATTGTACACCTGATTATTATCATTTGAGCATTCCAAATAACAATCTTTATCTTCTCTTTCATTACTGTCATCAACCTACTAGAGAAACATTATCATCTTCTTTGTTATCCTTCTTGGTATTTTGTATTACTATTTTTTGAAAGCTATCATTATCACTGTTACTATTAATACTTTGTATTAACCATTGCTTTCTACCCGATTTTCTTTTTTAATAATACCTTCACTAAATCAAAACCAAAACTGATCCTCAAACATCAATCTCAAAGACTCAAGTGACAATAAATAATAGTTTTAAAATATTTTCGACAAGTGAAACAGCATATTTGTAACATTTTCTGACTGGTGGGTTTAACGGGGCCTCCCCTTAGTCCCTTTAGGATTAAACACCGGTCTCGAGTATCGTTAGGGATAAATAAACGGGAAAACCTAACCTCGAACAAAATGATGGAACGCGTTAAACCACTCCAATGTTAATACCCTGCGTTAACGAAAATATTATCTTACTTCCAATTCCTTATAATCTTGTGCTAGGTCGTTCCAATCTTTCAAACAAGACTCGACGTCGGTGTCCATCGTGGCGAGGAAAAAGATGATGGCCAAGACTAAATATTTAAGAATTCAGGTACGTAACGGTCGATCGTGTTTCTGCGACCGACCACTTCCTCGTGGATCCAGCGACAAAGTGCTCTAGAAGCAGTCTTGCAAATATCGTGATCTTCAAGGCCGACGCATGATAAGAGTGTGTTTCGAGTAGGTATATAAGAACATAGAGAAATAGAAGAACATAGACGAATATAAGAAAAATTCATTTAGCATGCAGAAGTTTATATACACAGGTACATATATTTCAAAAAGCATTTGAGCTACAAGTTTGAAATATTGACTACATATATATTCATAACACGTGTACGTTTATCATGAGGCCTCCGCCATAAAAATAGGAACTGAAAAATTGTTCGAAATTTCAGCTCTTTAGTCTAAAATGTTTATGAACGTGACCTTAACAGAATTAAAATCTGTTCCGTGTTTTGACATTTCGTTAAAAAAGTGTTCGAATAATATAACCCTTCCCGATCTCATGGTAGATCCTATTGAGGCGGTATATACCAATGCTCTTGGAAATGCTAATTAACGTCGATGAATAGAATACAAAATGAATTTCAATGCTGTGAATACACAGCGATGATAGCATTTTACGTTTCTTTTTGCCTCGTAAACGTAGACGCTTCCCCTTGTGTTTACGAAACAGAAATTCGTTGCTGTAATCGCGAATACATCACGGGCAAATTCGGCGTATTCGCACGTGATGAAATTTATCTAGATTATTTCCCAATATAACCAAATTTTACGTAATTCCAACGATAATTCCCGTACAATTTCGCGCATCAAACATTTTACTCTGCTCCCATTTCACATCTTCTAAAATTCTAAATAATTTGAAAAAAAACTGAAAAATTCCTTTTTGGTGATATTTTAGACGGAACAAGTTTGGGATTTTCTCTATTAAAATGACATGCACTTCGCGTTGTCGACGAGCTCGAATTTATGTATTACGATGAAATTGTAATACGTATGTAACTTACCGGACTTTTCGATCAACGAAGTATCTTTTTCTCGCAGATCCAAGTATACGTAAATTAAATAATCTAACCAAATGGGAATTTGCATAAACATTTCGCAATTTAGTGATTAACGTACAGTGTCTAAGAAAAAAAGCTTTGACCAATTACCCCTTACAGACCTTGCCCGAGTAAAATTATTTAATTTTTCTGCGTGCCCCATCGACAGAGTAACTTCATTCAATACACGACCCCGTGAGTGCGACTCTTTACTTCTGCATTGCCGCGTAACTGACAGTTTACAAAAGCGTACACTTGTTTTTTGTCTTTTCATCGTTCATTCACGCGGGCTCGAGTTACAGGACATGTAAATTGTCGCAGAATCTTTGTTTTCGAGGAGCAGAATAGACAGTCGGTAATTTTAACCGGCGTCCTGTCCTGTCGTATCGTCGTATCTCGTCGAACACGCGAATTTTTTCACGGTCGTTGACCAGGAAGAGGACGGGGTAAGGGGGGGGGGTGGTGAGTGAGAGAAAAAGAGAGAGAGAGGTCCACGGATCTGCGAAGACAAAAGTGTTATGCAGTCGCTGGTAAACAAGTTGTTTTATATTCAGGCCGTTTCACACCAATCCCCTGTATACCCTCAGCCAAGAACGGTTGACCTCTTGTCGCCACGGAAAATGCCATCATTCCTTGCTCAGCAGCCGAATTCATTATTTTCGATTTTAGCCGTTTATGGGGATCGGACTAGACACAGATTCATTATTCCAATAGATTACGGCCAACCGTATTTGCGTCGCATCAACATCATCGAAAAATTACAATCCTGTTTTAATGAGAATGAATACTGTACAGGGTGCAAATTATGGTACAACCGAGAAGCAGATGGTTTAACGTGAACACAAATCGAGAATGTAAAATAAAATTGTTTCGTACGAAAATTCATCAATTCAGAAGAGACGGTTAATACAACGACATCGATCCAAGATTTTATCGACGTTATTTTTTTTATGAAAGTAAGCCGTTTCTACTATGCTATTCAAAACCAAATAGTCCGGCTGGAGAGTATCGACTGCATTATTTATAAACGCTCTCGCCTCGTTCAAAGTCTTCTGGATTCATTCAACTTTGCAAGTGGCATATCTTTCCCGTTTATCTATGAAAATTTCATCTGATTCGTTTCTAGAAAAGTCTTCTTACATGCGCTACACGAACTGTAAATATACAAAAATAACTGAAATAGAAAAGTTGTACTGAAATTTCGTTCAATGACGCGATGAAATTAGAAAAATATTAACTTATCGTTTAAATGTAACGCTGGAATTCAGATTTCAGTGATTCTTAAGTCTCTGGTTGATCAAGGTAAATTTTACAATAAATCGTTTTTAATAATTCAATACATTTACTAAACTCCGACAAACAAGAGATATTTCTAAACTGTTGACTTTTCAATCATGTTAAAATTAGAACTTTCTTCTATCATAACGAACATCACTGAAAGATTCGAAAACAGGATAGACGAGAACAAGGACTGTACAACTTGTTTGAACTGTGACTATCTATTATCGCTGACAAGTATCTTTTATATCCAAATAATTGCAACTCATGGTCGAAAATATCGTGCATTTAGAGACGTTCCAGAGTCACGTAGCCCGTTATCAGAAAATTTACTTTGTCCTTTAGTGCAACATTCACTGTTCCAAAATAATATAAGAGCCTCTGTTTAATCGGAACTATTTTTCACGCTCGAAAACGTGATAGTATTTCATATATTGAAAAATTATTGAATAAAAAAAAAATATATTATTAAATAAAAATATCAACTCTTAGACAATATTCTACCAATGTCTTCGTAGAGCAGAAAAGATGACAATAAAAAAATGATTGTTATCCGAACAATTATTGTTTAATTACCATAAGAAATTGTTGTTATTATTATGGCGTGCATAAGAATGCTCAGACAGTGATTGTCTTTGTGTTCAGACGAGGATTTTATATAGCTCTTTATTCTTTATTCTCGGAATGCCTAATGTGCTCCCCCACCTTTGTGTAAGAAGTTTCAGCTGGAGATTTAAATATCTTCGAAACTGTTAAATAGTGGGCAGTGCTCGCCGCAATGGTCTCGGGATCACCACGAGCAGTCTGCGAGAATGTATCAGTGCTTAACGACATTTAAACAGCTGACCTACGCGGTGGGAGCGATTTCTGTGATTCGATGATTTAGTGTGTCTGTTGCTAAGGTGCCGATACTATGGTGCGTTATATTTCGTGATTTATCGGCAGCTCCGAGGCAGTGATTTCTCTGAAAAAATTGAAAAAAAAGGAGATACTTTAATACAACATTCTTGAAAAAATTTTAGAAGAAATAACAAGCATCGCGTTGACAGAATATACGATTAGTTGATTTTCATTTTAATTCGAAATTTTATAATGTATTCGCGGCGTCGATTAATTGTACGTCGTAATTATGTTAATCGCGAGGTCGCTGTAATCGGTAGATAATAAGAACGCAGTGAAACACGAAGTCGAAGGAATTCTCCGTGGAAGAAAGTGGAAACCTGCAACGCGGAGGGGTAAACGGCTTCTAGATAACGGCATAGTAAACGGTATTCGATCTTCTTCACGTGTGAACCGTCCTGTAATCAGCGTGTAACTTGAACTGTGATTTTTCAGTGTTATTACCGAATTACCGATATATCCAGTTACCGTTCCAGTTTCCGGTTGTGGCCGGATGTTGATGGCGAAGTAGTTTCAGATACACGAATAATTTCCTAACGATTATCGTTACTTAACGCACCTTAGACTCAATCATGTCATCATAAAGAATATCACTTCGTACCGTCCGCTACATATTTTATCCCCCTACGAAAGCTAAAAAATGGAACGTCAATGCTATAAATGAAAAACAATCGAATCAATTCCTTAAATTATCATATTAGTGTTGTCGTCGTAATCGAATCAGTGTCATTAATCGTGACGGACAAGCAGGAAAATAAAAACTTCCCGTGAGTATAGGCACGAAAGATTCTCGAACAGAGTCACGTTCGTTCAGCTGAAAAAGAAAAACGATTAGTCTGCAGGACGACGCATCGAATTTGACAAATACATACATACGTACAATTGGTGTGTGACAATCCTTCCAACCGTCACGTCGCGACCGTTACCAATTACAATTTTACCGGCAGAGAAAAGCTGCGACACATTCGTCAGTAGATCAACTACAGGGTACTTTCCCGCGTTTTGTCGGGCAACTGTGAACAGTGAAAACGATAAATGCTACAGGACAGTAATATTTTTACAGATTCGTCGTGCTGGCAGGAACACGAAACTTGACATTAAGAATATCATGAGTACACAATAGTGGACTTTAATAATAAAGTAACACAAATACGTTACCAGTGACAATAACGATAGTACACGTTTGTTGGTCCGAAATACGAAGATGAACGTTACACGGAACCTTTTTAAAGCTACGAAAAAGGCAAACCGTGGTACTGTGACCCCTGCGAATTATTCCATACCGGGTTGCAGTTACGCAGGGGCGTCGAGAATCGACGATTTATCCGATATCTCAAAGACTACAGATGGCGTTGCGAGATCGGAGATCGAAATCGCCGAGAAATCGCGGGACAGAAATGACGCCACCGCGGCAATTGAAACCGAAAGTATACTTCAGAGTGCACCGGAACCACGTGGTCTTCCTCTGTTTGGAACGCTTTTTTCGTTTCTGCTCGCTGGCGGCGCGAAACGACAGCACGAATATGTGGATAGAAGGCACAAAGAACTAGGCCCGGTTTACAGGGAGAGACTGGGACTTGTTTCGGCGGTGTTTATCAATTCGCCACAGGAGTTTCGGCGAGTTTTTCGGATAGAGGGTCAGGCGCCCAAACACTTCTTACCGGAAGCTTGGATGCTGTATAACGATATACGAAAATGTCGACGGGGTTTACTCTTCATGTAAAACACCTTTAACTATTCTAAGTGTCAGGATTTAATCGTTAGAGTAAATACGCCCGTTATGACCAGAGATAACCTTTCCTTTGTTACAAATTATGAACAATAAAATTCAGCCTAGCCGAGAGTGTGTGGTTATGTAGAAAATTTTGCAGGCTACGGGTTTGGGTTCTTGTTCGAAGGTTTTAGAAGAGTGTTAATTTCGAATCTGAAAATTCAATAAAAGATTAACTGTTTGAACAGGGATGGAGATGAATGGATATACTTCCGCAGAATATTGAATAAAGTGCTCTTGGTACCGGATTCCACAAACTTAATGGCTGGCCCTTGCGAAGATGCAGCCGAGGAACTTAAGCGGAAATGGGACGAACAGATAAAGACCGATGCTGTGGTACCAGAGTTACAAGTTCAACTTTATCAGTGGTCTATCGAAGGTATAAATATATTTTACCTCGTAGTAGTGCAATAATACGCACGTCGGGCAAACAGAAGAAAATGTGAATTTTATTTCCGCAGCAATGGTGGCCACTTTGATGGGCAGCTCTTGGCAATCCAGCAAACGTGAATTGTCGCAAGATTTTGAAAAATTGGCACGACTGTTGTACAAAATATTCGAGTATTCTGTTACGTTGGCCGTAATGCCAGTCAGAGTGGCGATGAATTTACGACTTCCTGTTTGGATGAAATTCGTAGCCTGCGTAGACACGGTTTTCGAAACTCTTCGGATTTTGGTGCCGGAAATGATTAAAATAGGCGGCGACGGATTGTTGAATAAAATGTTAAACGAAGGGATTCGAGAAAAGGATGCTGTTTGCATTGTCACTGACTTTATTATAGCAGCTGGTGATACGGTATACTTATCTAAATATATTTCAAAAAACCCAAAATTATACAAAAATTAGAGAATCGAATGGACGGTACTTTAATGTTATTGGAATTGTAGACAGCGACCACATTGCAATGGATACTTTTACTGATGTGTAAGCATCCGGAGATACAAGAAGAATTGTACGAGCGTGTGAAGGAACTTCCGCAGAAAGAGGTGCTACGCGATCCGCTGTTGAAAGGTATAATCAAAGAGACTCTCAGGTTGTACCCTACCGCGCCATTCATTTCTCGATACTTGCCGGAGGATAGTGTGATCGGTAATTACTTTGTGCCAAAAGGGGTAAATGAACTTTTAAGCCGTAATGGCGCGAATTTCTCGCGGCCGAACGAGTTCCTACCGGAAAGATGGATCAGAACGGAAAAAGGCACTTACAGCGGCCTATTAAACCCTCACGCGAGTTTGCCGTTCGCTTTAGGTGCCAGAAGCTGCATCGGCCGGAAACTGGCGGAAGTACAGATATCGTTCGGCTTGGCGAAGGTATTCAGATTAATCGATTACAAAGTTTCTATTGCATTGGTTACTTCAACCGATTATACAGAGGCAAGGCACCCTGTATATACTCAATATTATAACTAAAATAAAAAAAAAACACTTTCATTATAATGTTCAGAGTGTATAAAGTTCTCCGAACAGTAACGTAATAAATCTTATAATAGATTAGGGATGCAACGCTAATACATTTTTATGAATTTTCCAGCTGGTGAAATCGTTCAAGATAGATTGTGTAAATAAGGATCGAATAGAAATGATTCTGCATTTAATATCTGTCCCGTCGGAGTCGATGCAGTTGAGATTAACCCGAAGAGAGTGACAAGGAAACTGAGGAATGTAAATAAAGTACATACGGCAAGGAAGTAAAATACTCTCTTGCTTTGTTATATTTGCAATTCGAATACTTTCCACGGTATATACAACAATCAGCGCTTTAATGTATATGCTTGAAAACAAATTACACTTACGAATGTATAATAATTATTCATATACAACAGTTTCCGTATCTTAAAATATATTCACAATAAGTATAATAATAAAGGTACAGACGAATAAAAGATTTCGTAATATAAAAATTTCATTAAGTGCCACCCGCTTACGATTAACCGATCAAATTATTCTACGAGTTCACTACATATTAATATCACAATTACGTTAAACTTACTCTATCGTTAACGTTGGCACAAAACACTGTTAATAATCTCTCTGACCTCGTCTAGAAATTCATTAAATTTATCGCTATTGGAAAAGTCCTGAAATGCTTGAATCGTTTCAGATTTGCTCATCGAGGCTGTCAGAAAGCTTTTTACGCAGCAAGATTTCAATTCGTGGCATGAATTCTTTCTCGCCCAACTCCAGGCTCTGCTGTAGTTTTTATAATTCAACTTGGAAATCGAGCTCTCCGTGAGGATATCCGATACGTCCGCCATGAGGAACTTGTCAGCCAGTAGCACGGCATCCAATAAAGACTCGATGGTTCTGGTCTCGAACACGGAACCGGTCACGGCCAGCATTAACGTGTTAAGACCGTCCTTCGTTGTGTTTCGTAGCTTCACGCGTTTCTTCCCCGATTCCGAAAAGTTTCCCTCAAGCATAGCTGAGAAAGCGTCAGACTTTTGGCAAAGCGTGTGCCTGCAAGCGTCGACGGTGGTGCCGTCATCCAACTCGAATGTGACTGTTGCCGGTTTCGGATGGTTGTCATAAACCCTAGGAAAATCCGTGGATGTTGTGTCAGTGCTTTGACACTTCTCTATAATTTCCGGCTGAATCTGCAGCGTGTTCGCTAGCCGACATATCGACCAAATAGCATTCTCGTAGAGACTGTGCTGCTGGTCGGATAGCACGCGGAATATTAACGGCAGGCCACCGTAACTGTTCAACAGAGACTTGAGAATGTAGCGCGATTTAATCAGGAATGGTATCGATACTGCAATTATTAATTTGTGAGTTTCATCCCCGCGAAGTAGTATGGACGTAAGTTCACCTATTGCCCCGCCGGTTTCCGCCAGTGCGCACAACTGTCTTGTGTACTGTTCCGAACCGTACAGCGTCTGAGCTTCGAAAACGAAGCCTTGTTTTAACAGCGGCATTAAATACGCGCCATTTCTACGTGGGAAATAATCATTAATTAATAGAGATACATTTGCAAATTTTAATTATCTTTGCTTACCTTGTGATTCTAGTCAAAATTCTGGACGCTTTTGGATTTTTAGCATGTCTAATATACGCTGACAGAGCTTCGATGGTTGTAGGATCCGCCAGTCGTTCAATTGGATCATTCGAATGACTCAGACGGCTCAACAGACTTAAGGTCCAAACGTTTGCATATTCGGAAACGTTGCATTTATTTTCTTTTTCAGAAGCGTGGGATTCTTCTACGTCTATGATCACCGATTTACAACTTTTTAATGATTCCACCTCTTCTTGAGGTTCTACAAGAAACGATACATTGTATACCTAATAATTTTATGAATATTTCTTAGAGAGCATGTATTTCAATGTACCATCTTCGTTGTCCATAAATTCTGTATCACTACAAACTGGACTGTAATTGTCTTCCGCGTTTTCGTCATTTTCCATAGAATCATAGAATGGTAATGGGGGTGTGCTAGGGGGTGAAGAAGAAACACTGGTTGCACTGCCTGGACTCCAATCGTCACGGTAATAATCTGAACTGAATCTGTAAAATAAAATTGTAATAGTTATTTTTGTACTTACTACACTAGCTAAACTTTAGATAATTCGATAAACGTACCGTCCTAAATTGGTCTTGTTGTATTTGAACTCTGATTGTTTGTTAGGTGGTGACTCGTTACCTCTCTTTTTTGAACAATTAGTCTGCTCGTTACTTGCGACTTCGGTTACCATATTTTTCAGCCTGGTTACCAAAACGTCAAGCAATCCATTTCTAAGCATTATCATAATGCTTGGATCGTCATAAACAAATTGTGCCAAACCGTGCAATAACATGGGATGATATTTTTCGTGTTCAGCAGTTTGCAACAAAGATAACATTAATTCTAAACCAGATCCCATTCTAATTCTTGCACGATTCACAGCTTCCCGACAAAACAGACATAAACTAACTAATGTTTCTTTAGACAATTCTGAATGATCTTTGATAAGAGCAATGAGACTCTCAATAGCACCAGAGTTTCCCAAAATAGGACGACATTCTGCTATTTGGCAAAGGTTGTACAAACACTTAATGGCCATTTTATTATTCATATCGCAGCACTGTACAACGCATTTGTAGCCTTGCATATCTTTCTCTCCTCGCATTTGTTCCCCGACTCGAGGATCAAGAGTAATCAGAAAAGCGCACATAGCTTTTAAACAAGTTTCTACCAGCTCCAAATACTTTGCACCTGTTTGTAATTTTTCCATTGCTATTATTAAGAGACCTGTTATTCTATGTATAATTCCAGACTCTAAAATCTCTTCTCTGCTACCTTCATATATACTCCAAATATTTCTGCAAAGAACGAACATAGATTAATTAAAAAAAGAATGCGGAATGCAGTTAGAATATCACAAATGCATGAATTATTTCTGTACCTTATAGCCCTAACACCCATTAAATGAGTTTGCATATTTATATCTAACTGTAAAAGATCAACTAGAGCTTGAATTGCACCAGCCTCGCACAGTGATTTAGCATGCCAATCGCACTCTGACAAGTTTCCAATCAGTCTACAAGCACGGCAGTGTAAAGTGTTCCCTAACTTTATATATTTTATTATAGAGACTACGCTACTGGCTATTTTAGATCCTCTGACCTGAAAGAAATGTTTTTAAAATTAGTACGAATTGACATTGCTTGACTGTAAGTAGGAAGTGTTTAGATATAGATTATTCTATCTTTAGTTAAATGAACTAGTTCGTGAAACTTATTGAACAGCTCTAAAAGGGAATGAACACAAATGTCATTGTACCTTCTCCCTCGCGTCAGAACTCATGCATGCGTTCGCTAGAACACTCAAAGTCATATTCAATATTTTCAAATTATGACAACGGAGTAAATTTACTAAAATGCCCAGCCCTCCATCTTTTGCGAATTGCTTGTAGGACTTGGGTTCGTTTTTGAGCCGTGCCAAACATGAGGAGATTCCGCTCTTGGACTCTGTCTTTAGATGTTTCAATAATTCCTGAAGTATCGAGTACTCTTGTTTCTCATACACAGTCGACATTTTTTTCGACAATTAGGAAAATGAACGAAAATTTGTTAGTTTTTCAGAAGAAACATAACCTCTAAATTGTACTGCCATCAAGATTGACAGCTACACCTGTACAGTAACTTACAAAAGTGTGTTAAGAAGAAAATCATTTTAATTCGTAACTTCTTTTAAACGAAATGTATTACATTGATTGTAAGACAATGTAATGTAGATGAACTTCACGTTTAAATTCGAAACGTATCAAGATGTAATTAATTAATTATTTTATATAATTACTTTTTCGAATGTCCCGCTACTAAGTTTTTAGTTTAAAATGTACACACTAGCCGTCATAATACGTTTAATGGAGTTAGTAGGTATACTGTATAGGACGATTAGGGAACATCACGGAACATAATTGAAACAATTTGTAGGGCACATTAATAACTCGTGAAAGGATTTAATAATCCCAGTAATATTAACAAACTATTATTTTCATTAGTAGTAGTAATGAAATTCATAAGGTTATTACTGTCATTGATACACGTATGTTTATCACATCATTTAATTAATCCTATTTAACTCATTAAGCTCGCGTCTTCCTAAAGAACAGCGAGACAAAAGAAAGAGAATACCTACCTACTTGTACTCCAAGTAGAATAATTTCTCAAAATTTATCACATGATGTTACAAATTATTTTCATTATTTCTAAATCTAATGAAGTTTTATTTTCCCAATAATAGTATACATATGTATTGGAACGTTTGTCTACTATCAAGAGTAAGAGTTACGCCTAAATGTTCTTCGATACACAACAGTAATTACAAAGAATTACGTAAAGAAACATCATCCTTCGTTGCGTTACACGCAATTTCCTCGCATCGTTAAAACGGCTGAGACTCCTTTACTTAACCCCCCCCCCCGTCGTTTCCATCTAACGTTCATATCGAACGAATTCGCATCGTCAAGGTGACCATAAAGTTGCATATTATTTGTTTCGAGGTAAAACAGGCGGGGGATTTTGTCGGTTGTTTGTTTCGCAACGGATACGAATTTCTATTTTGCGTAAGCACACCGTGAAGAGTATCATCCGTGAAGCGCACCTGCTGGCGGGGGCAGTGTCCGCGAACATAGTATAGCGGAGGCGTCAAAATGATAGGAGAGGGCATGGGGATCGGAACGTGAGGCTACGCAGGAGATGTCGACAAGATGACAGCGGCTGTATGACGCTGCTCATTCCGTTTCTCCACGGCTGACAGGTTACCCGTGTACCAGGAAAAAAGGTTTCGATCGCCGCTGAAACGAACGACTTATGCCTCGTTACGGTGGCACGTGCGTCCCAGTAGATTCTCTGCAACGGAACGAGATCGTAATCGGGCGTATTCGGGTGAGAGCCGCCACCGCCGCGCCCGTGCAATGTACAGAGCGGCTTGAATCGTGTCTCGAATCATCACCGTCCCCGAGGAGTCCTCTTTTTCAACGGCCTGGAGTGGAGTAATGAGCGTTTTCGGGGATTTCCAGCGTGTCTGGGTTCAAAGATTCCCGGACAGCGCGTTGCCGGCGGCTTGGGAAGAGGACGTCAGAGCCAACCTAGTCAAGCATAAACAGAAGGTATACTAGGAAGTATACACTTAATGGATAAGATATAACGAACATGTAAAGTTACCTCCTTGTGCACTGGCATCTAAAGAAACAGTGGATACAGTATTGGTATACCCAACTGATACTCAAACAGGCTTTACACAGAGTCCAGATTTCAATACGACAACCCATTTTGGAGGACAGTTATTTTTACAGTGAAACTAATAGTAATTGAATTCAAATTAAGATGCCTTTATATAGACCTGGAATAAAAGTATAGAAAACACTTCTGTGAATGCTGAAGGATTTTGAGTTTATTGTATCTCATCCATTAATTGTAACAATATAATAAGAACTATGAGAGGTTTGTTTGGTAGTTAACATAAACGTATTGTGACAGTCAGAAACTGATTCCTATCACATTATTGTGCACATTATCCCTCTAAATTATTTTAGTGAAAGACTATGAGAAAAGGTTTTCTTCTTAAGCTATTGATGAGTCACCAATAGTATCTGTTTGTGAGGAACAAATTATATCCTTTTCTTTGTTTCTTATCTTTTCTTCTCGGAAGTCTCTAGTTATAGCTTTAATTCCTTAGAGGAAAACCTTTCCTTGCCCATCAGGTAATGGGGGCATTGCTTCATGAGTCATCACATTAGTTTCATAGTTAATTGAGAAGTTAACTGAATTTATAGCTAAATGTAGTTAACATGTCAGTGTTCTCCATTCACTTTATTTATCTTCAGACTTTTGTTTAAAATCTGGTTTCAAAATTTTTGTAACAATATTCTATAATAAATTAGTCACACATGTGTTGCCATTTATGGAGGAAATTAAATCATTGTATACACATCAACTAGTATGTCAAGAACATTAATGCTAAACTTCCTCAATTGGCTCACTGTCACTGAATCATCGTTTGCTTATCTCAATCTTGCTATCATGAATGAAAAAGATATGTTTGTATCGTGTTTGCATTGGTAATTACAATAATATCAAATAAAATCAAATGAAAATACAAATTTCCGATGAATATTATGTTTGCAGGTGACTGCTTTGAGGGAGGAACTCGAAAAAGAAGAATTCTACGTGGAATATTTAGAAAGATTGCTAGCTGATGTCGAACGTCACAAGCAACTAGCAAACAGTAACACGGTGACAACACCCGAAAAGCAACAGTTTACAGAATCTCAAACTCAACAGTCCCGTCTGGCAGAAAATAGTTTGCCAGATTCAACGAATGCGTCTCGCGCTCAACATCCGGAGCCATCGGCTCCGCCACTTCCTGCACGCGAGGATATAAGTAAGTTTCAAGACAAGTGCGTTTCTGAACTGAGCTCGACCCTGAATACAAACAAAAGACCTAAAAGCGAGATACCAAAAAGTCCTGACAAAGTGCCTGAGCTTAGACGAAACAGCGACCCTGATGTGCCAAGTAATTATGTTACCGTAATTGAGGTGACGGGTAGTTCAAAGAAAGAGAAGAACGATGAATCCCTCAAAGAGGAGGACGAGAAAGGTGTTGTATTAATTATGTACTATTCTCACAATTAAATCCAATTTGATTTATGTGTGTCCTTCACGATTCAGATTTGGAAAATCCGATCAATGAAGATGGGGAAGATGGTGATGCAGAGGCATCGGAGGAAGAACCTTACTATGATTCTGTAGCTTTAGATCAGACAGGAGAGTATGTATATATCGATGCACGTATTCCACCCATTGGGAACAATAATGGCAATAGAGCACCGCAGAGGAGACCGCCCTCTCTTCCGGACTCACCGGGGAACCAGAGTAACTATGTCAACATCGATTATTTTATACAGTAAGTCGCTTCTGCCGAAGAAAATCGTAATAATAATTTCTCGGGCGATTGATTTATACACGATACTTCACGGGAATGTTTACCATCTGCAGACACAGAGCAGCAATGGACAGCGAGGACGAAGAAGGTGCCAGTCCTGCACCACCGATTTTACTGCGCGCTCTTAGCACGGATAACGAAACCGGTAGCAGTGATGCAGAACCTTTAAGCTTAAGCGAAGGCAGTTTAGAATCGCCGACGCCAACCACACCACGCCGCCAAGAAAAAAGTAAAGACCGTGAGGACGATAGAACGTCTATGATTAAATGTATTGTGAACTCTGTGGTAGAAAGTGAAACAATATATGTCGAATGTCTAAACGTAATGTTACAAGTATGTAGCCTATCTTACAACCTAACATCAAGTGAGGTATGAAAAATTGTGTCGTGGTTTCTAATGGATCTATCCCTTTTTTTTCCAGTATATGAAGGCTATCAGAGCTACATTGACCACGTCGCAACCGGTCATTTCCGAAGATGAATTCGGTACCATGTTTTATAAGATACCGGAATTACATGAATTGCATCAGACATTTTTGAACAGTCTTAGGAAAAAATTGGAGAAATGGGATAGTAAAACTACTATAGGTGAACAGTTTAAAGTAAGAATTGAAAATTCTCTATAGAAAGAACGGTAAATATGTATCTCTTGAATTCTGTTAATGTTATATCATTGGTTATAGGTAATGGCTAGCAACATAGGATTATACGGAGCTTTTTTGCATAATTATGCTCGTGCTACCGATACCGTACGAAGGTGTTCCGCGCATTCTACTCAATTCGGTGAAATCACAAGGGACATAAGACTCAGAGGATTTCCTAAAGGTCCAGGTTTATCTCTCGAAGATCTTTTACATAAACCTGTAGCTCGAGTGCAGAAAAATGCATTAGTTTTACATGTGAGTATACCGTGTATACAAAAATATAATACTCTTTAAAATACACAAACAAAGGAGTATACTATTAGTAAATGAACATTGATTGCATAACTCGATAACATCACGTGGAAATATACTAACTTTATCTTATCAGAGAATTCGCAGTGATAATTCCCTTTCAATCGATTGTAGGATCTTCTGAAGCACACACCAATGAATCATGCGGATCATGCACCGCTTTCAGAAGCTCTTGCTATGACCAGAAACTTCCTGGACGAGTTCAATATTATTCAGACGAAATCAATGTTTCCGGTGAGAAAAATTGAAATAACATTTAAATTGCTTGCAAATAACGTAGTATCTATAACAACACTTGTTTCCAGAGTCATGACAGAGCACAACGAAGATTAGTGAAGAACTCTTTTGTGGTTGAATTATCTGACGGGCATAGAAAGTTAAGACATCTGTTTCTCTTCAACGACGTAATCGCTTGTGCAAAATATAAGGCATCTGGTAGAGATAAGTTCACGTTTGAATTAAAGTGGTACGTGCCAGTGGCAGAAGCGGTGGTGACGGAGGATGGTATTGAGCCACGTGAGACTAGTCCAGCTAATGTTGTAGCTCTACGGTACATAAAAAATTATTTTGTTCTCATTATACTAAAAAACACGTATTCGGTTTAGTTATTGGTAAATTTCATGTACAGGTCACAGGCATGTACCGTACGCGATCAAAGCTCAGCTAGTGTTAGCCTCTCCGAATTTAGTATTACGCGTTTCGCATAAAAGTCAGCATCGAATGCAAAATTCGTATACGTTCTTTTTGTCCAGCGAATTTGAACGGTCTCAATGGGTTGAAGCGGTGGAGGCATTGCAACAGGTAATGCGTTCCCATAGTTACCTAGATAAGTCAAAGGTGCGTAATTCACAAATTACGAATAAATAAATACTGTAAAGATACGTAATATCTTTTATTTAAATCGAACACAAGGATATAAGTAACGATATCTTAACAAAGATAAGGAGATAGTTAATTAAATGATAACAAATAATAAATATTTCATTTTTTATCTTTTAGGGCGGACAACCTCCGGGACCATTGCCTTTGTCAATGTATGAATTGCAGGCTTGGGTTACAGCCTGCCGTACTTATCTTCAAACAGATATGGGCAGCTATTTGTTGAGATCGGGACGCGACGAAAGCTTGTTACTGGGTGATCTTCACTTGACTCTGCTTGGCTTAACACCGCCAGGTTTAGACAGAGTCGGAGATCTTTATATAATCGTGGAGGTTGATAGTTATGGACATTATTTTAAGCGTGCAAGAAGTCGAGTTGCGAGGGGACAAGCTCCGACCTGGGGTAAAATGATGTTTTCTTTTTAAAAATAATTATTGGAATGTTCTATTGTATAGTATTCATCGTGACAGTATGGACGATTATTATACCGACAGTTCATAATTAATTTCAACTTGGTCTGTTTAAGGTGAAACGTTTGTCGTTGAATTAGAGGGCAGCCAAAACGTTCGTATTTTATTGTACGAAGAATGCGGAACTCGTTCGGTACTGCGAGGCAAATGCATACAACGATTGAGCAGATCTTGGTTGCAGTCGGATCAAGTCGAGAGATCGTTAAATTTAGGGCCAGCTACTTTGGACGTGGCTCTCCGTTTCGTTCCAAGCGAAGTAACCTTGAGGCGGGTACCGTCTGCCAAGCCCCAAGGTTTATTCGGGGCTAAAATTCAACAAGTGTGCAAGTATGTCGTAATATTTACCTAAACACAGGTATTTCTTTTTTTTTTTTATCTGTAACAGCAATAAAACTGACTATACATATTTACTCTCCAGGCGTGAGAAACGAGACGTTCCGTTTATTATAACAGCTTGCGTGAGAGAAGTGGAAAGGCGAGGGGTCGGAGAAGTGGGTTTATACAGAGTTTCTGGTTCAGCGTCCGATTTAACAAAGTTGCGTAAATCGTTCGAAAGTAATTCATACGAAGCAGAACAATTGCTTAAAGAGGTACATATATATGTATATCATCGTATTATTCTTCATTAAATAATATTGTGTTAACATAAGTGTTTGACACGAGTAAATATTTTAAATGAATTAATTAAATCTGAAACGAAGATTCGTATAGAAACGACGAACCCCCTGCGTCGACTTAATCCAACAAATCGTTTCAGTAATATTATTTATATTTTTTCAGGTGGATGTTCACTCTGTAACAGGTGTTCTCAAGTTGTACCTTCGAGAAATGCCGGAGGCTCTCTTCACGGACGCCCTTTACCCAGCGTTTTTGGAAGCCTTCCAAACCGGCGAGTTGTCGAAGGGTGCTGCCTTACGAAGGGTTTACGAAAGCTTACCTGCCGTGAACAAAGCGGTGATTGACTTTCTGCTCGCTCATTTGATCAGAGTGAACAAACACGAGGCGCAAAACAAGATGTCGCTGCATAATTTAGCGACGGTATTCGGGCCGACCTTGCTGCGACCGGGCACGAACTCGCGGTCGGACGCGAAGAGTCGCGATCCGTTGGCCGCAGGCACCGTCGACGTAATGGCGCAGGCAGGCATACTTTACTGTTTCTTGCAGATACACATGCAACAGAACAATCAGTCACTCTAGTCGAGAGATTCTTGTTGACCTGTCGTAGCGTTAGTTGCTCGAGGTTCTCTTCGTAAGTGTCTTAACGCCGCGATTGTAAAATTACCAATTTTTCTATAATATATTTTGCTAATTTTTTCGTGACTACGTATTGTTTTCACACAGAAACGCACTGAGTAGTAAACAACAGGCTTTGACGGAACCCAGATCGGCGAGAATTCTTGTAGGATTTGGTTACGCGTACGAGATAACGTAGCGAAAAGTGAACTTGGAAGCCACCATATGTATTGGTTCACCAAGCTCCGTCATATATTTTATACCTGTATTCCTGCGAAAGTCCTAGCTAACATGAAACCCTGACGGCTGGTTCGCCCCGTGTTTTCGTGAAATTTTCAGGAATGAATGTGGACATTAAGTACTTGATATTTTGATGCTTAAAATTCATAGCTGAATATTTTCTTGAAACCTGTGGCGAACCAGGCACACGAGAGACATTTCGAAAAGAAAAGAAATTCATTTCTTCTATGAGAGAGAGAGAGGGAGAGAGAGAGAGAGAGAGAGAGAGAGAGAGAGACAGGAGTCCGGTTCGCTATTATATCCACGCTTTAGAAAGTAAGTATTTTTTCCAATGGGGCGTGTTCCTAACAGAGAGTCTAAATTTTTTTACGCAATAACAACGTGACATACCACCTTTTGCTATGTCCGTGAAAATGTCCACTTATTCGAGTGAATCACGTTCCTAAATATTCCTACAGAACAACTTCAAAGAAATGCGTTCCTTCGTGTATGCAAATCGAAGCTTAATAGTGTCACGATATATACACATACACTGGCTACATTGATTTTTTGACGGAACTGACTTTCGCGAGCCGTTGTATTCTTTATAGAAATATTTTCAGAAAAATTCATGCTCTCGAAATTTTTGTAAAAGATATTGACGAGCAATGGAAAATGTTTTTCATGATTTAAGCTGTAGTTAGACTCGTTTTGGTTTTTAATTCAATTTGCACAGCATCTTTCATATTACTAGTAGGTGTTTACATTGTACTAGTTTAAATATTTACTGTTTTTACATGGCAGTATAGTTTTATATCGTATGGTACTTCTCGAATAATCCTCTGTTTGATAGTGTAATATATAATTGCACACGTGCACGTCTCTATTAACACTAAACCTACCGAATCCTTCAAAAACGTAGTAATTGGAACGGTAAAACCGGTCATTTGACCGGCCGGTGGTAGGTTTAGTGTTAAGTTATCATTAAATTAGAAATATATTCGTCTAATAATTTTAAGAATCATCTTTAGTTCTCAAGTCTAATTACAGCTTAATGGAGCACCAAAGAGAAAAGATTCTCTCTCATACATTCAATAGAGTACCAAGATTGACCCTTTGAAGCATTGCAATATTTACATTCTGTCATCTACAGCGTGTCCATATTTACACTATCCAGTTGTATTTTTCTAGTACTGTATACCACAATTAATCTAATCTATGTCTTCGTATTCTATCGTGAAAATTACTCCCAACAAAGCCCGACACTCCATGCTTCAGAGGGTTGAAGCGAAGGAAAGCACATTTGGCAGTACAAATTTAATACTCTATATAGAAAACCCCTGTGTTACATGCTAGGACGTTTGTGAATTACTCTGTAATCGAAGTAACGAAAGCAAAAGACAGAAGTCTGACGAGTGTTCGAGAAAATCATATAAATATAATACGAGCATTAAACAAGGGTAAGAAGGCAACGGAAATCACAGCAAGATACTTTTTGGAATGTGACCACTGTGCTTGAGCCGAAGGCAACTATTGTATGTGTGATTTCAACGTGTGTGTGTGTGTGTGTATGGGTGCTGCGCGCGCGTGTGTGTGTGATGTATGTGTAACCCGCCCATGTGTATTATATCGTAAATATTGGATACCTTTAATTTTTATATCGCATTTTAGTGTAATATGCGTCCCTCTTTTGTACATTCGATGAAACGTGTAAAGACAAAGTTTCCGCTATTACGATTAATTATTAATATTACGAACGATTAATTATTATTGCAATAACTATTATTATTTTTATTATCCAGCATTTCGCAATTACCGTTCAACAAGTATTTGGTAACGAAATTCGATCGAGCTAGTTTACTTGCTGCAAGACGATGTACCGCTAAAAAAAACACATCTTTCAGATACACTAATATACTGGAGGTTTATAAACTTTTACATCGGAAGCATTTGTTTATCGCCCTACGATTGATTGTTTATCATTTTCCTTTTCTTTAAATATATGTTTGAGCTCGCCACACGATTATTATAATCGAAAAGAACAGATAGGTAAACTGGTCCAGTCACGTGTAATTATCTGTTTTATTTATAACCGTGAAAGCAGGTAATTTCAATTCTATAATGGAAATGTCATTAGTAGATTACACTTTAGTACGTTCTCTTCGTGATTAACTATCAAATTTAAATGTACCCGAGGTATACAATTGTTGATTTCTTTACTCTTTCAAAGTAGTCGCGAATCCGCGAAGATTCAAATGGAATTTATTAACTCTTGCTGCAACACCGAATCGGGACAGCTTCGTGCTGGTGGGGGTACAGGAAGTTTAACCGGTGTAGCTGCTATGTTGTCCCATAGCCCCGGAAGTCGTGACCCATCCGAGCCATTGCATTGCATACCTATTGAAAAATATGGCAAAAAGCATATTAACAGAAATAATATATAAAATGAAGCTTTCATTTATTAGATAAGATAATATTAGATTCGGAAATCGAGAACCTAATGGCGCTGCTTCGTAGAGATCGTGAAGTGCCTCCACGCGAACTTTGGTCCACTGGATACTTTCATAATTCGTCGATATTCCCTTCTCGACGCTGGTCGATTGACTTTCCCATTCCCTCATATACCGAAAGTAAGTCCTCAAAGCATCGTCGCTTATAGCGCTCTTGCAAACCTGACGAGTAAGTTTTAATCGCACACAGTATTACGAAGTGTGGCGATACGATTGCATATTAAATGGAATAGAAATGAAAATGTAAAAGAGCATAGAATGCCTGTCTACCAATAACGTATCACATACCTCTAATCGAGCGTTAGGATAATAGTGTATATAATTCACGCACATTTCGTCAGAAATGGCGAAACCACCGAGAGTAACATTCTTCCTATCCATCGTATTGTACGTGCAAGTCGTTATTAATGAGTCACCCTGCAAACGACTCGTATGTGAATAAATTCATTTAGAATCATATGAGTATGGTGTAAAAAAACGTTGTCGAACGACGTTTACAGGCAAGATGGTCACCGGTTTCGGCAGAAGTCGAATCTCTTGGAAATGAGTCGAGTAATGGTGGTCGTAGTTCAACGGCGGCAATTCTTCTCCGTCCCGGATGTGACGAGTAACAACTTTAGTGCCTGTTAAGTGTGTGTGCAGCTGCGAGGCAAAGATATGAATTCCATGCTGCGGTAAACCAACCCCTGTGCATTCCTGTATACAGTGTCCCGATAAAACAAAGGCCTCCTACGGTAAACACGATATCCTTCTATAGAGAGTATTATGTCGATTTCGTGTTACAGCCCAGTGTTTCCCAAACTGTAAGTCGTGAAGCGATATTTAATGATATATACAGGCTAACGCGGCAAGTACAACTACCTTTAGTATCTCAGAAAATATGAAAATTCATTTCTAGGTAGAAACGCTTCGGAGATTCGAAGGTCATCTTCGTTGTTTAACCCTTTCGCTCCTAGTGTCGGATACGATATTTGTCATCCGCGGGCAATGCTGTGTTTCTGATCAGTCTGAACACTACTTTATCGACATATCGAGTGGTCAGATAAGTGTACATCTGATCACAATTTTGTTTTCCACCATTTACGGCTCGCTGGTCCGCACTGGCCGAACACTCACCGGTAGCGAAAGGGTTAAGTATAATGATATACCTTTTGTACGTATTATATGCAACGCACCGACCTATAACTCGACACACTGCCCCGTCCTGTGTAATATTTAGTTAACGAGTTATGATTTTATATATAGAAAGTTTGGGAGTCACTGGTATGGCCAATTGGTACACTACTTGTTGAGGTGGTATCGCCATTTTATCCGTGTACTCTAATCCCAACTCAATTACGCCAGCGTCGTACTTCCTTAGACTCTTTGTCAGAATGAAGCGAATCCCAGAAGAGTCGATTTTTCCATTCTCAAGTTCAGGATTGTTATAATGGACCTCTAGCATCACGTAAGGATTGAAGGAATTCCCGCCGATCGAAAGTCCGACTTCTTCGGGGTAGACGAAGGCATCCGCACCCATTGCCCAAGCTGCTAACACTTTTTTACATATCTAACAGCAAAAAAAGGAAAAGCAACGATTCTCATAAGGTGTAATGCATCTTTGGAATTTCATTTCTAAAATATTTTCAGAGTTTCTGCAAATGAAACTACTTGAGTCTTCTCCGGTCTGTCGGCTCCATCACAGGGACCATCATACATAGGGACTTCAAGGTCCACAGGTCCAGCACAGTGGAAAATTTCCATATGGTGTACCAGATGTTCGTTTCCTAGTTGGATCGCGGGACCAAACTGAAGAATATGATGCCTGTAGACGTATTCGAAAAATATAACAACTAATAATATCTGTCAATTTGGCAATTAAAATGTAAAATTGTACACTCACTTCTGTGACAAAACTGGTGGCAATTTCTGTACACGACACCAATAGGTCGTCTCCTTGTTCGGTACTTTTACTCGGTGAGCCAACATCTCTAGTTGCCACGCACTTGAAGGAAATATCGGCCTTTTGTGTAATACTCTGATTAATTCTGTTCGGGTCATACCGGAAATTTCCGCGTCCGAGATTTGCAGACCAGCCAAAGAGGACAGAGGACCAAGACCCCTTAACCATACCAAGTGCGTAGTACCCCTCTGAAGGAGGAAACTGTACATCAATATTATATGCAAAAGAAATAATTCAATAGTGTGATAATGCCGATCACCTCCATGACATAGTCGTATTCATCGCAGGTGTCCAATTTCCTGGAGAAAGTGAACTTCGTCACGTTCCCCCTTCTCCTCCATGCAAAGTCTTCGCAGTCTTGCTTCGGGTCCAAGTTCAATTTTCCATCTTCGTCGGCCCATGCGTCCTAAGAAATATTACGGCAAAATATTACAGCCGTTCTATGTCTTATCGATATTATAATTTCTACTACAATAACGTAACACCCAACAGATACCTGTAGCTGAACTTGACGATGCCAGTCAATCCATAAAATACAGTAATCAGCGGGTTTCGATTCTCCGTAATCCGAGAAACCAATGGCGAACCAGGTATTGTCCACGCCTACGTAGTGGACTTCCGCGATTATTAATTCACTCGTGAAATCAACCCTGGAAAATGTTCGATCACCGAGAGACATTCGAAATTTTCTATCTTTTTTTCATCGGTTTAAATCTAATTTAAAAAATCTACCTCCAATGAAAAGTAGCTTCCGGTCCGAGCGGCACAGTATGGACACCGTTTCTATCCGAATTTATTTCTTCGCTTTGCCGATGGTTGTGCCAAGATAAACACGAACCGGTACTCAAAACCGTAAACAACGTCAGTGGAATCGTTATCGGGAACATTTTCGAATTTTATAAAAATTCCAAAATTCTTATATCGCCAATGGAAAACTTATTAATGATTATAGAATTTATTCGAAGCACTATATTGGCTTTTTGATACGGTACTAACGTGAAAAGCTTTTCATTGACATCTTTGCGGTGTTCCACCGTCACGTCGTTGATTTCTACTGCCTGGAAGAGGGTGACTTTGAAGGATGAAGATTTCGTACGAGGGCGGTTTGCCGCCGATTTTTTGCGGGGCGCATGCGCAGGGATTGGCGTCGCCGTATTCGAGGTACGTCTGGCATGTTAGAAAAGACGTTAGAAATGTGGACAGGAAAAGAGCTGTAATTACCACAATATCAGTACTGAAAGTTAACCAAAGACCAAAGAAAAGGTAAAATACGAACGTAAATACTTCGAACGAAGATGATTTATAGCTTCAGACGTATGCGCGATGCGTAAATGCTTCTTGCAAGATGCGTTCTCGCATTAAAAAACCTGTAAGTAAATGGAAACTAAAAAAAGTGTGTATTTAACATTGTCACTTACACAGAAACGAGCACGCTTATTTATTTATTTAATTGCATAGAGTATTATATAGGACAATAACCTCAAAAGAAATTTCAGGTTAAAAACAGTTTATACAAACCACGTGTAACGAACAAGCACTTAGAACGTTACTGTTAATATTCTTTACTTAACGATGTAATTTTCATCGGGCTTCCTGAAATCTGGTTTAATCTCTCCGATTGAATCGATTTTCCCGCAATTTCAGTCGAAATAAGTAGATTACTAAGGTTATCAATATCCAATAAGCGAGAGATAGCATCAATTTGCGATATAAAATGCTGCAGACGTTAATTCCAGTATTCCAAGGACTACCGCGAAGATCGAATCGTCGAAATTCTAGAAGTTAGATACAATTAATAAAAATGTGTGAATCGCTTGAAAAATAGTAAGATCGAAGAGACTCAGATTACGGCACGATTGATTGCATGTCTGTATCTGAAACAAAGTTTCATTCTTACAGAACGTTTTCGTTCGCGCAAGCTAGTCCGTGTCTAATCGAAATTTCTCACGATATATTTTTGCATCGTCGAGCGGATAACGCGCGCTGATGAGACGGAAAAAATGCTGAAATTTCGAGAAATTGTCTCGATAATCGAATACCAGGGGGCGCATATTGCATTCCATTTCTGGCGCGTGCCTCGCCATCCGGACCGACCGCAATCAAGAAATTCCGCGGGCCTTTATTGCCAGGCACACAATTCTCGCGGCAGGCTTTATTTAACAGCCACGAATAACGGCAGGCCACGTGACATCAATGTTGTAATAGATTCAACCGTCAATAGTACTCTACATTTCCTTATTTTCGCAGGTTCCCTGTGCACCTTCAAACCACCGACTTCATATGAACATTTGAATTACAGTGGTATCATTAAACATCTGTTTAAAGTTATTCAACAATCATTCTCGTGATTAAAATAACGTGAAGAAGCGCCGGTGTTAACGCAAGAGAACGTACACCTGGCGATTATCAAGATTAATTTAATTGGATTTAATATGGAGAAGAAGATAATCGTTGGACGTTAAGTAGATATCGAAGATGGCGTCTTACAATCTAGAAGATGACATCTTGTAGATGGTTATCATTTATCTTGTATCTTGGAGATTTTCTTAGAAGCAAGGGTTCAGACGATTGGTCCCCCTGCGAGAGACGGCAGCTCATTGTTCGTTTGTCCTTTCTCAAAGAAAAAGAAAAGTTGGGCAAAGCCTCGTCCCTTAGGATCAATGAATGCATCAATAGCCGTGGCATAGAACCAAGGGCCAGTCGTGTGAAATACGACCGTCCGGTTGCTCTCACGGACCCACAAACGATCAGGTAGACGATCTCGCCTGACACCTTGACTTCCGGATCTTTTCGGCACCAGTGTGTGTGTGAATTTAGTCTTAATGCCCACTACAATATCATGGGAAAAAATGATATGGTTTCATTAAGAAAAATCTGAAGGTGACCTTGGATTTGCTATAAAAAAATATATATGTCATGCATACGCATGTATCATGCATTCGATATACATAAATTCGTGTTAATAACTTTTTTTACTGCATTGTTGCAAACGGCTGAAAAATCGTACAGATCATTACAGCCACAACTCTTTATATGACAGGTATAAAATCAACAATTCGTACTATTGAACATCGAAATCTCCAGAAACACAGTAGAATATTTATACACAGAGACGTGTAACATTCTAAAGCAACACGAGGGACATCAGTAAGACGTCAACAAGGAGACGATCCGCTAATTGTTTCGAGTGCCACAACCAATGCTTGTTGTTCATATTAACGCGTACTGGCCATTGGTTGTGCAACGTTGCGAAAGAATAGATACGCGAACTATGAGACATTGCGCTCTGTCTCGCGGCTATCCAACGTTTTCATCGGATCATCGTTTACTTTCACGAGTAGATTTTCAATCTAGGTGTCGGTTACCGGTAAAAAGTCATTCACACGCGGTTTGCAAACGATCAAGTACCGGTGAGACGAGAGAGAAAGAGACACTTCTAAAAGTCAGCGAGGCTGAACTTAATTAGAAATTTTAATCGCATCGAGAACGTCTGTTCAACGGCGTTTATGAGTTCCGTATTACGTAATTGCATCGTTCAACCGATAGGAGACGTTATCAGTGGCGCCGTTGCGCTAATCGGACGATGACTCATGAAAAAAGTCGCCCGTCCTATCTCGTCATCGTCTATCGCGAAATCGTCTGTTTCTGGGACTAATCGATGGCAAGGATCGGGAAACGTTAACAAGGAAATCTATAGCTTCGCGATGATTCGATCCAAAGAAACTTTATAGGAAAGTCGATCCAACGTTGGTGGTTCGGGCGCGTCACGACTGATAATGTAAAGCGCCGAAACAGATACGTTTTACCGGAGCGATAAACGCGCACGGAATGACAGAGGATAGTTTCGCAAGCCAAAGGTCAAGTTTGGTCTCCCCGAATGACGAGAGGTTAACGACTCCTCGCGTGCCGTGCAGGTACGGATTAAAATTTGTATTGGCCCAGGACTATCAAACTTTCGGAGGCCTCCTTGGTTGAAAAGCGGGCGGGGGGGGGGATTTTTAAGGAATATTTTAAATCAAATTAAATAATATTTAATCATAACGAAATGGATGGTTTAGAACGGGACTCCCCTGGATCGTGGGGCTCGGGGCTACAGCCCCCCTAGACCCCCTTAATTCGGCGCTGGTACCGTGTTGGCGGACGGATTAAGCGTCTTGAGTGTTCGTTAAGTGCCTCAAAATCATTTTAACGCGTTGCCGGTTTTTTCCCTTGGACGATAAACATAGTTTCATTGACTTTACGTGGTACCGTTTATCTATTTATCATTATTATATTCTATCTGATTATAACTTATATGTTGGCTTGGAGCAGTAACAATCCGCTATAGTAATTATATGCGACTCATTTCAGATGTATGTATGTATGTATATCAGATTTGCTGCACCGCCATATGGTTTCGAGAACGTTCGCCGCAGACCACCCTGGGTTTTCATCATTCGATTCAGCGGAATGTTCTCAGCTTCTTGATGGAATATTACAAGGACAGAGAACAGAGATAATGAATAATGTAAAATATAGGTGAATATTGCAAGCACACATTCCGATTTTATCTGATAAAGTATGTCGATCTGGAAATTGGAGCGTCACGGCCTGGTTGCGAAATTGGTTAGAAGTTCAGCATCACGCGCCGGTCACCGGTGACCGTCGTATAATACAAAGTCAAATTTGAAAGAACACGACGTGAACGGCCAATCAGCAGAAATAGGCACTGCCGGCAGAGTTGGGCACGGTTTTATTCGAATAATATGTACATAGTGAAAAGCAACAGTATTTCAGATCGTCATCTTGGCGTTTGAACAGTTAATGGGATTAAATAATTGTTTGCCAAGTGTCTAACTCATTCAAGAAGAAATATTATTTTATTATAGAAATTGAAATTTTCACGTTTAAACAATGAAAAATGACGAAACATTATTTTATCTTTTACACGTTATTCGAAACTCTTTATCCAGATAGTGAATTTGCCTATCTCTTCTTCCGTTGAGAACGTCTTAAACAAGACCAGAAACGGCCAGTAAAGATCTTTCGAATAATGCAGAACAATCGCTGTACTGAGCTCTTACATCATCGGATGGAGTAAATATCTTCGATATGCATGTGGTAGCAATCATTGTATGGGTGACTACGGTCTATTCGCGTTTCCCTAGGAGGGATCGTGTATTTTTATCTATTCTACAACGTATCCTTCGACATTTACATAATGATATTTAGTTTCCTCGTACGAATGTTTCCGGTATTGACTTTGCGAATTAACTATAGCACAGCAATAACGTCTTCATCCGTTTTTTTTAATTCTGTTAAGCGACTTGCATCCACGGTTCGTATGTTACAGTGACAGTTATCAAGCGACTAAAATTTTCAATTAGGTCCAATTAGAGCTGATTAAGACGACGCGACGACCACTGTCTACCATGAGAACCTTTGGCGGGCTGGCAATTGTGCGTTCATAGCGCTGCACTGGAACATTATTGTTTGCCCATATTTACCTACGTCGAAGATGTCGTTCATTGAAATTTGTAGGATACGAAAGATAAGGATCATTGACGAAGGCTGGAATACTTGGAAAATTAGTCCGATACCTTCCTAGTGGGTAAGTATTCCATAACTTTAAGTGGTATGTAAACTCGAAGTGTATAGATAAGATATAATAAGAGTGGGTGTACTGATTGTCACGTTCACTCTGAACAATTATACATAAGGTGAATCGATTCTTTCGAAATTTAATATTACACATGACCACATCTTTGAACATTTTTCTAATTCAAAACTAATTCAAAATACTGAAATGGAAAAACAAATAACTGGAAAAATAACAAAAATTCTTTTCAAATTGTAAAAGAAATTTAATTCTTTTTTTCATTTTTAAGAAAAAATTGGAAAGTTCGTGGCACAAACCAAAGGGAAACCAGCGATGTTGCCGATCATAGCAGACATGCATAGAAGATACTATCAAACGCATTGAAGCCTAAGTTGGGATACTTTGATCTTAATTTTTAGTTTTATCTGATCGTTAACATAGTTTTTCGATGATAAGAAAAAACGTGTTCCACAAGTGTATTAACAGTATTCGAATTTTATTAGGCGTTACCGCAACACTTCTGGCGATCCGAGTGGCTATGTACGAGGCGATAAAACGAGCATGTAGAAGTCGACGCGACGGTCAGTTGTCGCCCCGCGGGTGCATGTCGTGGTGACGCCACAATAGAGGACGTCGACGTCGGGTTGGCGAGCGGAAAGTGGAAAGGGAACGGCGGTACGACTGCTTCGGGAGCATGCTCGGCTGCTCGGCTCGGCGCCTCGGCGCGACAGTCGGGAATCAACGACGAGTGCACGCGCTAGGACTTCAGTGTCGGAGCAACTGGTCCACGTCGTAACGCCGCGGCAGAACTGCACACCAAAAGGAATGTAATCTCCGTACGAATGACCGATCTTCTACCCGTCTACGACGCGCTCCAATTCAGACATTAATTGCCCACGGTGAGTACACCTACACCAGCTTGTCGTTCCGCGTCCAACGATCCTCCGTTTGGATTAGGCACATTAGGAGGGGACACTGTTCGCGCTCAAGCATCGAATTAGAAGCATCGATTTGACCACGTCGAACGATCACGATTCATCATAGGATTAGACCTGTGTTTAGAAGTCATTGATCGTGTTTCAACCACAGCTTTCCTTCAAGATTTTGTTCTTCTATCTCGTTTTAGAGCAGACACGTGGTCCCTGAGTGCTTGGTTCCATGTGATCGGCAGCATGCTGCATCGTTTCATTCGGTTTTCTGTTTCAATAAGCAGACCCTACCGGTTGCGTACCGTTTTGTTGTAACTGCTGTGAATCGTCGATGTTTGTTTACTTGTTTTAACGGTATCACCTTTTCAGATATGTGTAAACAGAAGTTTGTGGAAGACAGGACGGTCACGATAAGTGGCTGTGAATTCAATATAGGAATAGTAATATACTTCGAATTAGTGTGAATTAACGTCTTTAGTGGAACATGATGCGATGACTTTAGATTGTCGGTGATTGGTTCTTCTTTTATTTCGGAGTAAGGGCGCACGGGTTTATCGCTGAACGTTCATTATTAAATAATTACGCATTCGTATCTTCGTTCGCGAATCGTTATTACAGCGACGCGGATTGATTATTGGAGTATTTTTATTCTTGGACCCGGGAGAAGTACTGATCTTAACAGCGTGTCCACGTGATTGCTCCGTTTTCACTGTTTAAGATATTTCAGCATTTTTGTGTTGCTTTAGGATAACATAAATGTGCCTGTTTTGTTATTTTACTTATCGGAGTGTTTCCAGACGCGGCCAAAATTATTTCTAGCATTTCAGTCAGGATAAATTATATACTGTCTTTATTGAGGTGAATGTTGCGTGCACCAGTTTATGTATGACTATCGACACGAGGGACGAGATGCGTCCACGTGGTGCATTTCCGGCGGGAACATTTAACGCTAGGACCACGTGCTCCTCTTGTCCATGCATTGTAATGATCGAACGGGTTTAAACGGGTTTACTGTATCTTCTTGTGGGAAAGTTTGTCTTGCATTCCATGTTACATTCCGATTTCTATTTCATAATGCATTTTTATTTGTTCTCAGTCCAGACGAACAGTACTTCCATTCGCTAATTAGAATACATAATTATAATAATTCATCGTGGTCCACCACAACAATCACAGATATCAGCGATTACTTCATGAAACCTGTCATTAACGTCGAGATATTCTACGTCTGGATCCAAGATTCTTCTGTACTACAATGATAATAAAGAATTATCGATCGTATTTTTATTGGACGATTAAAGAAATCGCTCGATAAGAAGATCAGACCAGGACTCTCCATTCCGTTCCGAATTAAAAAGGAAAACAATATGCCATAATTTACAACGGTATGGTAACGACACATGAACGGACACAGGCCACTCGTCTGAATTCACGGGCGTCGCGCGTATGGGATACATTACTAGGGCAATTAAATTTAAATTTATAACCGTACCCAACGTACTTGTAATTGCTAATCGAAACCGACTGGCTCGATATACACGTGTATGGCGCCCGCGCCCATTACGTGTCGCGCAATTTCTTGAACGATTTCTTGAGAAATCGTTTGCTTTTTTTTCCATCAATCAGAAATAATTATTGATCGTTCGTGCGCGTAATTACGTGTCGGCGAACGAGGTGTCGCACGACGGGACACGCGTTTGTTGCCTGCTGGACACGGCGCGCCCGATGATTATTCCGTGGGAAGGACTTGCACTTCGTTTCCGGTTTCGAGGGAACGTGCCCGCGAATCAATTGCGATCGCGTGACTCATCGCCCCGCCGTTCGTTAAATCGCGATTCGTCATACACACGAGATGCTTTTTTCAAAAGATGCGTATTATCTTCCCTGTCGACACTTCGTGATCTTTCCTTATTATTCTGATCTGTTCCGCGATCTTTCTTTTATTGTCACCGGTTCGCGCCGCTCGTGACAAGTGCAAGGTTGCGGCAAGTAAGCGTAATATACTTTTCTGCATACATGTCGACGGCGCTCGGCTCCCTTGATGCCACAAGTGTGCGACAACGTATTTTTAGGTTGCCGCCAGACATGTTACACCCGGTCTATTCTAGTTCCAGCACGGGGACTGATTAAGATTTCTTGTTGTTTCACGAGGAATGCAACCGATGTATTTGTAACCCTTAACTACCAGAGACCACTTGTCTCGGAGACGAATCTGAACTAGTGATAGGCGATACAGTATCGACATTCCAGGTGACGATATATTCCAGTCCAGTACCGATTATTAACCCATAAATATTGAAATTTTGATACAATCGGTGCGTTTATCGTAACGTAACAGGTTGTAAGAAAAACGGACCAATCGCGAGCCTCCCATAAAGTTAGCAATCGATTTCTTTTCCACACACTGTTATTTGAGAATCTCCTTACTAAATGTCTACTTAAATAAATGGTTTATTTTCACTTTTAGATTTGTTACTTCTAATTTAATTGCAAGTATCTATCCCGATAATAACTCTCGAATACGGATTATTGGAACTCCGAATATTTCGGATAATTTGACGATTTCCAATATCAGAGATAATTGGCACTCGTACAATACACGGAGAATTCGGCGGGAAAGAAAAATCTAATAGACACGACTAATATTTTTTTTTACTGTATTTAAGTACACTATAGGTTCACGAAGTTTGCAGTCCAATTAGAATATCACAGCGTAGCCTGGACCGTCCAAACACGCGCGTAATAACAATTTTTCAAATTAACACTTCACACTTGGCTAGCGATTCGTTATCGTTAAACGGACGATAATTATTCCGGCTGACCGTGTCTAATGACAAATATTGACAGGAAAGTTGCAAATCTACTGACCTTCACCTTTGATTCACGAGTTGCTAATATCTTCTTTCGTGTCTGACATTTACAAGCACATTCAGAAAGTTCTACGGTGTGAATATACCAAGTGTGGTAGTAACCGCCATTATGGCGAACATATTGGTAGACGAAACAAACTTTCGAATCACTTACTATTGTTTGAACAATATCCTACAGAGTAGAGATGGCGATGCTTTTAAGCTTCACGGTTGCTTTTCTTGGTGTAAAAATCGTCCGAGATTTATGTAGTAATAAAATGCGTATCCGTAACGTATGACGTTACGAGTCACGGAAATCACTGCTAATCAGCACCGTTGTCATAGAAACAGTAGATAACGTTTATGGAATGTACAGAGAAGGTGCGACAATTTCATATAAGAAGTACATACTTATATCTTAAAAAATGTTGATGTGTATCCAGTTAAATAGGACCTAAAAATGCTGAAGATGCACCAGAGATACAAATCAAGACCACAAATATTCAAACTTATTGTTTACTTGTCCTGTAACAATAATAACGATAAATAGTAGCACAAATATCATATCCACTGTGTTAATAGCTGAGATGATCGTCGTTCGTTGGTTTCGCCGATTCACGGGTGCCAATTTGGCACTGCCAAAATACCGTCCCATACCAGAATCCGACCTTCACCTTTATCTTCGTTCCGGCACGGTCGTCTGTCATCGACAAGTCGATCGTGGAACGTGGTGAATCCCGACCGAGATATATGGCACGAAAAACCGAGATCGTGATCCGATTTCTCATCGATACAGGGCCAATCGGCGGTGCTTGTCCTTGATTTCATCGATGATCCCCAACGCGAACTAGATCGTTTCGTTGAAACACAAGACTGTGGGATGGACAAGGTCGTGTGCGAACGGAATTGAAAGCTTCGTACGACGAATTTTAGCGGAAACGTTTTACGCTAAAGCGATTAAATAGTTCAAATAATATTCCAATATGTTCTCAATGTGTAAAACATGTTTTGTAAATCTCGATAATGTGTGACAAATTTTATTTTATATCTTCTATTTTATATCTGTCTTAGTGAATATCTGTTTAGATAAATGATTTATTTTCATTTTTGAATTGTATTACTTCGAATTATTTGCAAGTATCGATACCGATATTTTTGATCGATATATGTGTAACGATACTCTGGGTTTCGATACAATTTAAATCTTTCGCCATCACTAGTGGTGGCTATTAATTAAGCGAATAGACAGCACTGTGAACTGAATCGTGATCGAGACGAAGGGAAATCGCAGTCGAGATACATATATTTATAGTGTATTATATGGTGTATAGCAGTCTGTTGATCGTCGTTCATTTAATTGTTTCAGTGACCACGGGACTAGCGCGTATCGCCAGCTGCTTTTGAAGCGCCTAAAGAAGCCGAGGAGCAGGCTTTTGTAATCGATGGGTTGAGAACGTGAAATTCGTGCTTTTCAGCTTTTTTTTCTCTCGTTACGGCCAAGGTGTATACAGATGAGCCATGCTGAAGGTGGTAGGAGCCTCCTGGCTGCAGACACGCATCTCCACTTACATCCTCGTCGCTGTTGCTCTCCTGGGAATTGGAGCTGTAATTCTCGGCGAATTCGGACAGTAAGTACCGATTCACTGGCGTCGCGGCATCCGTTTCTCCTATACGCGACATGCTAATCACTGTTTGGTCTGGTAAGCGGTCACCGTGACTCAAAGATCCGTTTACATGCTTCCAGGGTATTCTAATTCTAAACGAATAGTCACTATGCCAACCAGTGGTAGATTCGAGATCCCCCTCTATTTAACTGTGCTAAACGTTTGGATGATTAGAACATGTACATATATATATATATAAAGTTATATATTTCTTGTAAGGTTCACTAAACTCTGTCGGGAATCTGTAACCAGGTGAAGCATGTATTTACCAGATATACTGAAATGAATCTATGAGTCACTGTGCCTCAAGAATTGCAATGGACATCTAAAGATATCGAGGATGGAATGTCCCCCGTTTCGATACTAGTAACACGCATGCAACGTGTGCTGTATATAGTTTGAACAAAATCATGCGGTTGTTCGAGGTTGCTTCTGTTGCTCCGAATTGCGTCAAAGAAACAACTGACGATAGGAATCCTGTTAATAATAGTCATAAATAGTATTAGAATATCAGTTGCCATATTTTGCTATAGTTTGTGAAATTACAATATTTCAATGTAAATGCTACAACGAGGTCTTAGAACCAATTATGTAGTTCGTTGTAGCATACCCCACTGTATCTAAAAGAGAAGTAAGCACACAATCGGATGCTCTGTGTACTTTTAGAATGTCTTGTACATTGTTGAAGTGTGTCCTATACGTAGGCCAATCGAATTTCTTCAGATTGTAGGAAGATCGTGATCGGTAGTCTCGTCAGCATATAATATATGTATAACAAGTTCGACGAGACTGTTCGCGACTAGAGTATCAGGTTACGGGACCGTTTGGCTTCTCGGACTCGTGCCCTCGAGTTTTATGTGCCGCTCGCGGCGCGATCGGCGAACACCGTCGATTCCGTTCGAAGGTGCGGCGAACGTTCTTATAAATACATATTTCTGCTCGATACAGTTTATATTGTGCCTTGTGTACATATATCTACAGAGTGATTCTCTTGCTGTGCAAATAAAAAACTGTGACGCTCTAAAAAACCGCCACATCGGCACGTGGAATAGTGTACGAAGCATTCGAGAAGCACAGTTTCGGCGAAACGATAATGGCGACTTGTTGCTCCTCTGAACGTGTGTCAGTCACCTTTGTTTACACTGTCCGTTATCATTCGCACGTGACCCGTATCCACTCTTGTAGCAGCCGCTAGAAATATACACTGCAACTGCTTAGACATACTTAAGTAACGCGTGTAACTCGATATCGTTGTGGGTATACCGGCATGCACCGCCCTCTTCGTCCATTCCATTGTTTCTTGGGCCACTATCCGCGCCTCTACCGAACACCACGGTTGAATGTATGTCTATTCTACCCGTTATCAAATCAAGTATCAGAGCGGGTAGCCTAGAAACTTGAAACTCGCAGAGAATCATGATGGACCACCAAGATGTTGATTGTTTTTCTCCTTGTGTGTTCTTCAAATATGTCCGATTAATTGATGTCTAGCCAATACAAGTGTTCAGTAGCACTGTAGAAACTGTAATCGAATATTATTTGCTTGTATACTTAATTCCACGTGTTCGTTTCTTAATAGTGTTGAACAAGATGGCACTTATTCAGCTACCGTAACATGGAACCGCAAAGGAGGATACCGCATTGACTTTTGGGGCCAAGGCAACGATCTTACCGCTGTACCATTACACGCAGCTCGTGCCTATTACAAAACTGGAATATTCGAACATGGGTAGGTCAATGTGGTCGCACTTGTCGAGTTCAACTTAAAAATACGATTCTTTCACTACTTAAAACAGTTAGCCGGATTAAACTGGCTTTTAACAAGGAAGAAGTTTCTTTTAGATTCTTCTTTTTCCAAGTAATTATTCCAATGTCGAAAACGGGAATGTTGCAGGTGGTCTTATATTGAAATTGAAACATCCTCAAAATACCCCGACACTGTACAGGCCTATGCTGCCGGTCTGTTAGAGGGCAGCCTTACTTGGCAATTGATCCATCATCACTGGTACAATACCATCCGAGCGGAATGCGAAGCAAAAACTGCCGAGTGCCAGAAGATGACGCAGTATCTTCGAGATAATACAGCCATTATTCGCGAACGTGCCGAACTACTGGACTCTACAGAATCTTTTTGGCATATGGTACACGATCGAATAACCATTAAAATTCCAATGATCCATAGATTTATCGAATTACGACTAATTTACCGACCGACGATCTTACAGTAATGTTACAAATCGCGATCAATGAATAAATACCTGCGATAAATTTCAAAATTTTGAAATTTGCTTTTCAAAACCTTGAAATTGTTACTTTTTTTTGCCAGGTACGATTATTTTACACGCAATTGGACGGCTTGGAGGCTGGCTGGAAATTCGCTGTACGTCGAAGCCGTGTGTCTGTGTCACTGGAATCTGATGATTTTCTTTGGCTCGCTCTAGCTTCCGACATACCTGGTTTTCAACGGGTGTTCAACATATCAGATGTTCCTCTGAGTTCCATGATCTACTTTAAATCGTTACTTAAAGAAAATTCAGAACCCTTGATAGCAATTGGTCATAACACAGCTACGTCGTAAGTGTACATTTAGTATTGTATATACATTTATTTATTTTACCGATTCGGCACGCAAGCTGATTGTTCAATTTTATATGTCCAAGCGGCAAGGATCGTGTCAATGAACGTGGGTATAATGGTGTGATACATAGTAAAATATATTGTCAAACTGATATATATATTAATGCGATAATATATTTACTTACAGATACACGCAAATGTTGAGACTCTTAAAGAAATACACATTCGGTTATCACGTACTGCCTGCTATTAAAAGTGCTCCACCAACACCTAGTCGGTCAGTAGTAATGTCATCTTATCCTGGAGCTTTGTCGTCCCAGGATGAGTTTTATTTAATGCGTGGCGAAAATCGTGAATTAGTTATAACCGGAACACCTTTATTAGCGACAAATTATAATGAATGGAGCTTCTTGTACCCGCAGGACCACGTATGTTTAACCATTACCTTAACTGTAGGAGGTGTCGATAAAAATAAAGACACTAACTTAGAATAGTGAATGTAATTTTAATATTTTCTGAACATTTTTCACTTAAAATTACATTTTCTGTTAGATTACAAATCGATGTACCTACTTTTCTTTTCGTTTTAATTATACAATGTTTAAGTAACGATAATGTTGCAGGTAATGCTATCCGCAAGATTAATGGCGGCGAATCGTTTGGCAACGAACGGCCAATCTTGGTTCGAGAGTATGTCTTATCAGAATGGAGGTGCTTCTGCTGTACAGTGGATAACCTTCGAGCCACATAATACGACCATGCTGTTAGTAGAACAATTGCCAAGTCTAACTGTCGCTATGAATTACACGGAGGAATTCAAGAAGGTTGGTTACGTGGCCTGTGTCGGTACGTCGAACTTCCAAAATGTCAATGACATTATACAACCTGCCAAGAAGGATATAAATGCGTGGAGGGACCGTTTAGCGCGTCTGCAAGAAAACATCACTACGTTCGAGCAATTTCGTAACATGATGCGTGGTTGCAGCCAGGAAGATTGCACTGCCGAGTATCAGAATTCAAAAGTCGATCCACTGCAGGAACTGACGTATCGCGGCGATTTAGAAACTCAGCCGATACCGTATGGTATTATAGATACCAAAATTTTGGTAGTTGATGTCGATGGATTTGAATCTTTCGAAACAATTTCAGGACCTGCAACGTCGAAATCGCGACCACCTTTCAAATGGTCCGACACATTTCCCAATATTTCACACATAGGACACCCAGACACTTTCGATTTCGAAAGCGTTACTCCTACATGGGTTTGGGTCTAATAACGTCAATAACATGTTACTAAATTGTGTATTTTCGTAATTTGTAAATCGAATTTTTTAAATATGTTAACAGATCAAAATAATGTTCTGTCCAATCCCTGTAAGTGGATCGTAATCTCTTTTAGATGAAACTTTTAATAATAATATTTAAATGTATTTTATTTGATAAGCTGGCTCATACGTTAGCCACCTCTGGTGAAATTTTATGAAATAAAATAAAAACGCAATAATTTGTTACATTACTCCACTATTTCCATGAAATTCAGCATCCTAATGCATGTATTTCAAATGCAGATTCCTTGGATCGGTATGTACAAAGACGAACATCCAATTTACGAATCGAGTTCTATCAATATGTGTGTATGTATATGATTTGTCGGTCACAAATATATGCACTGTATCTGTTTAAAGCATGAATGTGGTATGAATGGACAGTAGATTTTTATACAAAATTAGATTTTCTAAAGTAATTTAAATTGCGATGGGAGCAATTTTAGATTCCGAGAAAGCAAATTGGAAGCAATTTTTTAAGATGAAAATTGTTAAGAAATACTAATATTCCGCGCTAACTATTCTTCGGTATATTTCTACTACTTATTATTAATGTGTAAATTTATATAAAATTATATATGTATTATTGATATGTATGTAGATTTATGCATGTACCCTCAACTTTTATTTCTTGTTAGTGTTACCATCTGATAAAGTTCCCACGACGTATGAACCAAGTTTGACATTTCCATAACTTGTCGGTAACGTCAAACTCCAGAAGACGCACGTGTTTCGCATTGAATCATTATTTTACGAAATGTAATGATGTTGCGTAATTAGTAAGAATTATTTAATAACGAATATTTTAACAGCAAAATCAACGTTTCAGAGTCACTATACATTGTCAAAATGTAATTTTCAACTGCTTCTTATTCTTCGACCACTGTTTTCTCTTTTGAGCATCATAGAATACACTATATAATAACATTAAGGACATTAAGTATTATACATATCATCGTCACAATCATGGAGACTGATGAGCAAAGTGCTAAGGAATCTGACGACGAAAAACCAAATGAAACTAACGTCAATGAAATTATTATAAATGTTTCAGAGAAGGTTAGGCTGCACAAATCATAAGTTTGTTTATCAATATCTCGTAATAATTGTTTTCAAATTGTGGTGAATAATATGCTTGCATTTACTTTTTATTAATACGAAATAATTTCAGGTTTTATCGGTCAGAAGCGAAGAAAGTATCCTTCGTGAAGCATCTGAGGAAATTGAAAACATTGTGAAAGCAAGTTTGCATGGAACAGGATCTGAAGATTTAAGTGTTGATGAATCTAATAAACATGATATTGCAGATTGCCCACGACAAATAGAATTAAAGAAACAGGTTCTGAATGGAGAAATTACACCATTTCAAGCAATCGCAAAACAATCAGATTCATTAAAAGCTAAATGGTACATAGTAATATTGAAGATAATATTAGTAAATATAACAAAATCTGAATAATTTTCATTCCAGGACATTTGGTAAATCATCCGATTTGCTTGATCTTGAAAAATATCTTCAACAGCAGGCTGAGCTTGCTAAACAGAGAAAAGAGCTAAAGGAGAAGTCAAAAGCATCTGTTCACAGAGATCAAGCAGTTCCTTTAAAAAAATCAAAATTATCAAGCAGCAGCTCTAAAGAATATAAAATTCTAGAACAAACGAAATCTAAAGGCACTAAAAGAAAAGTGTTACTTGAAGTTGAAAAAACCAAAGATTTAAATCAAAATGATGGTAATAATATTTATAGACTGAATGAAGTAAATGATTCTGTCACAGACAGAAGCCATTCTAGAAACACCTTGATTTGTTGCAATACTTCAAAAGATAATACACAAGAGGCAGTCAAAGGTACAGATATTTCAGAATCTGTAGATATAGAAAATAACTCTGGTAGTGATTATGTTCCAAGTGATGAACAAATTGATTCGGGTAAATGTTAGCTCTAATATCCTACATTCATTGAAATTTTTTAATAAACGGGCATTAGAAATGTAGTATTGTTAACATTTTTAGAAGATGAAATGCCATCTTCAAAAAAGAAAAAGACTGCTACAAAATCTGGTCATAGGAAAAGGGGTATGCATTTAGTATTTCTATAATTAGACGTATAAACAATATTTTTTATTTTAAAATATTGAATGTTTTAGTCTTCGATGATGGAGATGAACAAATCTACAGACAGAGGGTGGAGGAAAGTGGGCATCAAAAACCTAAGTCAATGCATAAAATAGATAATCTATTTAAAGTTCCGCAATCTATATGGAAAAAACTATACAAGTATTAAACAAATTACGTTAAATAACACTTAACTTATGTTCCTTTAATGATTCAATTCTATTAATTATTCATAGATATCAAAGAATATCTGTGCAATGGCTGTGGGAACTACACTGTCGCAATCTGGGAGGTTTATTGGGGGATGAAATGGGACTGGGAAAAACCGTACAAGTTATCGCGTTTCTTGCAGGTTTGGATTGCAGCGAATTACTTTCTGATGGTGAAAGGTAAAAATTTTATGATTATTTCGTTATAATCTGTTAATCCACTGTAGGCTCTAGACATTTTCATACAAAATGTACTCTTAACAGATTTAGAGGATTAGGACCAACTATAATTGTGTGCCCAGCTACATTAATGGAACAGTGGGTAAAGCATTTCCACGACTGGTGTCCTATTTTAAGGGTGGTTGTTCTACATCAATCTGGAACTTATAATGGTTAGCTCAAGTTATATACATTACGAGATATGATCATATCAGTTTCAGTAATATATAAAAATTATTTTGATAGGTGATCTGGAGTACTTAATACATTCCTTGAAATCTGGTGGTATATTGATTACTTCTTATTCCGGAATGCTCAAGCATAAAGACATACTTGTAGCCAATCAATGGCATTATGTGATTCTTGACGAGGGACATAAGATCAGGAATCCAGAGGCAAAAGTAATCTATCCTAATTTATAGCAAGAATAGTTCAACTTTTGATATCAATTTTATTTTTTACAAGTATTTAAAATTATAAAGACCATCATTCGTAGATCAGCAAGGCGGTAAAAGAATTCTCGACACCACATCGACTGTTACTGACCGGCAGTCCAATGCAGAATTCTTTGAAGGAATTATGGTCTCTTTTTGACTTCATTTTACCAGGAAAATTAGGCACTTTACCTGCATTTCTGGAGCACTGCGCTGGCCCCATTACACGCGGAGGATATGCAAATGCTTCTCCTCTGCAGGAAGCTACCGCGCTTCAGGTTGCCACAATGCTCAGGGATGCTATTACACCGTACATGCTCAGGAGAACAAAAAATGATGTTCAAGATCATGTTTGTTTACCAGAAAAGAATGAGCAGGTAAGAGAGATGCACATCACACGATTAATTGTAATAACTAATTCTGTGATTGTATTACACTCTAGGTATTGTTCTGCAGTTTAACGGAAGAACAAAAGAACTTGTACAAGCAATACTTAAGATCCGAGGATGTCTCCCTTGTTTTGCATGAAAAAAGTCATTTGGATAATGGCAGATACAGAGCGAGACTGTTAATAGCATTGTCAGCGCTCAGAAAAATATGTAATCATCCCGATTTGTACTTATATACGAGCTCAGTTGTAAGATTTCAGTATTATACCGTCAAGTTTTTGTCATTTTTGCGATCATATATAATCGTATCCATATTTAGGACTCGGATGAGGATGTCGAAGTATCGGAAGAAACATTGGAAAAGTTTGGGTATTGGAAACGTTCTGGAAAGATGACGGTGGTTCGGTCTCTCCTTAAAATTTGGAAAAAACAAGGTCACAGAGTACTACTGTTCACTCAAGGAAGACAGGTATATATTATGTAAATATTTAACAACTTTTGAACAATTGATATATTTTAATATCACTTATAGATGATGCACGTATTAGAATCTTTAGTTCAGAGTGAGGAATATACGTATTTGAGGATGGATGGAACTACTCCCATGACACATCGCCAAGAAATAATCCGTTTGTTTAATTGTGTACGTATGCGAATAAAAAGTGCATACTGGGCATCATTTAATTGGAAATCTTTTAACGTTTTCACTGGCCGTGGCATCTCACATGTTCTTTGTCTGACAATGAGAACATATTCTTTGTGAAGAGTAACATTAAAAGAAGCGTCTGAACTTAACTAACAGTGAACGTGTTAAGAAAGATGATGGCGCAATACAACGAAACACGTACATCTCAGTTGAACTCCTGAATATTTTCTTTTTAGGAGTCTTCATACTTTGTGTTCCTATTAACTACTCGCGTCGGTGGTTTAGGAGTTAATTTGACTGGAGCAAATCGAGTGATTATTTATGACCCAGACTGGAATCCAGCAACAGATGCTCAGGCAAGAGAACGTGCCTGGAGAATAGGACAAAGTAAGAGAGTCACTATTTACAGACTTATTACAGCTGGTACTATAGAAGAAAAGGTGAAGATGCAAAAATTTTTCAAATATCGTCCGTATAAATTATATAGTTACTAATTTTTGTGAAATAATTCCATTTCCTTAGATATATCACAGGCAAATATTTAAATTACTTCTGTCCAATAAAGTATTGGAAGATCCTCGTCAACGAAGATTATTCAAAACTTCCGATTTGGTAGAACTTTTTAACTTACACGAGTCAATTGATGGGAATTCCACCGAATCAGACCAATTGTTCCGTGAATCTAAATTAACTCCAACCGTTGCTAAGTTCTCGACAAGTAAGATTGAAAAAATGCGCAAACTGGCAGCTACGCTTAGTAAAAATATAAGTCAAAATACTTCGAGTTCTGCATCCGCGACACAATGTGCGACTAGTTCAAAGAAAAGTTGTATTCGAAATAATGATAGCGTCCAAGATAATATGAAAAATATTAATCAGTTATCTAGGGATAGCATAATGGAAAAAGAGACTGAAACTGAATTTCATAAGCAAAATGAAGATACCTCTGAAATACAAAAAGATACTGAGTCGAATATGGAGGAAAGCAAAATCTCAGAAAGTAGTAAAGACAATATGTCAGTCGTAAATAATGCATCTTACAGTAATAATAATGTAGAAAATAAGACAATTTGTACTCAGACTGACACGAAAACAGAAGGGATGCAATGCGAAAGTAATTTACAAAGTTCTTCGTTCAATCGTTCCAAAACAACGGAAGCTTCAGACATAAGGAACGAAACAATTTCTTCCAATAGCAATGAAAACATGAAAGGGAAATCGAATAAAACACATCATAAACACAAACGAAAGAAGAAAAGTTCTGTAACAAAAAAGGATGAGGTGTCTGCCGTATTTGAAGGAGAACGTGTGTCATATTTAATTGGCCGCCGTCTTGGACGGTCTGAAAAAGACCAGGTCACATCATCTGAAGATGATCAATACGTGTTGGAAAAGCTATTCGCTAAAGCAAGTAATTGTCGTTTTTATTGCGTAATGTGTATTGATATTAAGCAACAGTAAATTATGTAGAATATTTCTTTGTAGCTGTTACTTCCGCTTTCCAACATGAAACAGTATTGTCGAATTCAGCATATAATACAGGCGATGATCCAATGCGACGATTAGCCCGGGAAACGGCACAAAAAAATATGGATCACATTCGTAAGTCTCGAAAATGGTGTTGGAGACCCACATGGGAATCTTCGTCCTCGAAAGACGATTAATCACTTTTGTTATAATATACTGCAGGTTAATATTTAACTTCAATGTATGTTGTTTGTCAAATATTGGAATCTTTCAATATACAGTCTTTAATTTTCCACTTAGTGTGAATACACTAACGAAAGGAACACTTTGCTTTATAAATGTTGTATATAATAATTCAGATTAACTCATGTTACTTAGAGATTTAGATATTTTTCCAACACAAATGAACTATGATTAAAAAGTTTGTTTGTTTTCTGTAAGTTATTCCTATCATCGCGATATAGCAACTAACAATTCCCTTATTTTTCATGTACTTAATGTAAGCCACATTGTCGGTATTCCAGGAAATTACTATTTCTATATTAAACTATTCTTATAAACCAAATACTCGCTAATCATTTTTGTGGTCTGGAAAAGAAAACTCTTAATCTTAGTATTTAATTTTGAAGAAATAATGTCACATCCCTTAGCGTTTTATGGACGAGATAATACAAATATCTCAGGCACTTACACGTACAAAATGAATTGAAAAACAATTAAATAAAATAACAAATATTTTACCACTCAAAATAAGTATGCAATTTCTTCGGCTGATTAATTTGAACCATTTTGTAAGTATTACTCAGTATATTCCTTTGGTATAAAAGTACTGTACTCTACGTTTAATAAAATTAATAGTTACGAATCTGTTACGTGAAATTTTTTTAAAACATTTTTCGACGGAAATGTTTTGTATACTTGTGTAAACAGTAAACATTATACATAAATATTGTATGTTCATCAATTTACGGCAAAAGTACGTCTTTAACGAAGAACTTATTTGTACAAAGTTACACTTATTTCTTTTTCTTTTTTTTTCCTAATTGATGTTTTAGATTTAGTACCTTAAGAATTCGTCAAGTCTAGGACCGCTTCTCCCTAACGGATCATCTGGAAACATAACAATATCTCCGACAAAAGTTGGAACCAACAATCGATTTAAAATTGTCTCACGCCATTCAGGTTTTTCTTTATACAAATCCCTATACTGATCCATCGAAATCACAATACCTTCACACATTGTCGCATATTGCAATATATACCTGAAAGGAATGCAAGCAATACATTCGAAAGAATTAGAAGTAAATAAATAATGCTAGTGCATGTACAAATAGATTGTTACAGTTGTGAACGATTATATTGCAATTTACCGATCGTCATAAGAAGTTATCCATCTACCAGCTATATACCGACTCGGTGTGAAGACTGCTATGCCTTCTGTATACCATTTCTCAAGCATTTGGTGAATAACTGCTCTTCTGTATTGAGGTATAAACACCTTCACCGAATGTCCTCTTTTCTTGAAGTAATCGATAACCATCAATATTCCTTTTTCCGAAAATGCTTTGCCATTCGTATATCTAAAGAATCGTAAGATGATAATATCAGTCACGCGTGGAAATTCAGAGTATATATGGAAACGAGAAAACCAAGATTGCCTTACGCCATAGCCACATTATTTCCATCAATAATAATTGGTCTTAATCTAGTAAGTTTTGCAGGTGTTGAAGGAATGGTTGTGTGTGAAGTGGTTAATAACGTGTTATTTTCTTTTGATGTACTTTCTTTTGCTGTACTTTCTTTTGATGTACTTTCTTTTGATGTACTTTCTTTTGATGTACTTTCTTTTGATGTACTTTCTTTTGATGTACTTTCTTTTGATGTACTGGGCAATGGTGTTTGTTCAGTATATGATTCGGATGCTTTCAGTTCTAACTTTGCTAATGCATTAAATAATGATTTTGGTTTTTTCATCATTATTGTATGACTTATATCTGTGGCCATAGGAAATACTAGTCCCGGTATGCTGAAGATCAAATCAGGCTCATTGTTCTGATTTTTTTTTACGGCATTGGGTGTGAAGCATTTGTCAAAATTTTTTGTGTGCCTTAAGTATTTGAGATTCTTTTCATTTGGACTGCAATCTATCATGAAAAGTCTATTGCTTATTTCTTGCTGTTCAACTGTTTCTTCCTCTTTCTCGCAATTTGTTGTGCTCTCCTTTTCTTTTTCATCATTTAGTGTTCTGTCCTCTTCTATTGTGGCATCAGGCAAAGCTGTATTTGAGGATGACCATACTACAACAATATCATCTGAACTCTGATTTATAGAATCCAACGGTGCTGAAGAAACACAAATTAAAATGAAATGCTAACTCAGGATAGATGTATTATAGATTTGGTGTTTTTTCTTTACCTATGTTTTCATTGTTTGCTGCTATTGTTACTATGTCTGAATCTTCTGTATCTGATATCAAAAGACAAGATGTATTATTATTTATTGATGAAACAGAGTCTACCTTTCTTTTCTTTCTTTGGTGTTTTTTAGCTCTGGTTTCTCTTTGTCCTAAAGGCTTGTTAGAATCATCTTCTGAGCTCTCAAAAGATCTCTTTTTAGTACATTCGCTATCTTTGCAAATATCTTCATTCTCCTTACTGGTGGACTCAAATTCATTGTCGCTCAATATAATTACACTATCTTGCTCTACAGAATCAGCTTCAGAGGAGAAAAACGTGTTTTTATTATTATCAACTTGTTTGACATTCTGCAGTAATTTCTTCTGTGCTTCTATTTGCCGCCATCGTTTAGCACTACAATTATAAGAAACATTTATATTATATTTATATGTTAGAGAATTAGTCTAAAAAATTCTTATATTAAATTGTGAGTATTATGCAATTATAAGACGTTCAAGTATAAAAAACAATAAAATAGGAAAATTGATAAAGTTTAATACTTGTATTATTTTCAATTGAATAAAATCTGTAATAAATATAAATTCCCATTTCATTCATACTTTTGTGTATATGTACAAGACATATTGTTAACATCGTCTATTACCTCAACTGGATATGTCTCAAAGAATTCTCATAAAATGTCTTTTTCACAATCTTTACTCGATTCTTGCTCCTCAGGGAAGTTTTCTTTTCAGCTGAATTCGATACTGCATCACAAATTATTACCGAATCATTCAACGCACTCATTGTTTACGCATTTATTCCCTTAATTGTTTTAATACGACATTTATAAACTAAAAAAAAAATTTTGTAAAGTACACGAATCTCTCTAATAAATCGAGATGTTAGATGTAAATAGGTAGAAAACTTTGTACATAAACATTCAATATATTCTTTGAAAATGTAGGACACGCAAAAAAAGCAATATCTTCACAATATTAATATAAATTTAACATTCACGCATTTCAGATTACTATTTGTTACAGATCCGAGACATTTGTATCGCGAAAAACTGATCGCACTTTTTCAATGTTCATTGAACCAGAGAAAATTGGTGAAAACTTTTCTGATGTAACATAACCGAAAACACTATACTCAACACACTATATTATACATATGTATATATACTGTTAGGATCCCTGACTATAAACGTCCATTTTTGTCTATTGTACTCCTAACGGCAAATGGCATAAGCTTGGGAATCGCGTAATTTGGAATATTATGAATGTTGCATTCTGTTATTACGGTTGTGTGGTGTCATATATGTAATTAATAACTTTCCATGGCATGAACATGATCCACTCGAGGAACAAAGAAATGTTGTATTACCTTAGTAACTAAAAAGAAAATGTTATCAATTGTATTCCGGAAGCCAAACCGAATAGACATATATTATATTAACACATAAAATTGTATTCAATTTCATTTTATTAAAAGTTATATACATATTCTTAAATTATAATTATATTAAAGTTGAGTAATTAATTTCACCAATTTCCGTCTCAACAATACATTGGTTCACAGAGTTTGCAGTTGAAAAATCGCGCAAAATATCGACTGAAACGCACAAAGTGGCAGCATCTTATTTAAGTGTATCTATTTCATCGATAAATGTGGAATTTAAATACTACATTTATTTATATGTAATCATGAAAAACATTTGTTTATATGCATTATTTGCCTTCTTATAGATCATATCAATATCAATCAAAAAAATTGTACAATTGAATTTGCGTCGCAAAACTGGTATGGTAGTATCACCTGTTGGCGGGATCGTGGTACTAACTGACAAGTAGCTTATTCGTTTTATTGTAGATATCGCCACATGTGTTTGGGACCACATTTACCATCATGTATGAAAATATTAATTATTAATTAAATACGTCACAGACGTCGAATGTCAATGAACAAAATTTATTTAAGGAACTGCAATAAACAATGTAATGTACTTCATAACGTACTGACGTAAATACAATTGAGTATTATAACATCACAAATATAGCTGTCATTTCAATTTACAACTCTCGGCTTAGTTAAATAGGGTGTACAACTATTATGACCGTCGGTATACAAGTATGCATAATTTTTAATATCAAACCAAACAAAAATAATTTATTTAAAAAGAAGTCTAAATTCTCTCTGACATCGTCAATCTATTGCGATACGTGTATATAATGCTTCAAGTAAAAGCGCGGCGAGCATGACCAATCAGAAATTAAGTGGACATCGGCGATTGGTTGGAATTCGTAACAGCGTCGAAAGAATGGAAGGGGTAGCGAATGTGTGCTGGCTGGTTCGAACGCGGCTACATCCCCGTGCCAGGCCAGCGAGCAAGTAGTAACGCTAACGTTAGAAGTTTTGTCTTTTGTTTATCCTTTATGTTTCTTTCACCTGGAAGAAGCGGAGCTCGAGGAACGTGGTATCGCCGGAACGGGTAGCTGGTGCTCGTGGATCGGCCAAGGAGTACAGGCCCAGCACCGGTTGCCAAAAATTCATTGGTGCGGATCCAAGTAGTCGAAAGCGTATTCAGGCAGCCTTCAACGTAAACAAAAATGGAACTGGGGGAGAGAGAGGCGCAGATTTGTCGACTTTGCGGCCAGTACGAGAGCATATACATCGATGTGTTCGGCGAGGAAGGCACCAAGAGGTTTCTGGGTCTGAAGATCCATAGGAAAATCAACATTCTGGTGAGTGGAACGCGAGAGGTGTGCCATGGGGTCTTCAGGCCCAAGTTGCATTATAAAGGAGGGGGTTAGAAAAATGGCCGGGGGAGAAGAGTACACGCAGAAAAGATGTTTCCCTTCCTTTGTTACTTTTTAATATCGCTTATGAATTTTAAAGTTTTCTTTCTTTATATTTTTAACACTTTTTCGACTGGGGTTTATTTAATTAGCTATTTACAATCGACGGTTAATATCCACTTAGTTAATAATGAATTTTTCAATCCGAGTAGCAAATTACAATCATTAATCAATAAGACAACTGAAGTAACATAATGTAATAACAATTTCATTTTTAATTCGTCTTTGATGAGAAAGTCTTTCAATCGACTTTCCAGTGGAAAAGTATAAACTAATGGTAAACAGGCTGCAGGTTTTTAAACAATGTTAAGTTTTTATATATTATTTTATATAGAAACAGAGGTAAAGACAATTTATTTCATTATTTCAATTATCAATGTAATAAAACATATATTAATCCTTGGTTAATTGGATAGGTGCTTGAAACCTCATGGTTCCTGTTTTGTTGTATTTATGTAGATTCTACATGAATATAGATTGCAATCGATTACAGAAGTTGATATTAAATAGGAATTTGTTCACTTTGTTGAGGACACTATCAGGTTCACAATAAAGTAATTTTTCTTTTCAACTTTTTCTTGTATTCAGTTTTAAACGATTTGTATATGTTATACGTATATAAAATTTATAGTCTAATAATAAAACAGGCCTGTATGTTACATATTCACTTTAAACAATCATTGAAGAAGTGTTTTTATTTTATGTTACTAGATTTTACATACCTATGTAAATTCTTTCATTTTTCCATTGAAGTCTTTATTTTCTTAATGAAAAGAAATATGAACATCTATAGTTCAATTATACCAGTTTTACATCTGGTTCGTATTATCAGAAGACTAACAATGCCTCCGAATAGAAATAAGTATTGTAAGAGAATTTGTCATCAGTATGTAATTGTATGTGCACTGAAATTTATAAGATACTCAATAGTCTGTGTAATTATAAATCAGAAATTGCATGTATTGTACTAAAATAAACTCTGTTTTAGTAGAAATAAGATATTCATTTTATAATTTAATATCTTACATTGAACACATTTTATTGTTGTAATGAATTCTGTTGTAGATTTTCAAACAATGTACTGTTATATCCTTTTGTAAGTGATATTTCATTTTAGAGATAAATCTTAAGTTTGTCATTATGTAATGCTAGAATGGGTACCAGATTATATTCAAAAGTTCACCAGTGGTATATCTACAGAGCGGTAGGGTTTGAATGAGACAGTCTATCATTCATTTTCACATGTGACTTATAAATAAGAAACGAAGTACTTTCGAAAATCAGTTGAAAATTGTTACAGAATCGGATTTTCCATTAAGAAATTAAAATGATATACATTTAGTATCTAGGTATTTTGTTTGAATCGCAGATAGATGAGAGGGATCCTCTGCCCAAGGCGATTTGTGTTCAGTGTCTGGGCAAGCTCGAATTCGTTTGTGACTTCCAAGAGGAGTGTCTTCGCACCCAACAAGTGTTACGCGATCGATACAATGTACCACCCTTAACAGAGATTGTAAGTCCGTATTCCATTTAATGCACAGCTCTACCGCTCATTTATGATGCCACCAGAGCATGCAGCTCATTTTTTTTTTTTGTACTATTATAACCTGAATTTAAACTAAATAGAAAAGAAAAAGTCATCCGGTATTTTTTGGTTCGTAGAAACTTTTTATACAATTAACAACAAAGGAAGTTACTATTCTTAGTAAATTGAAATCGCATTCTACTGAACACGTATTCATAGTAAAATGTGTATACCAAAAATACCAGATCAAACTTCTTTTTTTCGTCTGAATTAAAATTAGTAAATTTCTGGTACCCACTTCTATCTGCAATTTCAATTTATCCCTAGGCTGATGTAAAGACTGAAGAAACAACACCGAGCACATCAACAAACAATAACAACAATGACATCGACAAAAATCTTAATTCTCCGATCGAGGAAGGTGTTAAAGAAGTAGAACAACAGATTCCAAAAGCAACAGCAAAACCTCAAAGAAACTTACGAAGTCAGCAACAAGTGAAAAGTGTCGACGAGACGGCAAAACATCAGAACAACGTTGAAAGCACAGCGGAGGATAATACAGATAATGGACCGACTGTTCAAAGCTCTGAAACAACTCCCACAAGATGGCTTAGAAGTAGACAGACCACAGAATCATCTTCCGCAAATGAAACAACTATCGACACGCCGATCGCTAACAGACTTAGGAGTCACGACAATACTGCCACCGAGATAAATGTAAGTCCACGCAATAATTCCAGAGAAACTAGCGAAAAACAGACCGGGAAGCAACAAGATTCACACACCATACAAATTCCAACATCAGCTTTGAATAAGCTTCTTACTATTGTATCTAACTCGCCAAACATAGAAGTGTCGGTGAAGGAAACCAGAAACCAAAGCAATGATTCAGAAGATATTAGTTTCACAGTAGAATTATGCAAAAAAGAAAGCGACGACGTTGCCACTGTTCAAGCCAGGGTATTCCCAGACCAAGGTTCATGCTTGGTAGATAAAGCTATTGTTAGTCTTCTACAAAACCAGAGTTGCGTAGAAGTAAATAGTATAATAAATACTATAATCAGTAGCAGCCTTAAGAACGGTAGCTCGACAAAGTCAAAAGATTCTGCGGAGTTTGAGCAAAAGTGGCAGGCATCACAGAATCCAGAAGAATTGTTCAAGATTGACGGAGAAGAGATTCGTGTGGATGATAATGTTGAACACATCGTGAACGATAATCAGAACGGTTATTCGTGTAAACTTTGCTGCAAATTCTACGAGCGTAAAGACAAGTGTATGGTCCATGTGAAGACGCATCTCGGAATTAAACAATATACTTGTATTTTATGTAACGCCAAATTTGTATGTAAATCTGATGTGATGAAGCACATTCGATGCTCGCATACTAATCCGAGACCGATACAATGTCCGAAATGTCCAAAGAGATTCAAATCCAAATTCTACTTGATGGAACACGACAACGTCCATAAAGGCGTGAGGCCATATTCGTGTACAGACTGTGGTCAGAGTTACCACCATAAAGTATCGTTGCAGATTCACATGAAGTCGCATTTACCTCCGCAGAACTTAGCTTGCGAGTATTGTGGTAAAGTGTTCCCGTATCGTACGAGACTGTTGAGTCATATCGCCAGCGTCCACTTAAAAAATCGTAGGAACTTCAGGTGTCGGTTCTGTTACAATCTCTATTCGAGTCTTTCGGTGTTGAACGAACATATTAAAACACGTCACGCGACTACGTATACCTGCGAGGTATGTAACAAAACCTTCAAGGTCGCGTCCAAGTACAAGGCTCACGTGTTACAACACTCGAATCCCAAGCCCTTCGTATGCAACATTTGCAACAATAGATACGCGTCTAAAGCATTCCTAAACGAGCATCTGCTGAAACACGAGGGATTAAGGAAACACATCTGCCAAAAATGCGGTGCAAGATTCGCCCAAGCTAGTCACTTGGCTGCACACCGGCATGTGCACGGTGAAAAGAAGCACGCCTGTCCGGAATGTGGACGAAAATTCAACAGACGTGACAATATGAAAGTACATAGAAAAAGACATTTCGATGATAAAAAGACTGGTATTGTTAAACAAAAGAACGCTTCTGGCACGGACGTGACTTCCATTGTGTCTAACGAGAAATAACGGCTCCGACGTAGCTTTGATATTTTTTGTAAAAGTAACTTAATTCACGGGTGGGTTAAGGACTTCCAAACAAGACGCTTGTTAACAGTTAGAATTTTTAATAATATCCTACAAGGCATTCTTTATGTACAGTGAGGGACATAAGTAATTGATCGGTAAGAGTTTAGCTTCATTGTAGGTCTAACTCTCTAATGAGTTTGCTGTTGAATATTCCTTACATGTATTGCCGTGTTAAGTAATGTTTAATAAACCGAATATTACAGCATCCTTTAAAGACAGTGTATATGTAAATACGGTTACTAATTGAAACAATATTTCTACACCGACTGACTATACGAATACTTTTGTCCCTTACTACGAGACAATGTACTTGTAAAAGGAACTGATTTTAAGATACCATACAAATTAAAAGTAAAATTCCTCTTTGATTGTGAGGACGCAGTGATATTTTGGATTCTCGTTAGGCCTACAATTATTTGAGGGTTCATTTCAAGATTTCACATTTAACGAGAATTTTACTTTTGATTAAAAGAGTTACATATACTACCATACTAGTTATGGCAACACCGATCAGTCAGGTCACTACCACTCTTGTCATTTATACTATTCTTTTTTGGTGCATTAGACCTTTTTTTTTGTATATAATGTAGTAGGTGAGCATTTATGAAATCACTGACATCTTTTTTTTTAAGTATTCTTTCCATTTACGATGCATATTATGTCATAAGATTTTTGCACATAAAATATTACCGATTAGATTTTATCAATACTGTAATATAAATGGGCTATTGAACATAAATCGATGAACTAAGATTAGAAGCCATGTTACATTATATTCATCATGTCGGATTAATCGAAAAGATGGTTTTGAAAAACTTTTCAGAAGTGTTAAGTAAAATTTCAAATGATGAGGAAGCCAAAGAATATGATTGCGTGCATTATTACAGTTGAAAATTTTTGTATGTTTACCGCACACCTAGCTTCCTAAGACAATTTGAATCATCAGAAAAGAAAACGTGAGTACATCATGGATAGGGCTTCCAAAGTCAAGTACCCTGACTAAAAGGGGTATAGAAAATATTTTCTATGTATTTTTACATGGCTGTTTTTAGAGGAACTGGAGAATTTTTGAATGATACATGTGCAACGTATATATTACTCTATTTTCGATTATATTTTATATATAAGATAATTATGTATAGATACGTAAGGGTCCAGTGAAGACAATTATCGGAAATTTAAAGTCTTGCTTTAACATGTTCCATGCTCCAGTTTTTTTCTATGACTTCGTATTCACGCCATCTGGGTCATCAATGATCCACAACAGAACATACTATAATTCTTTATAATGTACACCATTTGATGTTTATAAAAATGAAAATATTTTTATTCAAGCAAAAGTATGACGTATAAAGGGCGCCATGTAACAAACCGAATATTTTGACGATGTGATAGTGAAAATTGTCAATAGCCAGATTGAAACAATGGCCATCGATGGTTTACTCAGCATAAAACATGTTAAATTAAATTTTATAGGAGATATTGCCTTCGATAGACAGCAGAATGCTTTTAGCTATTTTTATTGGATCCTCCATTGAAAGTAACAGATTTCGATGCGAAAATAGCGTCCAGCATGAATTATGTTATGGGACATATTATATGTGATCTGTGAAGAAAAAACTGTACGTAAGTGCCTTGTGAAGGACTCGATATATTTTGTTCCAGCGTTTCCTAAGCGTTAATGTGCGAAAAAAGCGTTGATAATTCTTCAAGTCCTTCTCATGTGAGACATTGATTTTCCTTAAAAAGGACGTTAATTAGAATTCTTTGTGCTTGAAAACTGGTTTTGTGCTGACCTTAAAGGACTGACAAGTTCAAGTCTCAAAGTAATTGTTGTATGTATCACATGTTGATATTGACAAAATCTATGTGACACGAAAATGAATCTTCAAAATGGTATATTGTTAATGCAACATATATTTTGAGACGTCATCTATACTATCCATTCAAAGTATGGAGCACCGTTTACTCTTTCGATGAATACAATTTTTCCGCACGATAATAACATAAATGTTATTTATGGAGTTTTATTAAAGGCTGAAGGGTGCTGCAAACTTTTGAGCGGGAGTAGTATATATACACAATATCTATCTTTTTCTACAAAACTGAAGTGTTCCGACTGTGGTTCACGATTTGAGATCCGAGCGTAAAGAATTGTTTTTTTCTACAATCCCGGTTATTACTTTCCCTTGGAACGAAGGAACGATTGCCGATTTAAATACAAAATGATCGTTCACGCGAGTACTGTTAATTAATATCAGACGAACGATATTATATCTAATATTATACACTTTCCTCAGATAGTAATCTAAGCAATAACTCCTATTTTGTACGAGGCGTTTGTTAATTCAAACTATTTTTCCATCTAGGAGATAATGTACTTCTCACTAGCCGTTACATTCTCTTATAAGCATAGATGTTAATATGTCATTAAAGTAATGCCCAGTAAATAAAACAGCGTGTAACAATTTCTGGACAATAAAGAAGAATTTGTTGAACGATTCCACAGCTCTTCGAAAATAAAGGTACAATATTTTTGGGATCGCTTCATTATTTCATTCTCACTTTCGATCGTTACGTCTTTTCGCTGAAACAACTGCGTCGATCGATAATGATTACCAACACGTCGTCGCAGAATTCTTCACTCCCCGAACACCGAAGTCTTTTTCTTTATTGTTTCAGATAAAAGAGAACGATGGACTGCCGCAGATTGTTTGTCTACGATGCATGGGCTCGTTGGAGTTTCTCTGCGACTTTCACGAACGTTGTCAGAACACTCAGAAGGAACTTCAGAAGGCTGTAAGCTATAACGATACGTTGTCTGACTAAAATCTCGGCCGCGACTGCATTCACTTACACTAGTATATGGCAAATGCTAACACGTTCCGTGGCGGGATTTTTACGTGCCACGTAGGGATCATTGGTTGCACGCGAAATACTATTAAAAAAAACAATAAACGTTCATAATGTACATCATCTGGTATTTTTAAAATGTTTATGGATTATTTAAGAATTTATTGCCGTGGTATTCTCTGTCCTTTTGGTCCTTTTATTATACGAATATAGTCACTGGGAAAGTACAAAAATGTTTTTGTTTTTATTGGAAGCAGATTTTTACTTTAAAATATCGTACGCCGACGGATAAACAATATAGATTTTTTTAAATTATGCTAAACAGTCGTTTTACTGAAAAAAAAAATAGATTTCTCGATTGTTTGATACTTCCTAGTTGGTGCAACTCCTTAATCAGGCAACACGACGTACATGGTGCACTATACAGGAGGGTGTTTCATAACATGTAGGTCTTATCGAAACACAAATGCCACAAGAAAAGTTTGTGTAAACCTGTACTCCATTTGATCTTTTTCTCTCCAGACTTTTATACTCTAGTAATATGTTTCTTCATTAACTTGAGATCAGAATCACATAGAGCCACACATTTGTAGTTTCTGTCTACAACTGAAATGGGTCCCGCCTGTTTTGAAGCCTCCTCTATAATGATACTTCTATCGAATTATAGTAAAACTAATCAATACGAGTCATAATAATTAGTCGTACTCAGAGCTCCTTTTCATCTTCGACAGGAACAAGATGCGTCGCAGGAAACCTACCGCGAAGAAAATGACGATTCCGAATCCGATAAGGAGAACACTTTATCGTCGACGTACAACACGAAAGTAAAAACAAAAGGTTTATCACCCGATGGTTTGAAATATAAGAAAAATGGTCTGACCGTAAACAGTACATCACACTATAGAAGTGAGAATAAAGATGAGAGTAATAATCTTCACCGCGAAGACAAGGATGACTGTACAAATAATGTTCGTCCTAATGCACAAACGACCGTGGAAAATCATTTAGTCTCTAAAACACAGTCAGTTGTGGATGATGCAGTTGTCCCCGACCAAAAAGCACAGGAGAAGCAAAGTAACGATAACAATGTAAAATGCAAAAGTCCAGAATCGAAGAATGATATCCCAAAGAAAACAGCAATTCGTAACACTAGGTCAGGATCTTTGAATAGTTATCTAATTTCAACTAAAAAATCTGATAGGAATGATGGTACGCATTCGGAGCAACCAATGCGGCGCAAAAGAGGCAGAAAAAGTAACTTACAAAAGTTAAAAGAAGCTGCCTTATCGTTGAATATAAAAAGAGACTTGCAGGGAGAGCTGGACGAAATAAGAAGCGATGGGAATCGGGGCAAGAGGCGATGTCTGCAGGCAATTTCCACGAATAATGAGCCGAATATAAGTAACAATACTGTGATTTTATCCAAACCCCAAGTTGAACGGGCGGCGAATAATAAAGTAGTGAATATATTATCAAGTAAACTTCAAGACAAAACCAATGAGACTCCATCCGATAGTACCATAGTAAGGGACAGTTTAAAGAAATTCAGAACAAATGATAAAGGCTCGGAGATAGAAAAAGATTTTTCAAGAAACAAGGTGCAGAATTCGATAAGATGTAAAACAATATCAGTAACTGTGAAGCAAGAGAAAGTCGAAACTGAAACATCTCCACAGTCTGTGAAGTCGAATCCGTTTGTTTGGATTCCTAGTGACATGCTCATACACGGACAAAAGAGTCCAATGTGTAATGAGAATCGAGAAATTAAACAACAGCTATCACGTTTGGGTCCTCAACTAGAGGATGATACGGGAAATTCTGGTGTCTCCAGCAGCACTGAATCAGAACATTCGAAATCAACAACGCCCGTACATCAGAATCGCGTGACTGTTATAAAATCTTCACAGACCAACGGAACTATCATTCCAGCTAAAATCCAGGGAGAATCTTCAGAAGTAGTTGTTAAACCAGATGCGGCGCATAATAATATAAAGAATGATTCGAAGTGTAATGTCTCCGATTCCTCATTTACTCGACGAGTTAGTCGAAACACCAGCTTTGATGGGAGTAAAAGCAGTGATCGATCGTTCGGCAAAATTTCTGAATTGATAAGCGACGAGCAGAAAAACACCATTGAAACTTACTATACAGTTGACATGTCAATTGTTAATTCAGAAAAAGTACAGAAGAATTTAACGATAGTCGACAAGAAGAACATACGTTGTAACATCTGTGGTAATCTTTACTTTAGAATGGACAAGTGCCAGGTAAATTGGCGCAAATTACTGGGAATGAAATATATGAAGGGATTTAATGTGCAAAATTCAAAGAAGTTTCATAATAATAATGCTTGTCGCAGGTGCATATCTGGAGCCATTTGGAGATGAAACCATACCAGTGCAAGGCGTGTGACTTTGCTACAGTCACTGTTAGCAATGTTCGATGCCACATTAGGAAGAGTCACCTGAAGATAAAACCATTCGAGTGTAATCTCTGTGAAAAGAAATATGTCACTGCCGTTTTATTGGACGAACATATGAATACTCACACGGGTGAACGTCCGTTTAAATGTAAGCTTTGTGATTTCGCAAGCGCAAGTCGACAGATGCTAAGTTATCACAACGATACTCATAAACCAGCAAAGGTAATAATATAAATGGAATCGCACTGAACAACCAAGATTCATATTTACACACTTTAAATTATAATCTTGTTACTATCAAATTCTGTAGGATATCAACTGCAAAATTTGTGGCAAAGAATTCTTCTCGAGAGGTAGATTGCGCGCACACATGATCATCCATAATAAGGACAAAGTGGTCATGTGTAAACTGTGCTCTGCTTATTTATCGAGTGCGGAAGCATTGGAAACACATCACAGAAATATGCATATGCAAGATTATGTATGTAATGTTTGTGGCAAACATGTAAAGTCAAAGAAAGCTTTGTACAATCATCAAAGTGTAAGCCCTATTTTGTTAAACTTTCGCTCGTAGGAACAGCAATATTTATCATTTTGTTTAGTAACATATTTCACGTAAAATGAACATCGCTTTTATAGGTTCATGCTGCCGCGAAGTATAAGTGTTCACTGTGTCCAAACGTGTATAAGAGTAGTCAGATCTTAAAAGAGCATCTTTTGAAGCACGAGGGAATTAGGAAATACAAATGTAGCGTTTGTGCGAAGACATTTGGACAACAGTCTCATTTAGCTGCTCACATGGCGGTACATAGTAAAATTAGGTAAGTTCAGGCACATCCTACACGGAAGGCGTTAATGTAGATGTGTATTATAGTTGCTTATTTATTTTACTTTTCGTAGATTCCATTGTCCTGGTTGTAACAGGGACTTCAATCGACACGACAACATGAAAATACACACTAAACGGTGTAAACAGTTTCTCGCGAATCCACAGTTGAAGAAGCTCTTAATCAAAAAGGAAAGAAGTACATCAGTCAGCAAAATAACGGAGTTAAATGAAGATATGGAGAGTAGAGACACGTCGAATTCCGGGTCATCTATCGAGGACCAAACCGAAAAATCGTCGGCAAACGTTGTAGATGATAAAGAAAAGACTGGAATGAACTTCTGTAAATTAGGATTAAATATTGCTTGCTTCGAAACTCCGGACAAAACATGGACCCACGACGATGTATATAAGAAGGGAGGAAAGGTAATGGGATCTGCCGAGATTAATGTAATTCAAATCGCAAAAGTGAACGATGCATTAATCCCGGAGAACGATAATCTAACGGTTTTGGAGAATGTTTTGGGACCAGAAAGTTTCTAGTAGCTTTCACTGAAAGTGTGCATATAGTATACCACTGAACGCATGTTATGAATTTCGCATTTTTATAATGACGATGTCCAAGAGTACAAATCGATAATACAAAGGGTGTATGGAACACTGAAATTTGAAGAGATCTATTGTAATTATTCAACAATAATACATTATTAAAGAATACTTACGTTTGGAATTACTTTGAAGCGGGGACAAATACAGGTAATTTCGGTGATTTTGTTTTTGGAAAGAAAGGACCAAATATATTGGTCTAAAATATTTGCCAGTATACTTATTCATCTTTAACGAATATTTACACAATTTGATTCTGAAGAAATCTGTGTCTTAGTGTGGCATGCCTGCATGATAACGCACGATTACTTATTTGATAACACCTTTTCTGTTGGTTTGAATCAAAGACTTCAAAATTATTTGTAATCTGTAAGACTATCTTCATCGCCCATACCACGATCAATAATAACAAAATTAGATATAATGAACAGACTATGTATAGAAAAACTAAATTATTAATTTTTCTACTTCAATTTGTTATGGCAAAGAAAATGTGACACATATTTTTATAATTCTGGTACGAGTGAGAAAGGGATGTATGTACAACATGTGTGTAAAAACGTTCTAGCGTTACAGCGATCCTATGTTTATGTTATATGGAAAAGGAGAAAAAGAATCGTCGGCGGTCCGAATAATTTAGTAATCGAAGCAGTCGTCCAGCAATGAATTTTTCATAAATATATCTCAGACCATGTCGATTATTATCGACAATAGTGAATTCAATTCCATAGACCGTTTAACTTCGAAGCGGTCTGTCCACAAAGGGTTAGAAGATGCCTTGATCGTTTCTCGATCCGGTACGCGATCGACCAATTTCTTTTCCTCTAATATTAGGTAGGTCATTCTAAGAAAATCGAATTGCACGAAGATTGAAGTGCTTAAGAATTTATTTTATATTTACTACCGCAACTGTGTTACTCGTGCATCTCGATTTTCATTCGAAGAATCATTGAGAGGCTTGCCCTTGATGGAAACTTCGAATACACTACCAAAGAAAGCGCCATTTTATTCTTTAGTTAGCACAGCGATTTTCGTCAATAGTTGGAAATGGCGCGTTTACGCTTATTTCAATTGTAAGTGAAGGAATTAAGACTGATATTTCTATAGAAATTCGTAACGAGAAGTTCCTATCTAAAGTAACCCGGCCCCCGAGTGATTAATGTAAATTTGCAAATTCGAAGGGTAATTCGAATCTTCGTACAGGAACGATCTCCAGTTTGGAAAACATTAATTAAGTACTTTACTGACAAATTTACAGACATTATACAGTATTCGATTTTCTACAGTTAGAGTGATAACACGAAAGGATACTTGCCATTGAAGTCAAACAAAATGTCAAGAAGAAATAAAAAAGATTCTTTTTGTATAAATGTCGTTCGTTGTTGAATCACTGACTACCCAAATATGTGTAAAATCCCGAAAATTGATTTAATAAATTATCCCTATAGATGTGGCATTAAAAGTCTTTACAGGACGGACAGAGGCTAAAAAATATTATTTCCTCAAAAATAAACAACGGGTATGTACCATTTACTGTTTTTTGTTGAAACAATCCTTAGGAAATATACAATTTACAATAGCGTTTATGTAAATTTAGTAAAAACAGGCTTAAATATTATTTCTTTATACAATGTAACCATAACTTAACTATTATTCATTTCACACATCTTTAATTATTTTATTATTTTACTTTTACTGTTTCTTTTTTTGAGTAGTCACAAGAAATATACATACTCTTGTATTTTGCAAATCTTCCGTACGATCTTGTAATAACATTATCTGTAATCACTTATCCACGTATAACAAACGCAGATAAAAGATATATATATACACAATGTTTTTTAATTACAGCATTTTTCATTACTCCGTCATGTTTGATCTATCGAACGTATGTAGTTGATCGTGTATACATAGTGAGGCTACACAAAAATTTTGAAACTCATTAAACGCAGAATAAAAAAATAAATGCCTGAGATGTGTTGAATATTGTTCATCATAATAAATTATTCAAGGTGGATTAGTTTTTTCGTCTTTTTTTTAAAATTAGTGACTTGCGTAGACAATTAAATTTGTATTCACCGTGTTGGAGGAGCAGTATCGTTCTATACACTTCGCTTGTTAGTTATCAGATTATTCCTTCCGTATGTTACAATTAATCATTTTCAAATTTAATTTTTTTTCTTCAATTTGTCAGGTTATAAACAAAAATAAGTGGAATCGCAACGATGGTACTTTCTAAGATGACGAACGTAATGTTCCAGCTTACCAGTTCTTATTTGGAGCAGCTTTTCACCAGTCCAGTAAAAACAAAAGCAATTAGCAGGTACATTAATGTTTGGGATGTGGACGAGGCAATCGATTTTGTTTAATTCAGAAATTAAATTTATTACGAATACCTTTTTTATAGCTGTATTATTAACTCTCTTGGAAATCTCTTAGCACAAAAAATATCAGGAGCAAAGACCATCAATAGAGAAAGCCTACTTGCCTTTGCTATGTTTGGGTAAAGTTAATTAAAATGTTATTTAAATTTTGTATGTAAATAGTTCATATTTGGAAGTATTAAATATCTTGATTTTTTTGGTAGATTAATTATTGGAGGTCCTGTCCCCCATTATTTTCACTCATTAGTACATCCATTTGTGAAGAATCCTCTCATGGTTTTATTAATAGAGAGATGTTTGTATACACCATGTTTTCAAGTATTAACATTGTACATGTTAGCTGTATTTGAGGTATAGTTTTCTTCTTCTTACTATTTATTTTCTATTTAGTCATGGTATTATCTCATAAATTTAATTTCTTTCAGGGTAACACACATAATGATGCGTGCATCAGGGTAAAGAAATTATATTTGCCAGTACTTCTTGCAAACATGAAATATTTAACTCTTCTGCAGTATCTTAATTTAAATTATGTTTCACCAATGGTAGGTTTTCATTTCTATAAAACATTTTTTTTAATCACAATTTTTTATGTATTTTAAACTGATATTCAAATGTCATTGCAGATACGTGATTTGGTAGTAAATATGATTAGCTTCTTTTGGATTGTGTACCTTGCATTGCAATGGTCCAAAGAAGCAAAGTCCAAACAAGCACAGAAATAATATTTTGGTTGGCATATTGACTTTAGGTATATAGTTGAATGGTTCCATTTAAATAAAAAAAATATATTTTTTTAACTTTATTATTGATTGTTTTATAACTTTAAATTATATAAAGAAATATTTCTATTGCTATTGAAAATATAAATTAAATACATTTATAATATAATAAAATATGGAAATGTTTTGGGTGGAAAGACTCGATTTTTTTAAGCTTTTCGATTTAATCACACAACAACAATACAGAGTATATTACAGATATAATCAGAATTTCTTCCATTTCAACAATGGTAACATTTGATGACTGTAAATTATAAATAATAAATAGTAAGTCAAGAGCTATGGTATGTAAAAATTAAAAAAACTTTCAAGTGACGGAATGAGTATTTAATATTTTCTTCTACACTAATTCTATGAAATAAACATTTCGCGATAAGTGTGTATTTATGTTTCAATGTTTACGTTCGTGGATATGCATCAATGTAGCATCGATAATATAACACCATAGCACTTGACAATTTTACTTCAATAAAACTGACTCAGTCATTATGCAAGAGCTAGGTTCTACGTAGTTTTTCTTTCTAATTATAAACAACGTAGACTTTCGAAATATGACTTTTAACCCTATACATACATTTTCAAGACTTAACTTTGAATAATCAGGACTAGTCTAATTATGTCTTTTGGTACGCTGCCTGGCACTACAGCCAAGAAAGAAACTTTTTGACTAGTATTTAGATTAAAGTGAGTATTGCAAGTGAAAGAAAGTTTAAAAGTTTAATATCACTTTTATACTTTGTTCTTACTATCAAATTTGACAAATGACTAGCGAATTATAATATCATTAAATAAATAAATAAATAGATAAATAAATGTATAAATAAATATACAATCTCTTAGATGTTTAATATATAGAATGGAAAGCAAATGAGTGAAGTGCTAGGCTTCATTATGCACAGTAATATCTATGTACAAAAGGAACAGGTTGTAGAACATTGCACTAAAATATCAATTACTAATCCCTCGAGAAATTGGTAGATCAAAGAATGCTTGAGTTTTCTTTTTTTACTATTAATGGAATGTGTCTAAAATTTGACTAGCTGTTGTTTGTATAACAAACAATTACATGATTAAATAATCACGCTTACATAGAACTACTAGAGTAGTTTTAAATGAATATTTAAATAATATATATTGAACAGTAATGCAAGATCTGTAGAAGCTGCAACAAACACAGTTAATGATGATTACAATCATCATTGCCTCCTTATTGCTTAAGTACTCAGGTGAATGCAAGTTTGTAAAGAACATCTTCACACGGAGACTTAAAATTCTCAATGGTTGTGAGACAACATAAAACCGTGTGTAATAATATCACTTTTTAAAAACGACCGTATTAAAAAATATCACTGAGACGTTACGGTTATTACTAAAACATGTCTTTTGGTTTCTCTTGCACATACATCTTTGAAATCCTAATCAAATTCATAAAATCAAAGAACAAGCAATTGACTAGAACTGACGCTTACATTTCTTGTTGCCTGGTAAATTCCTAACAATGAATTGTAAAACACCATTCTCTTATTACCTAATCGAAATAAGAATTAAGGAAATCATGATGGCGTTACTCGACAAGCAAAAAAAACAACTATTTCGAACGATACATGTACTAATACTGAAATTAATGGTGTTATGGTGAATCACCATCGATGAGTATTAAGTCATGAGATCAGAGGTGTAAATGCATATTAAGATTTTATACAGACTTAAAAGATCATGCACCAAACTTAGAATGGCTTTTTTCCTTGCATCCTTGAAACATGCTTTCTACTGCAGGGAAAATAATTAAAAATTTACCCTTGTTGCGTCGAGGGATTGTTCAACATTACGAAACACGATACGTGTCGTGCACAATTGTTAGAAAAAGCATCGGAGAGAATTTTGGTGATCCGCACCATTCCAAATCTGACGCACAAAGAGGAACGTTGAATGGTCTTTTAAGGGGATCCGCTGGCTCGCTTTCAACGCGTGTACGATGGACTCCGACTTGGGGAACAACTTGATCGATGACTTGGACTTGACCAATTACTATGTCTGCTGCTATCTGAGCTACTCGGTGAAGAAGGTGGTGTTGGAGTAGGTCGATGATACGGAATTGGTCGCTTCCTGGCACTAAAATTAAGCGACGTCAATATTTTTGATAACCCAAAATGTGTATTCGTTAGAAATCATATTTGTGTCAAAAGTACACTCGTCACAGTTCTGTTAAACTCACGGACTTGAAAGTATTACCATTGTTAATAACTATCGTTACTGATATAGTAACATCGGCTGAGAAGCGTGCAAAATAAACCATGCTATAAAACAGAAACCAACATGCAAAATAAAAATGTGTCACTTACCTTGTTGATCGTGGAAGTCAGTGGGTAAGAAACGATTCGCAAATCACAACAAAAAAAAAAAAGAAAAAAGAAACGTCGAACTAAAGAAACAGGCTTGCTTGGTAGCGTAAATACATTTTTATTTGTGACTGACATAAAATAAAAGAGGATCTCTACTGTAAACGTTTAATTTACAATAATTTATAAGGGAAATACACGCATGCTACATCTACTAGTAATATTTGTAATTCGATAAGCATTTTAATACAAATAAAAAGAAACGGGGAAAAAAGAGAAAAAAAAATGATACAAACATAAGTATACTCGATTGCCTTGAAATAACGTTCGTGTCTCGATGCGGTACAGATAAAATACGTTTACTCTGTAAAATGAAGTAATACCGGGATTGCTGATTATACTTTGTATGATTTACAGATAAAAATTTCTGTAACATCTATATATATGTATATATATATATATGAAGTTAAGACTGATAAAGTTGTAATATTATAATATAATGACAGGGTCGACGATATCGTAATGAAACGAAAATGTCCTTTGCACTTATTCATTGATCATTATAATCTAATATTCGCATCAGCAGCTAAACTGCTCCGCCTTACATATCAGCTATTTATAATCTTAGGGAAAAGAAACGAAACTCGATATGCATCGTATTGGCTACTACGTGAACTGTAGGAAAGTAATAGAAACATCTGTGCGGAGTCGTTACTTTATCTTCTATGCCTGTCCCTCGATCTGTCCCTGTAGGACAACATAAAATCGTCATTAGATTAAACATACAAATCAAATGTCATAAATTTGTCTTTACCGGATCTTGTGAAGGACACATTAATAAATGAGAAATAAAAAATACCAAAAAAAAAGAACGTAAAAAAAATCAAATAAAATAGACTGAAAGAGATAAACGAATCTACGACTGATGCAGTGGATTTACAAAATTTGGCATGGTGTGCTGGAAAAATCGGCTGCTACGATAACGAAACTACTAAATCCGGGATACCTACCTTGTGATACGACGTCTGTCTAGGAAACTGGGCGAACCATGACGTCGCGGTATGGATGGAGATCGAGACCTGCTGGTAGCTGAGCTGCTCGATGTTGACCGGGATGACCTGCTAGAAACACTGCTTGACGATCTTGATGAACTAGAGAAGCTTCTACGACTGTGCCTAGAACTGAAAGAAAGAACATTTTATTCACATTAGGACAATTTATGCACGGACAGTGTGACATTCGTCACCACACAACATTTTTAATAAAATACTATCGACTATGAAACATTATTTCCATTCATTTACCTCAAAGAAGAACGTGAACTGCTCCTGCTGCGACTTCTCTTCTCCTTGTCCCGGGACACCCTGGACAACGACCGTGACCGGCTCCTCGACTTTTTCGACAAGGATCGGCTTCTGGATTTCTTCGATAACGATCTGCTTCGGGATTTCTTGGACAAAGATCGACTTCTGGACCGTTTTGACAACGATCTGGTCCTACTCCTGGATCTGGACTTTTCCGGCGAATGAGAAGGAGACTTCTTGGAACGCGACGGTGACCTGGATACGGACCGTTTCGATCCCGAGGATGATCTCGATCTAGTTGCCCTTTTCGTTCTTGCGGGAGATTTCGGCGATTTCTTCGATCTTGCCGGGGACACGGGTGACCTGTGTCTAGGTGACACTGATTTCTTGCCTCTCGACAGGGAACGTGACTTCTTGTCTCGCGAGGGAGATCTTGAAGAACGACACCTGGGAGATCTGGGCGATCTTTTCTCCGGGGAGACTGATCTTGTGTAAGACCTGGAACGTGACCTGGAGTAGGACTTGTCTCGCGGAGAATGCTTTCTAGAAACGGGCGAACCCTTCTTTGAAGTGCTCGGTGAAGCGGACCGTTTCGATTTGCCCACGTTGCATGGTATAGGAGGCGGTGACTCGCTCGGAGAACGTAACTTTATGGGCACATCTTTGTGAGAAATTGTCGGTGAATGCGAAGGTGACTTGCTTTCCGATGAATTTTTCCTTAGGAGAACCGGAGAATTCTTTTTAGGGATGCTCGGAGACTGGGAACGATGATTCGTCTTAGTTGCCAAACACGGGGAACTCGAGTTTATCTTATTTAAGGCCTGCAGCAGCGGAGGAGACTCGCTAGGTGACCGTATCTTTATAGCTGCCTCTTCTCGAGTCAGTGGTAACGCGGGTGAAGGTGATCTGCTCGATACTGGTGACTGTACAGCAGGCAGATGCGATATAGGTGACTTTGATTTGGACCTCTCCTGAACTGGACCGACAACGATGTTTTGTATCATTTTCGGCGGATCGTTTGGTAAAGCAATATCAAGTATGCTATCTTCTTTCCTCTCCATCTTTATCTTTACAGGACTTATTACTTTCTTCCCTATGGCTTCCCTAGCCTTAGCTGCTAATCCACATTGCAATCGTTTCAGAGTATGTAGCTCCTTCATCCTTTCCTCGTCTTCCGGTTTTGGTTCGTCATCCGCCATGTCAGTTTCATCTTCGCTGGAAGAACGTAGCCTGACCCTTGGTATAATCGCCCTTATCTTTCTAGTCTTAGAACTGGATCGAGACTTTCGTTTGTTGTCATTATTCTTCTTCGGATCTCGTTTCTTCTTGTCCTCTAGAATGTGTTTATACCGTTCTGGATTCTTTCTTACGGGAGAATAGCTCAAGGTGGATCGTCTGGATCTACTCCGGCTCTTGCTGTGGCTTCTGCGACGCTCCCTCGATCTTTCTCGCCTGTCCCTTTGCCTTCTGGGTGACCTTGACCTTCTTCTGGAGTCGGATCTTCTACGTCTAGGCGGTGGCGATGGTCTGCGTCGTGATCCATAACGATCATACCTCGATCGACTTCTGCTCCTGGACACCGAGTACCTGGTGTATCTCCTGGGTGATCTCGACACTCTTCTTCTTCTTGGCGAGGGACTGACTCGCCGGGATCTTGAATATCTTCTTGGAGATCTTCCTCTGTCGATTCTGCTCCTTGACGGTGATCTGTGACGCCGTGGCGGTGGACTCTTGAGCGGTACTGGTGTTTTCTCCTTCTTTTCAGGAACAATCTTCTTAACGGGAGAATCTTTCTTTTTAGGGGGCGGAGTTTCGTTTCGACTCTTTTCTTGCTTCTTTGGAGAACGGTTTGATCGAGACTCTTTGACCGTGTTCTCTACCTCATCGTTCTTTGACTTTTCTACGACTTTATCGTGTTTCATAGACTTTTTCGGCCTCTCTGGGGAGCTGAAAATAATACGTTAGATTTGTATTCATTTCAACGGAACCTTGAAATTGTTTATCCTTGAACGTACCTGTCGGACGAGCTCTCAGATGACTGATGCTTCCTCTTGATAGCTGTTTTTTTCTTCTAAAAAAAGAACCGTACAGATTACTAAATTAAACAACATTGGGTAATGAACACCAATCATGCATATGTTTTGTCAGTAGGATAAAAAAAAGATATTGCAAATGTTTAAAAATTCTTCGGAGTCTGCTCATTCGCTCTAATGTATTTAAATAGATAATTTGAAATGTATACAAGTGTAATTTATAAATGCATTAAATCGAGAATTGAAAATAAAATCAAGAAAATAGTAATCACAAGCTAATATATGAGTATTGTATGCACTAATCTCTTCGCATTGCACCTATGTCAGAGAACAAGCAGTCTCCCATTAATTATTATCTCGTAAATGTGATGGTGCTTGACACAAAACGAGTGAAAGGCAACAACAATCGCAAGTTTGTACGAATATAAATCACAAATTATTATTACATTGAGTAGCGGCATATCTGGTACTCACTCAGGGAATATATCCTGTCAAATGGCGCTGATAATTACAAACAATACTGAGATTTACACTTTTGAAATAATGACTGTTAACTTGAAATCAGATAAAAATCTTTACAGAAACAAGCAATGAATCATGCTTATTCAAAGATAGGCAGCAACACAAAATTTCTGATAACTCCAATGATAACTGACAACTAATCAAGGGAAAAATGAACGCAAAGTAGATGTCACATGCTCCTGCTTCACGTGCTAGTCCTTTGCATTATTTTTCGTACCTCATGCTTTTCTTTAGCCTCTGCTTTGGACTTCTTCTTCTTCTTTTTCTTTTTCTTCTTTGACTCAGTTTCTGATGAACTATACGAAATGATTCAATTATATTAGTAAATGAATTTACAAATGTTCACATTATTATAATTCTGCATGTACCATTACCTGCTATCATCCGAAGCCTCGCTGGATTCACTATCAGAGGAACTAGCCTCACTCTTCTTGTGTTTCTTGTCCTTTTTCTTTTTCTTAGACTTTTCTTTTTTCTTACTAGCCTTTGGAGACTCCGACCTAGGGAACACATTTGACATTATTCTAAGTGTTTCGCTGTGTGCTGGATTAACTTATATTTGTCTTTTTTTTTGTTTTTAAATGATATTTATTCTTTAATTCTTGCAGTGGGCGTCTTCCTGTCGACAAGTGCATACCTTGTGCTGACAATAAAGAAAGCTGTAGTACAATGTATCCGTGTGTGAAACAAATACTTTATTCTAATGATACAAGCTACCTGCTTTCAACGAGCTCGATCAAAGTAATGAACAAACATTCGATAGTAATTTAGAAACGTGAAGTCTGATGGAACATTTTTCGACTGAACTATACCAGCGTCTCTGGATAAGGTTTTGTAATTCAAAAAATAGATAACTAATTTATACATACATGTATATGTACAGGAAATGCAGTGTGTGTGCGTGAACACTTTAATGTTTATCGATATATTCAGAACAAGAACAAAAGTTTTTCTCTTTCTTTCACTGCAATTCCAAATGAATTTAAGTAATGAAAAATACAGATACAAAGATACGTATACAGGTTAAAATCACAATAATATTGGGCTATAGCTAACAAACCGACTACATAATTATCGATTTGAAAGATTTGGTTTTGTCATAGTCGTCTGAGATTTCCATATCAACCACCAGGCCGCGATATTAGGACCTATATGCAAAACCACATCTTTCAATAGTCACAAAAGACAAGTATACAAAATATGAGGAGTATTGATATAATATGGGATTAGCATTACCTTGATAACCATCGATAGGGACGGACTTGTCAGAAAAAAATAGAGAGATGACATTAACAACAAGCTTCATCGATAACAACAACAAAGATAGAAATGCATGATTTACGCATCAGATTGTTATGTTATTGTTCAAAAAACCCGCGTGTTTATCTTGTACATTAAGTAAATGTTTGCCTATTATAATGTATAGTAGTAGTATTATCCACTTTAGATAACTGTAACGTTCTTTTTTTGCTAATTTTTATATAAATCGCTAGTACAGCAAACATTTACCTCTAATGGCGCCTAAGAGAGAGACAATACCTAAACATAAGGCAGTGGACAGACTCGATTGATCTCTTTTTCTCAGTACACAGAGTTTTATATCGCTTTTGAGTGTTATTTTTTGTTTGTTTGTTTTGGAAAGTAGACGCGACGACCACACTTACCTACTGAGCCTACTAGGTAGGCACTCAGTCCTCCTCAGTTCTGTTTGAAACAGAGAAAGGTGTGTATGGGACATGAAATAGTAGGTGAGTCATGAGTCAGTATCTGACAAGAGGTGTGTAATAAGCAAATGAACGAGTGTGGACTTGCGGTAAATGAATAATTAATCGAGGGGGGCGGGGGGGCAGGAAAGGAACTACTACAGGGGCATGTTTGTTCGGCCTTGGAGCCTGGATTCTTGTGCACATCTTTACAACGCTGTTCCATTGAAAGATTACTGATGAATACAATTAATATACTAAAAACTATACAGTATATGCATCACAACATTGTACTATAGTATCACGAAGTCAGTTCCTATTATTACACTACTATACTATAGTCTGTTGTAGTATAACATCACAGTACTACTGCTACGCTATAGTATACAGTGTACACAAGGGTGTATAACTGAATGTGCCACAGTTAGGTATCTTTAAAATTCAAACGGATACGAAAAATTATATCACAATCTTGATTCCTTTAGTGGCACCATGGTAAATTTCTTATGGCCTTAACGGTTTCAACTTTAAAAAGAAGTTAGTGCATCCCCCTATGCTATTCAATCCCTCCCTATACACAAAACTTCAGTTTCATTGATCTATTTTTGCTTTCACAGATGATTTTGTGACAACACATTCGGCTTTACACCTTGCATTACTATTCAATATACCATAGTACAATACAGTAATATATCTACTATAGTCTGTATCAGCGTTATATTCGTCGTCCAATATAATTAAAAAGCAGCAACAGCGGCATTGAATCCAGCCTCCACTGACCCGTGCACCATTACGTTGTCTTTTACCTTTCCTTCTTGTGCTTCTTCCCCTTTTTCTTCTTGCCCGTGCTACCGGAGCGTTTACGTTTTTTCTTCTCCGGCACGGTCGTTGTGTCCGGCACGGGGCTCGGTGTTCTCACCAGTTCGTACACTTTGCTAGCAGCGGCTCTCGCCTCGGCTTCGCGCGCGTGCCTCTCCGGGTCTAGGCTACTTCCCTCCACGAAGAACTCCGATATTCCGAACGCCTCTCGTAGCTTTGCGTTTTTTTCTTGCTGCGCCTCGGCGATCTGGTGCGTTTCGCGTACACTGGAAGACGCAAAGGCACTTATTGATCCATTACATTATTCACTCTTCGATTCGAGAGAATTAAAAAAAAGAAAATATCAAGTTAATCTCCAAGTAATTAGCTCCTCTTCCTAAAAAAAAATGTCATCCAGTTAATTCCATAGAAGTCCGAATCTACACGTATCGTGAGAATTTCAAAATGAAACAAAAATATTTGTCAATCTCCAAGGACGTAGATTTTTTCACCATACGCGAACCCACACACGGTGATACACCATAAAAGTCCAAACCTCCACGTATTACAAATCAAATACAGTGACACCGTGTAGAAACGCAAAGCAAAAAAGAACGGTGCAAACTGTAGATCCCTGGATTGATCTCGAAGACGATCATTAACACATCTTTTTCCACTAATACACCTAATGCCACACGATGACAAAAACTATTTCTAGAAAAACCCCTCATCAATCGTACCCTAAAGAAACAAAACACGGGTCGATGTCAAATGATAAAAATAAACACACGAAGGGTGTTGGAGCGCACCATGACCCATTTTCCAATATTTTCGATCCACCACCCCCCCCCCCAGATCGGGTGGACAGAGACGAGGGAGATATCGTACCGCGTTGATATTTTCACCGTCATCGTCGTCGCACGGAACGGATATTCTCACTGGCTGTTCGAATCTGTATCAGAACATTCCCATAAAGTGCTCGCGCGCGTGCGACCCCGTCTAACGAAGAGCCTGGTCCCAGGGGTGCTGCCACTGGCTGGCCAGTGTGTCTCGCGACAAACGTTCAGGCGTCCGGACAATGCGGCAAAACTAGTGACATAACACTGGAGAGAGGACTCTATGCCGATGGAGAAATCGTGAGGCGGCCCCTTCTTCTGCCTCGCGAGTGAAAAGCGTGGCCGAAGAGGGGGGCAGGGGGTAGGTCGAGCGAGCCACCCCTACGCCAACGCTCGAGCGCGCGGATCAATACAATCCAGCTGTTCTCTTTTCTGGTATCCCTTTCGCGCTACTCGCCCGCGCTACATGCTTATATTCAGCAGCCATGCAACCACTCTTTCTGTTTCTCTCGCGAGTCACCCCACTGTGACTGGGAAAATATATTTTTTTTAACCTTTTAACCCAGCTCCACTTAGATGGTTCTCTACGTCTTAGGGGATGGGAACTCTACGTGTTCGTGGTTATTTGTTAATTACCCTTTTGTTGAATGTCCCGTTCGCATAATTAAGTGATTTTGTTTCTACCCCTTAAGCTGTTACTACCGTTGCCTCCATTTTGATAGAATGGACCAAAAAAGGAAACGTATGTTTTTCTAGTTATTTCTGTTCAATAATTTATATTTACTGTGCACGATATTCTTTACTTTTGACGTGGTCTCACCCTTCTTCGTTTTTTCGTAGCTAGTTGGGGAAAAAGAGAACTTGGTGAACCGACGGTTAATTGGCGAGATTATGGCGTGTTAAAGGGTAACAGTTGTTTACGCGGAAATGTTTTGCTTTCGCGGGGAGGGGAGAATCGGAGCAGTTCAACAGCGTTGAGTCACCACCCCATGGCGTTCAGCACGCGGAGGAGGACTACTGTTTGCCTTTTTAATCCCCATTGAACCCCTGTTTCGTTACATTGAACCGCCGTTCAACTGTTGACATTTTTCCCCTCAATACTTTGCCGAAAACGAAATACTCGCGTTTATTAATTTCGAGGACAACTGGTGACATGTTTTTTTTTCTTTTATTACGAATGGCAAAGTTGCTGCCGTGAGTTGTAGCGTTCGAGTCGATATTTAACCAGGACAAGAAAATACGATAATCCTCCTAGTGCTTATTATGAGGGAAAAAGTAGACAAATTTATTAATTTTGAACATGCATTAAGTAACTGTAGCAGGGATGCTGCAAAAATATACACGGTGGAGCTATGGACTTTGAAACGCGTGCCACTGACCGTGTACCAGATATCCCAGATGGGAACAAGTGAAAAGGATAATCTATGGTCGGAGAAATCCTATTCTTCTTGTTACCCTTCTAATGTGGACAACGGTAGAGGTAATCCATATTTTGTTGGCAGAACTGATTCAATTGCCTCTGTTCTGTAACGATAATTCTAACATCTATCTAATTTCTATTCCAGCCAAAGATCTATCGTTTACTATTCTTAGGGTTTAAAAATATTTCAAAAACAGCTCCTTTGGAGCAAGAAACGAAAGATCATTATTGGTTCACCTGACGACGGAGCGCACGTTGCTTCGCCGTCCGGCAAGGAGATGAAGCTGTATACGCTGGCAGCAGCAACAGTGCTGTCGCATTTGCAACTGTGCACGCTTCTTTCCGTTCGCCGCGTGGAGTTTACGTTTCCGGGACCGTTTCATCACCTTCTGCCGATCCAAGAAGAAATTACCCCGCCACAGGGTCTCGAAGAAGGCGCGGCCATCGGCCGGGCCGCGTCCACGCGCCGGTTTCAACGGAGATGATACCGTCATAGACATGGTCATTCACTTCAATCCTCGATTTCCAGTCACAAAAACCGATCCTCCGTCTGACAGAACTTCGATCCAAACAACAGTAACCGAATCTCCGTGAATTCTTTTCGATTACAAGCGAACAAATTATTCTTCCGAAGCTTCCGGTTTAAAAATATTCTTCAATCTTTTCCTGGAGTACAAGTTTGGTTGAAAAAAAAAATAGCAACCAAATCTCCCCAAAAGATCTCTTTTCAGTTGAAAATTGCCTTAAGATTTCTATGTTCCCTCTATCGAAATTCTCGATCTTCCTTAAATTTCAATATTCCAATTCCTCGTTCCTCACGATCTAACGTAATGTTTCTTCTTTGTTCTCTGAAGTATGGTATTTGTTGGTTACCCAGTATGGTTGTCCAAAAAAATATTTCATTACAGTTCAATTTGCCGCGGGAGCAGAGGGGTTGGCCCTGAGTGACAATCAACGCTCCTGAATAATTAACGGGGCTCAGTAATTAGGGAAGCATTAAGCGCGATCGGCCGCTAATTTACGCTAAGGAGCTCTGCCGGTCGCTGGGTATGCAAGTAGTTCCGACGTGGCTTAATCCCTTCTCGAGGGCGGCTTTGATAGTTTAGGAGGATGGAAAGAAGGGGAGAGTGGGGGCGAGACTCGAGGCGAAGGTAATGGCTTCCTCCCTGCGATTACGGCCAGGCGGCCCCCGTTGTATTCAGAATGTCTGCTATCCCAACGCGGGAACAATCATCCGGCGCGGAGATGATGAAAATGTCAGCTTTGACGTGTGCTTGTCCCCTCAGGTAGACGGAAAGTAAAACGGGATCGATTGTTCCTTCCGAAAGTAATCAACGTTGAAGCACAGGTTTTCCCCTCTTGGATCGTCACGTTTCTTCTCGCGTCCCCGCTGGAAATCGTCGGCTCCGTCAACGGAGACACACGATAAATCTTGTTAGTTATATTTCTTACTTATACGACCACCGTGTATGTATACATAGATATATCCTTAACGTTGTGTGTACGAATTATATAGGAAGACTTTTCGGTCTTAATTCTAGCTTATCGTGACTAAGGAAGACTTCAGATCAGGCACACTAATCGTCGTGGTTTCATTCCCGTGTATACGAAGCAACGATATCTTTACCTTAATATTACATCGTCGACTGATGTCGCGATTTGAAGACACATGGATTTATCATAGAAAAGAAATTTGATCTCTTACGAATCCGTCGATCCCTCTTGATCGATCCACGTGGCCTCTCCAGCGAGGGGGGAGGATATATCTTCGGTGTAGCAAACTTCGTTCCCTCGTGGAGTCACGCAGAATTCCTCTCTTGGATCGTTTTCTTGGACGAAACTGCAATCTTCTCCCCTTTTTATACCGATCTTTACGTTCAGATTTGTACGTGCCGTCTGTGTAGAGATGCGTGAATTCTGGTCGAGGTTCTTTTCTTAAGGTACCTTAGAGCTACACTTAACCGCGACGTTGCTTAGCACTTAGAAATTACTTAAAGATTCTAATGTTGGACTACGCGCTAATGGAAGACTTTTTGTGATTTTGTTGTTCGAGCGTATCACGAAACCGGTTACATGTTCCCTTCTTTTTTTTTTGGCACGGTTCGATCTCCCGTCAACGAGAATTCGAGGGATTATTCCCGTAGGATCCGTGCACCCGACGACGCGCAGCGTCGCAACGCCGGTCCATCCTCGCACTGAGGCGGAAAAGTCGAGTGAGATGCTGGAACAAACTCACCCCCCTCTCCCTATCGTTCCCCTCGCGCGTCTCTGTTTCTCTTCCCGTACAAACCCCCGTCCCCCAACTCCTGGATCACCTCCCTTTTCGTGGGTGGCGCCGGCGCTATGGGGAACGTCGATATCGGCAGCGTAACACCCCCTGAAAGCCAGCCCGAGAATGCGACCGTCTCCACCCTCCAATAATATTGGGCTTACCGGGAAGCTGCGTTTTCACGAGGGGTAGCGGATGCCTCAAGATTACGTTTAGCCGACCTTACCACACCGAATAACAGCATATTCGAACCTCCGAGCATCGAACAGCTACTAATTCTGTACTTTTCCTTCGAAGTTATCGAGATTCTTTGAGGTATCCTCGGGTGCCTGTTGTTTGGAATGAATTTAGAGTGTTTCTGAATGTATACTCCATATTCCTTGTATTCTCCAACAGCAAGTTTAATTTGTAATTGTTTTTTTTTTTTCAATTTTTAAATATTCTCCAGGTACCTTCGTGCAGGGTCAATTTTTAAAGGTAGCTTGGCTTGTATGGTTGGATAGATGTTTCTTTTGGGGTTGCAGTGTTATACTTTGAATCCTTTGGAACCTTAAATTAATTCTTAAAATACTAAATACATATTTTTTTTAATAATGTTAAGAAACTGAGGGTTGAGAGCTTCTCGTTCTTTTAGTCCCTTCGACAGTGAGGAAATATTTGAATTTTCTCTTTCATGTAAGATCATAACAGTCTTTCAAAGGGATAGCTTGAGAGCACACAAGATATAGATACTGGTCGTCTATCATCTAGGTACTATATATAGATACTATGCTGGATTACTATAGGAGTGGCCAAAAATACTTCTCTATCTATGTACTGTCTTTCACTTATACAAGCAATGTAATTGTATAATACAGAATGTAATATTTATGTATTCATTTCTGTACATACATGCATTTTAATTGGATATTTTTTTTTAGTAAAATTTCTAACATTAGAAAAGGAAAGAAAAATAAATAAGGAAGGAATGTACTTACTTTACACGACCAAATTCATCTCGGGGTACTGCTGGCTTGGCATCACTTCCCATTAACATGGATCTGTATGATTCTACTTTCGTTTTCACTTCCTCGGTTGTAAAACTATAAAATAAAAAAAAATTCAGGTAAATAGTTACTCTACTGTTTATTGTACTATAGTCTGTGAACTATGCAAGCAATATACTGTGTAGGAGGAATACATTGAAGCCAATGGTAAGCTAAATCCAATTGATGTTTAAAATCTCATTTGGTATTGGGTTCAAGGAATCAATAAAGCTTCATATTTTCTGTACATATGTACATATATATATATACAATTCATGAAAAATTATTATTGTATATATTTAATAAGATTATTTTATAATTATAAGTCCTTCTTAGTTAATCGGCTTACCCTTGTTCCTCCAGTATGTCAGCAAACTCGGCACATTTAACTTCAACTTTTCTTTTTCTAACATGATCGAGAATCTCCTTATTAGGTTGTTTATTAAGCTGATCTAATTTTCCTTCATCGGTTTTATAGGTAACTTTCTCTTTAGTTTTGCGTACAATTGCCCAATTTCTTTGGACATGTCCGTTTGTTCCAGAACCACGTGGTGTCTGTAATCCAATTCCATTATACATCTTGTATTACACCTGCAAAACCAAAATAGAATCTCATAAGTGTGATACTTAAAACAGTACTTCAACTGAGTTTAGAGTGCCTATTAAGCCAACATACAAACTATCTTTTGCTCACAATCAAAGGTTCATAAACAAAGGTAACTTCAAGGATGAAACGACTTAATATATACTCTCGATACAATCGTACAAAAACAACAATCAGAGGTTTCTATAAGCAACACGAGTGAACAAGTACCTCAACAATGAATGACAGAAAGTGAACAACAGCCGTTGCGGGTACGTTCAAAAACTTGACTAAACATCGTCTTTGCCGCGCTCAAAGATTAAATTAATAGACTCTCACCTGGTGCTCAACGTAAAGTCTTACCTAAATTACAGCGAATCGATCGACAATGTGACGTGATTGAACTAATAACTTAGGAGGGAGCGGGAAGGTAGGTTAGAATAGAATACACACAAATCAATTATCGATCCGGCGAGTGCTGCGCAAATTTCGCGTCCATCAATTTCACGTAAATGTGTAGCATTTACCTTTGCATCGGTGTCACCCCGGGCAATCTTGTTGTGTCATCCACGGGACTGTTGATCGACTAACTTATCCCCGAATGAAATTGATCGGTGAAAAAAAATACAAGGAGGACCGCGATTTCCGTGGTGTTACCGTTTCACGCGGCAGCCCTCGCGATGTATCGTATGGTGGCGCCACTCTTTCACATAAGCGTAGGATGAGGATTAAATAATGCGTTCCATAATTAGTGCGTATGATACTCGTTTTATATCATCTCTAAACATTTTAAACACGTAAAATAACCGATACACGATACCGCCAATGCGAAAAATAAATGTCACTTTATTTCTGGCGTACTTAAAATAAAAATTTTATTAACCAAAGATTACACCATTGATTGCATCAATTTGTGTAAATAGTACTGCGCAATCGCATATAATCTTCGAAGTAACGCGCGAGACGCTAGCAGAAAACATAAAACGCACTGAACTTGTCACGGGGAAACGCACGTGGTGTCGTATAATGTAACCAAAAAATCATGTTTATAAGATTTAGGCTTTAGTCGCTTTAGTTGAATTTGTATGTGGATACATGGTGGTGTAGGTTTAACTCAATGAATGGTTAGATGTTTATAAACACACGGAAAAAGTTACTTACCTTTGTGATACAATGGAAGTTAATGTAGGAGATGTAGTAATGCCTGGCGATGTTGTGAGGGATATTGCAACGATTAATAAGAAAGAAACAATAATTTTGGGACCTGGTCTTCGTCGTGAAGCTGACACCGTTTTTGCGTATAAAGCGGGCATACTGAAGAAAACAGATCCCGCTGTGTACTATGTAGATAGTTATCAGAAACGGTAATGGCATCAATAGTTCTTTACAAATCATCTAAAGCTTAATTATAGAATGTGTAATTAACATATATTACAGATATGTACCAAATCGTGGAGAAAATGTATTGGGTATAGTTACACAAAAGAGTAGTGATATTTTCAAGGTAGATATAGGGGCTAGCGAACAAGCATCTCTTTCGTACCTAGCATTTGAAGGTGCCACAAAAAAGAACCGTCCTGACATTCAAGTGGGTGATCTAGTTTTTGCGAAGCTTTTGGTCGCAAGCAAAGATATGGAACCAGAACTTGTGTGTGTGGATTCCCATGGGAAGGAGAAGAAATTAGGTGCTTTAAGCTCCAATGGCATGCTTTTTACATGTTCATTGAGTCTTATCAGAAAGATATTGAACCACAATTCTCCATTGTTTAACACACTATCACATAGTCAGGCATTTGAAGTAGCTGCCGGAATGAATGGTAGAGTATGGGTGAGGGCGAGGACTGTTCATGAAACAATAGCAGTGGCAAATGCTATTTTAGCTGCAGAATATGCTGCACCCAATGAAATAAAGAAGTTATGTTCAGCTATTGAAAAGACTTTACTTTTAACACAGGCAGGTAATGACAATTGATGATGATAATAAAGAGGAATATCCATTTTGTTATGAATGGGTTATTTATTGTACCAATATTGTTAATGAGTTTTATAAATAAATCTGTATGATTTCTTATATGAAATATTGTGATTATAGTGACAACCATTGTGACAACCATCGTGATAAAATTGTAGAATTCGAACTACATGTAGTACGTATAGTATCATTAAGTATGCTGGTCATGTATACTGAAAAATACAATGAAAACAATCAATAAATTTCTATTTTGAGAAATATATTCTCGTACTACTTGTGTTTCTTGTTTTGTAGCAATTTAATAATGCAAATTGTTTAATGAGTAAATTATATTGATAAATGATTAGAATGAATAACAATGTTTCTTATAAGAATGACATTATAAAGCATTTTTCTAAAGATCCTGTAAAGCACTGTTGTTATCAGTATCTAGATGTACGTGTAAAAGTGAATAAAATGATTTGTGCTATATTTTCTGATATGTGACTAATGTCTTTTGCCTGTAATGTGAAAGCTATACTCTAACTAATGATAGTATCAGATATTCAAGCACAACCTTGACTTTCTTTATTTTTTTCCCATAAAAATATTTAAACAACTCTTAAATCAAGCACATTACATTTTTTCATATTTTTTTTTCTCTTTTTTAATACAGGATTTGTACGTGATGGAATGTGCATTGTATATAGTTTGTAAAACAAACTGTGAACATATCAGGAAAATACCGTTCTAAACATTACAACCATGTACAATGGCTATAGAATGAATTCGTACAATAGTTTAAATTTAATATAACACTGATTTAGCGCGAACAATTCTGTATGTATATGGAGTATTATTAGACATTAAATAACAATAAAGTGACACAGTATATATATAGCATAAATAAAGGAAATTAATATAATCAAGCATGCGTGTTTAACAATTTATACAAAATATAGAAACAAAACAATAATGTGCGATTATATATACAAATTTCACTTCCTACCTAAATTCAGATTTGTTTGTAAGACAAAGAATTAACTTAATTGTTTAAAGAAACTACCAGAAACGCTTTGGACTCCAAATAATAAATAATACAGTAACGCAATAGAGAATTAACACATAGAATAATACCAGTAATTAATTGTCATTATAAATATCATTTACCATCCCTTAAGTTATGGATAGAAAAACTAATATCATTACTTTAATAAACAATGACATAACAGATACGTAGTTTTTACAAAAAGTAAAGATTCTCGAATTATATCAGTATTTATAACTGCTTCTATTTGTAAATACATATTATTATAAAAATCTTAAATGCAAAACTGAAAGAGTTGACGTTTTTTTTTGTAAAAACTACATTGAGATTTCTTTCTCTGGTATGTCATAGGCAGGCAATATGTATGTTAGGGACGATTTATGGTGCTACCGGCAACCATTATACTATTCTATGGTATAGTGCTTCACTTAGTACATATATATTAATACAATACCATTAACTACAGACTATAATGATAAATGGTATGCACATGTTGCGCTTTATAGCTTTTTTCCATTAAAAATGTCTGATTGTAGATGCAGGAAACACAACCAAGCAAAGGAAAGATTTGAATAAACTATAAAGAAATTGAAAATGGTAATTAGACTGATTATACAATGTATTGCCATAGCGTGAACGCAAAATATCTGCCATTATCACTGTAGATATAGATTTTAGTGTATGTAATCTCGATCTACCTCATAAAAATATATCTATGTTACATTGTTAGGGCATCAGAACAACCTTTTGATATAGAAAGATAAAAACGTTCTATTGCAAAATTAATTTTAGCGATGTGTTTTTGATTTTAATATTATAATAATAATTTGGAGTTCCTAATAACAAAAAGTTAAGATGCTTTTCATGATATTGAAAAAATATTATTCATCTTATTCAAAGAAATCGTGATCGTTACCTTATTATTTACTTTTGCTTTTAATGATATTACTTTAATGATTGTATTTCTAACATGATAAAAGTCATTTTATGAACATCCTATATTGCATAGGTAGATATGCGGATCTTCTACGGTATGCAATGGCAGACCTCTAAACACAGAAGACTAAGCTTTATTCCTAGTTCTTGTAGCAGCTGGTAGTTATAAGAATAATTTCTCACTTTATATACCACGTTACATTTATACTTCTTCTTTTATCAGGCTGCATCATGTTAATGCCACTAAATGTAAAACCTATGCCTTCACCAGATAGCTTTGATAGAGACAGTTAAACATTTAACTTACAGTACACCTATTGTTATACATGTCAGCAGAAATAAGTGATTATATTCATAGTTGAATGTGCATGAGATGCGAAGTGTCGTGTCATGTAGTAATTGTTATTATTGAACTCTGTAAATCAATGCTAATTCCCTTATGGAAAAGGTTGCGACAATCATATGTATGTTATGAATTTGTAAAAGCATATCACTGAACAAAGTTTTGATAAACTAATCGTGTTATAAAAAACTGTCAAAAAAGGTATGTAAAACACGACTCCTCTAAAAGAAAAAGAGGAACATGATTCTCTACATGAAATACTCTTAACGAGCAAACCTACTAGATCACTCTTGAAGCTCGTTATCATAGCACAAAATTATCTATATGAATATGTAGATAAATATTATCATTGCGTTCCGGCATAATTATTATTTATATAAAAAATTGTCTTTGCTTATAGCTAAAATATTATGATGCCTCGGCTATATAAATATATATATTTATATATATATTTATATCATTATCATTATTGTTATTATCGAATTATTTTTCATTAGCGCGTATATATATATATATATATATACCATTCACAACACAGAGTGCATAGTACGAAGCCGAACTGAATCTGTTCACCCCTAATAAGATTACGACGAAGGGAGGAACAGATCATAAAGCTTCAATGTAACAACGCACAACCAATTTTTATACAACCTGCGTGCACCAATTACTTTTCGTCATTTTCTCGTATTGACAAAAGCAAGACTTTAACTTACATAATTGTATTAAGTAGAATCGTTAAGGTATTATGTTTCTGATAATATGAGCTTTACTAGTAACAGATGAAAGACTAATATAGACGAGAATCAATTTCCACAACCATTTCTGTATTCATCGCGTAGAGTGCTTTAACGAAAACTTAAAAAAAAAAATTGATACAAAAACATACGTTCTATCGCTTTCTCCTGCAAAAAACTTCATCCAAATTGTTCAAAAACTGAATATCAAAGAAAACTGTTTTCTAACAAGAGAAGCTCCAACACTTAACACTCATTATTATAACTTTTATAATGAACTTTACGAAATGACAAATTCTGATATGGTACTACTTGTAAATCGTGGAAAATAATTGTATATTTGTTTGTACAGGAAGAACTCTTATCAAAACCATCAACCTCACTGATTGACTAAGTTCATATTTTTTCTTTCTTTCATATGATTCGAGTAGGATGATAATATGTTTCATTATAAATGAATATTTTGGAAAAGACCTGCCTCGATGATCGATTATCAAACGTGATTCTATCAAAGATGATATCCAAAATATTTCAACTTATTCTACCTTTGCCCTATATTTACTGCTAATATGAATGGAATGATTTTCAACCGAAACGCACGGTGTCCAGGAATTTTTCCTTGCTCAATATCACGGAGACTAATGGATTTTCGTTCATTTTCCTAACACTGTACTGGAACTTATCGTTTATGGAATTGTGCTATCTGTTAAGAGTCTGTTTTGATGAAATTTGATTTTACAGCTTATTATAATTCATTAGCAGTATTGCATTTGTTATTAAGGTAGTGCAAAAGCATGTTGAAGCGTTAGACATTATTCGACTGATCACATGCAAAGTTAAACGTATGGGAAATAGAATGCCGCTATAAATAACGTTAACGTAGTAGAAATTATCTTTACAATTACGGTATTATGATATTTACGATTGCACATTCTCTGATACGCAGGATTTTTCCTAGAAAGAACATACAACATGTGCATTTGACTTTAACGACGTTAAGCTCTTTGGAAAAGAAAATTATTAAAATATCCTTAAAAACAGGCGCGCTCTTACAGTAATAAATAAATAAAAAAAAAAACAATACACTTTAGAAAGACACGAAAAGGAACTTTTTTACCAACGACTTCTGCACACCTTAAAACGGCAGTAAGCAAGCCTTCTTGTCGGACCTGACGAAATCTATTCAATCGGATGATGTGTATTGTTGACAAAAATCTTACTTTCTGCATGACAGTGTCCATTAAAATTTCGTTTATTCTCGGTGATAACGGTTAAAAATAATTGCGTACAAAAGACGTTTCATTCATGCAGAATGTAAGATAAACGCATGTTTGCAGTTATCACGAATGTCACGCGACTTCGGTTTCCCCAGAAAAATTTTGGTTTTGTTTGTTCTTAGAATTACAGTCTTACTAAGAATATTCTTTTTTGGCTTACAGGAGTTCATTACTTTAAGCTCGATTAGTGAGCAATAATATATCGAATTTCTGTGTTCGAACATCCTGGTAAACTTCCTTATAAATGTGCTACTCCGTTTCACAAAACCTAGCAGAGTCTTACATATGCTTTGAACACTTTACATTGTATTGTAAGTGAAAAAATTTAGCTTCCTTTGGAACACTCAGAGCATACGATTTCAGTTCCTGAACTTTCTGAGTACAAACACAAACAGATCTTAGTTTCCGGTTTTCTGAGTGCCGGCAACGTTTCACGGTATTCGAGGCCTTGTTTCTTTTTTCTTTTTGTTTTTTCTTGAAATCTCATGATACTTACATTTAAGGTGACACATATAAATTGTGCTCAAGCCACTTGTTAATAAAAAAAGCCACAAAAACCTAAGGATTTAGTTACTATAGTCGTCTAGGTTGCACAACGCTGTTATTGTTCAGACGCGTAGTGGTTTGGTTGTTGAAATTTTCGTCTTGTGGAATGTGTTCTGTTCTTTCGTCGAAAAATCCTGGATTCAGAATGATGTTGGGAACAAGCTCAATCACTTCCTGCTCCTCCAGCTGCGCTGCAATTTTGGAACGGAGATTAATTTTCATTGGTCTAGGCCACGAGTTATATTAGCTTCTACCCTCTCCCTTTACCAATAGTTTGCTGGGTTACATATTGTACACATACGAAAATTTTGCAAGTATATACATTAATAAACAAATTTTTCAAGTTAGTAAGAAAACTCATTCTGGACAATAAACATATATTGCTTACCCAGCAAGTGTATGTGCTACCTTTGTCCTATATTTTGTACAGTCAAAGATTTACTAATAGCACATAATGTTATCTAGGCCATAATGCTCTATCACTATCATAATACTCTCTAGTCATTACACTAATCATTCTGCATACCAAATTTTATACAAACCACCAAAGCTTATAATCGGATACATAAGGTATTTTACAAAAATTAGTAACAAACAGGGTATTGGAGTGGTTTGTTAAATAGATTGATAGTAAGCTTGGTGGCTGATGAAATGTATTCATAAGATTTAGGTTTCATTCCTATGAGGAGTGTAAACGGTGCTACTGACAGGCAAACTGTACAGAAAATGGTAAAAATATGTTAATAGATTAATTTAGTGCCTTATGTTGTAAAGTGTTCAGTGCGAAAGTTAAGGAAGTGTTATTGTAAAACTGGTACCATAAGAACATTGTTAAAATGCTATTAAATTGTTAAAGTTAAACACTAGAAAATTTGTTAAATGCTAATAAAATTTGCAGAGCGCTTGCAGTAGAGAAACATCAGTGGAAGATAATTGGCACTGTATTAGAAGAGCACTAAATTGATTGAAAGGAGAGTGGCTGATGTAAAGAAAGCTAGAGATCAGGGCCATAGATAAGTTGAGTGGTTAGTGATGCTATCGTTTCTGCTGCGGATCTTCTCCTCTAGATAAAGTATGTATGTTACGAATTTTGTAGTCACTCTCAAAAATTAAATGATGTAGCATTATTCTACCAGGTCGATTTAGTTGCATGGAAGAAAGTGAGTTTCATCAGCAGAAATAAATAGCATGAAAGAGAAAGAGTAGAAGCAAAAGCTTTTAGATAAAGTTACTAGGAAATGCTTACAGGGTACTTTGCACTCACGATAGAGGAGGTAACAAGTACCTATACCAAGAATCATAAGTGTACCCATAACTATGCCTACTGCTGCCACCCAGACACGAGTGTCAAAATTTTCTACACCTGACAAGAGATGTCTTGCAAGTTCTGAAATAATTGTCAATTATAAATAATAATAATACATTATGTACAAGCATAGTCATACTCTGTGAAATCATTAAGCTCAATATCCGTGTACCTAATTCTTCAATACTGTGGTGCGTATGACCTTCAACCTCAACGATCTCTCCTTTTCCTAGCTGATTTGTTGCCCACACTCGGAAAGAATATGTTGTATTTGGCACCAAGTGATAAACATCAATTTGCCTCTGAAATATCATTAGTTTACTATTAGTTCTGTTCATTTGAACCTAATACAGAGTGAATGTTATTTTAGAAACAGAGTATTTACAGAATTTGGAGGAATATGTGTTGGAACAATAGGCTTCCAGTCTTCTGGTTCTTCACCCATACTCGGTTTAAGACGATATTCGGCAGTGAAATCTATGATAGGATAACCACCTGTGCCAGCTACTTCCCAAAGAATATTTGCCAATATTGTGGATGGTTTTACCCATACATTTTGTAAAGGTGGAGGAGGAGCTGAGAAATAAAATTATAATAATGTTAACATATAAGTTAGATTCAAGATATAATTACAAGTTTGATAGCTTACTTCTAACTTGTACATTAATTCTAGTCTTGACAGCATCGTGATCATCGTCTAAGGTGCATGAATAGTTCCCAGCATCATCTGCACTAACATTGACAAGTTCCAGAGCTCCATTAGGCTCAACCTTTAGTCGTTCAATTTGTCCATCCTCACGTCCCTCCCTTATCCACATCACTCCAACAGATTCGCCTGGCTGTGGTAGTGCATCTTCTTCTGCACAAGCTAAAGTCAAATTCTGACCAATGTCTACATCGACAAAACGCACTGGCACCAAAGTCACTGCTTCCTGCCATGCTAAAGATCATAATAAATTCATTGACTAATACAATTCCATGAAGATTACAACAGTAACTGTAAAAAAAATGCAACGGGACATAACTAAAAATTCCAATCAACAACAATAAAGATTAATTGCTTATATAAAATACAAAAATATGCAATATAGAAATAATTCATTTCGTTAAAAAAAATCAACGATCTCTAATAACAATATCCAATACAAGGTCGTCTTGTAATAAACAACCATTTAAAAAACCATATAAAAAATCCCGATATAAGAGAACACTAACACACACATAAAACTTATATAAGCAATGCATAAATATGCATCTGTAGATTAATTGTTTTTTTGTTAAAAAAAATATATAAAACAACCGATTTGAATGACAGGTAGGATACGTAGATATGTAACTCATCGCGATCGAATCGTGTGTTTACAATGCACCGTACGGTTTTCAATAAATAAAAATATACATCTTGTAAACAACTTAATTTGCTGTCTACTTATGCGCGTAACGCGTACCTGAAGATCGAATTACAGAATAAATGAATTGTCATGCTGCTGATCAATGGACTCGGCGGAATGCTTGTTCGAGGATCGCCGAAGAGCACAGGATCGTCGGCGGACGTGCAGAAAAACAAGATACCCAGTGAAATTTGCATAACTCGACCCTGAATCGTAACGATCGTGCAGTTAGCCCGATTTGCACGGTGCACGTATACAAGCGCACGATGGAGTGTCACATTGATCGGCAGGTGCACTTACGGCCCCGTGCGGAGAGTCCCTTGGTGGTTCGTTCCTTACCTGTCAGGAAGAGTATCAGCGTGACGATTCTATGCCCAACCATTCTGCCATATTAGACGGTCTCGCGTAGATGCATACGGAAACGCGTTAAGAATCTCTTCTGAGCCGCATCTTTGCTGATCGATTTTATTTCTCGCTTTCTTCCAACGAACCACGGGACGCGGGAGCTGTCAAACTCATCACGCTTCGCGGAACACCGCCCGTCCGGCGCTCTTTGGATTTTATTGAGTTGCCGACGCCGCGCTCTTGTGGCGACGCTGGGAACCTGATTCGCGGAGAACAGGGCCTGCAACCGTGCCAAAAACAACCGTAACAGCTGTTCGATTATGCGCCCGTTTTGTTTTCCTCCCCGCGTTATCGAATACGCGTTCAGTCGAGAGCAACCGCCGATAAACGATTAAAAGACCGATTATCATTAATCGACGACCATGATGTTCGACACGTTGGAAATCATTGATTAATCCGTTATGATTCGACGGGCAGTAGAAATGACTAGTTACCTCGTTAAATTGGATCACACCGTACACGCGGGAACGGGTGCATCGATACTCTTATCGTAGAACTAGTTGAATCTGCTTTACTGATTGAGGAAGGGCCGTTCCACATTTCCCTCTGTCTCTCTGTCCGGGATTAACTAGACGAAAACGATAGACACTTCGCAATGGGATAATCGCGGGTAGTTGCGTATGATTGCGAACGGTTGTGTGCGTGCATACGTGAAATCACTATTGTACGAGTGAGAAGCAAGGAAACAAGTGAACTGGTTGAATCCTGACGGTGATTCGGTATGTATATATTACGTGCATGTACGATGGAACAAAACGTAACCATGATCGATCTGCTTTTTCAAACAATTTAACGGTCGGGGATCTATTGCCAACTACGTACTTCCGGTTATACAAAAACGCCGGCCAGACGGGGGATTATCTATTTTCATGCATCAAACATCCTGATTTTATGTAACAATCAGATACGCTGATAGTCTTTTGTGCGCCTCGAATGTTTTCTACGAAAACCATACACGTAAGTTACGCTATCCTTCACAAATATTTGATCATAATATAAGGAAAAAAGAACAATACGTGAATGTTGTGTGATTATTGTTTTGATGTGTACCGAATCTCGAAACATGTATTCGCATTTTCTTCTCAAACAAAAAAGGCAAGTTCATTTGTCGTTAAACAAGTGATCAAATACTTTTGAACGACAGAGTAAACATACGTATGTATACACGTGTAGTTTGTCCCGCGCTACGCATGGCATTCCTTTAATTTTAGAATTAATTCATCGAGTTCGGTATGTGTTTGATTCTTACGTATGTATATTTAAGAATCATTTAATCTGTTTACTTGTTCGGCGTGCCTGTGAAAGTACGTAAAATCAGATAAAAACGTTGCCATAACGTTTACTTTTGTAAGCATCTTGAAACCCGTTCAAACAACATTCATTTTATTTAATTCGACGTTATTTGCTATTTTCATCGCCGCTCGTCTTGTGCCAATATTTGCATCGTTATCGTACGATAACCGAAAAAATAATTATGAAGCTGTTATCGAAAGGGTAAGAGATTGACGATGGTTTTCATAAAAAGACCTACAATCTATGTAGACACTGTTATCGCATCTGAACAAACGTTTGTTGTTACAGTGTTTTTACTCGAGCAGGAACTTTGTAATATTCTTCTGTTCAGGCCGATAGGATCTCTAGCTCAAGATATCGTTTTCAAGGTTAATAGAAGGTGAATTGAAGTTCCATTAACCAAAGGAAAAGACGAAATTGTGACGATAAATATTTATAATACAGCACGATAATTATCATTATAATTATCGTGTGTTAGACTACCCCAGTTGTGGTGCCTCTCTGACGTTATATACCAGCCGTTCTCCGTCTCCGTCTATATGACGTAACCAGTGACGTCAACAAATTGGGGGATCGATCGAATTCAAACTTCGAGGTATACCTATACAGACACTTTTCGTTCCGGACGGTTTTACAACCGTCTCGATTAAATTGCACACCGATTTACCGTCAACCAATTTAGATATCATTAAACGATTAATTAGCACCGTGTAAAATACGAATTGCACAACAAGGTGTTAACGTCATTTGTCGATCGTTCGATAACATTATTAACATCGGTCGATTCGATTCGTTTTTACCTGGCGCGGATGCTCGTTAAGCTTATCGCTCATTAGGCAACGCCGAGACTCGAGTACAAGAATAGCCAATATAAATGCGCTCCAATGTCAGCGTAATGCATCCCGCTGATAATGAACTGTGAAGGGAGTTAATGCAAGGCAGTCACACGATACCCGTGTAATCAGGGTAATGTAATACTTTTATAGAATTTCTATCGAGTCGATATCGGACGGGTTCGATGAACCTTTATGGCTCATAGTCCCGGAAAATCCTATCTAAAAATAATTTATCGATACCTCTCTGTCCCTGTGTGTGTTTTTTTTTGGTCCCCAGGGGAAATGCAGTTAATTGCGAGATCCGTAGGCCTGTTATTCACAGTCACGCGGTTTGGTGCCCCCTCATTCCACCCGGATTCGGAACTTTATACTATCGCTCCACCTTCCGCTGTATTGAAACCGATTCGCTCGAGTTTCCAAGCTTCGAAACACTTTGAACGAGATACGGTTTTGCGAGTACTATACAGAACACCCGGGGAACTGATACGCAGCCGCTCGTGCCTGACATTTTGGTGCCTGGAAAACTGAGTTTAATGTTTCGAGAGCAGATACGATATACGGAGGCGGTACTAGAAAAGTATAAATTGGGTCCTCTTTCATTCGATCATCGAGTGTACCAGTACTGATGGGCGATACAGTTTGCGATTGGTCGATTTCTTTTCCATACTGTTACCCGAGAATCTGCCTTAGTAAAAATCTGCTTAAATAAATTATTTATTTTCACTTTTGGATTTTATTACATCTAATTTAATTGCAAGTATCGATACCAATAATGTCGAATTTTATTCCCGATATACAAATGTATCGATACTCTGAATATCAATATGTACTGATACAATTCAAATGTTTGTTTCTTCTGTATATTATTTTTTTTATTTTAAGGAAGTCACGGTGCGTCCTATTTTTGTAAAGTATTTCACGAAGTTTCCTTGAGGTAGTACTCTTTATACCACTCTATCTTCGGATAATCTAACAAAGAAATAAACGTTTGAACATATTCACAGAGACGGACAAGGGACAATGGTCATAGGGTTCCTCGTCGAAAATTTAGGAGCATATGTGTCCTGGGTACCTCGTACGAATTCACCTCTGAAGTAAATCGTCCAGGATAACGAAAGGAAGCCCTCTGATTCATGAGGGGTCTCGATAAAGTTCAGTTCGGCGGTCAAGCTAATGTGATTTCAAGCCTCTGAGTTCACCGTCCAATTACACTTAAATTGGAGCGTTTGGTAAAAAAAAAAAGAGTAGGAAAGGTTTCTATCGACCCAGTTTCTGCTTCGTTCGGAGTTCCTAATTTGGTTAGGAGCCGAAGGATTTCCGCGGAACTTTCCAATTACTACTACCTACCATGCTTCGAATGGAACAAAAAGAAAAAAAAGAAACGAGACATCACGACCGTGTGAGAAGTCTGCTTGAATCACGTCGAAGCGTTTCACCTTGTCCCTGTATAATATACACGATTTTCGGCCGGATGGTCGGGCTGCCGGAAAACGGGGGCTGTATACCTACCTACCGGCACCTACAGCCGAGGAGGGTTGGAAACTTCGACCCGTTTCGTCTCGAAATATCAAAGGTCGCCGCGCAAGGCGGATCCAACGTGTATCCCCGTTTTCCAGAGGAGCCAGGCGAATCCCTCGATTCCCATTGTCCCTGCTCTATCGTCGGGGAATAATTATCCGTCGCTTCCTTTCTGCGCCACCACGTGTCCAACGAAGAGGAACGAGTAATTTTTAAGCGATTGAAATTTAAAGGATTCTATAATGTCCCCCGAAGGATTTACGTGAATGGTTGATTAGTTAATGGTATCAACACAGACTTCTAATGGAACAGATAAGCTGTCTGCGAAATGAAAGATAGTCCTGAATAATACAGAGAAGTGGCAACATTATAGTTTTTACTTTGATTTTCGATCTGAAGTTTATGGAATAAAAGGATGCACCAGATTTCAGGATAATTTTCAGTACAACAAGAAGAAAAACACGTTGATGGACCGATGGTAGTAATTTAATGTCAAACGAAGGACTCCCGTTGTCTATTTCTTTCAATGTATACGGCCTCGGGTAGGGTAGAACGTTTGAAGTCCGTGAAGGAACTCCGAAGTCCTTTGACATTATCGAGCAATTTCCAGCAGGAAAGTTCTCAGTCGTTCTAAAATCTTTACGACTCGTGTCGAGCTTGAAGTTCAAGGCGTATGCTTGTATATCCGTAAACATCGTAAAGAGATGAATGGAAAAGATGGGCGGAAATAATTAAATTTGTTGCGACAGAGGAATCGACGAGTATGGTCTCGGAGGATCGAGAAGAATATTCTGACCTTATGGGTCCTATTAAACGGAAAGTTCACCGCTGGGATTCATTTCCAAAGAAACTGTTTCCTATAGAATATTTTGTCATCCAGCCAAGTTGAACGAAACCAAAGTGATTAATTGTTCCACGGTGGTGACAATTGTGTCATCGATTTTGCGTGGTTACGTCATCGCGTGCTTGCAACCTTGTTCGTTTCTACAAACGTTCGAAGACCGAGCACAGTGACATTCCTATCAAATGGTCTTCAGATATCACTAAGGCTCTTCAAGGATTATCGAAGACCTTTCAGCCATCTCCAAGGACCACTAGATTCCATAGTAGCTGTCAAGGATCACTAAACTGTTCGATGACTCTTGAAATCCAGGACGATGCTTTCAATGTCACGAAAAACATCCGACGCCCACTAAGGATCACTGGAGGATTGTGAATATTCAAAGATGGGCAATGGAGTTATGGTTAACCACGAAAATTCAGGGTCACCAAAGGTGGTTTGGAGATGTTAAAAAATAGTGGAAGGTAGCCAATTTAATTGAGGTGTAACCATAGATCTCAATATTCTGGCAGAACGTACAATATAAAAGTTTGTTCTGGCGACATAAGCCTTCTGTAAACTATTATTCAGGAACCATAGTTTTTATTGTCTAAGTTAACAGCTACAGAGCTACCGAACAAACGTAAATACAGCTTCTATCGATTCTAAGCTGAATCGAACTTCAAGGTTCCAAAATATTTAGAAATATTCTATCAATTATAAACAATGGATAACCCCATTTTTTGCACCCGCGTTAAGAGAGTCCCCCAGAGTCCTTTAGTTATTGTCGGAAAGTCCTCGCTAGAAAAAGTGCAAGCAACACTATCTTCCGGAAATAATCCTCCGACAAAGAATATAAGCAGTAACTCTGTTCGTTTTCAATAGAAACAATGTTCAGTCAGCCTCGGGAATGTGTGGAAATCACTATGATGTAAAAGAACAATTGTGCTCTAACAATAGAGCTGGAGGAATGGAGGAGATTTCGAGAACAGATGGAACTGACTCGATACGCCCTTTACATACGAAACTAAAATCAGTTGGAGAGAATATCAGTGGTCAAGTAATAATAAAAGAATATAAATATTATTAATCCTAATAGTCAATGACGTTCACTGATTTACAAAAAAGGATTGTATTGTACAAAAGGAATTGCCAATAGTGATTAAAAGCTGCCGAGTATTCCGAAGAACAGGAATTCCTTTCATTTTTTAAGAATCTCGAAACCCCATTCCGTTTGAACCACGTAAAAGGA